CCACATCACCATGTACTACATCCAGTACCGCAGAATCATCCACTGCAGAATCATCTACCGCTGAGTCATCTACAGTTGAATCATCTACTGGTCCATCCACATCACCATGTACTACATCCAGTACCGCTGAATCATCCACTGCAGAATCATCTACCGCTGAGTCATCTACAGTTGAATCATCTACTGGTCCATCTACATCACCATGTACTACATCCAGTACCGCTGAATCATCCACTGCAGAATCATCTACAGTTGAATCGTCTGCTGAATCATCTACTGCAGAATCATCTACTGGTCCATCCACATCACCATGTACTACATCCAGTACCGCAGAATCATCCACTGCAGAATCATCTACCGCTGAGTCATCTACAGTTGAATCATCTGCTGAATCATCTACTGCAGAATCATCTACTGGTCCATCCACATCACCATGTACTACATCCAGTACCGCTGAATCATCCACTGCAGAATCATCTACCGCTGAATCATCTACTGCAGAATCATCTACTGGTCTATCCACATCACCATGTACTACATCCAGTACCGCAGAATCATCTACTGCTGAATCATCTACAGTTGAATCATCTACTGGTCCATCTACATCACCATGTACTACATCCAGTACCGCTGAATCATCCACTGCAGAATCATCTACAGTTGAATCGTCTGCTGAATCATCTACTGCAGAATCATCTACTGGTCCATCTACATCACCATGTACTACATCCAGTACCGCAGAATCATCTACTGCAGAATCATCTACCGCTGAGTCATCTACTGGTCCATCTACATCACCATGTACTACATCCAGTACCGCAGAATCATCTACTGCAGAATCATCTACCGCTGAGTCATCTACTGGTCCATCTACATCACCATGTACTACATCCAGTACCGCAGAATCATCTACAGTTGAATCATCTACAGTTGAATCATCTACTGGTCCATCTACATCACCATGTACTACATCCAGTACCGCTGAATCATCCACTGCAGAATCATCTACAGTTGAATCGTCTGCTGAATCATCTACTGCAGAATCATCTACTGGTCCATCCACATCACCATGTACCACATCCAGTACCGCTGAATCATCTACTGCAGAATCATCTACTGGTCCATCCACATCACCATGTACTACATCCAGTACCGCTGAATCATCCACTGCAGAATCATCTACCGCTGAGTCATCTACAGTTGAATCATCTACTGGTCCATCTACATCACCATGTACTACATCCAGTACCGCTGAATCATCCACTGCAGAATCATCTACAGTTGAATCGTCTGCTGAATCATCTACTGCAGAATCATCTACTGGTCCATCCACATCACCATGTACTACATCCAGTACCGCTGAATCATCTACTGCAGAATCATCTGCTGAATCATCTACTGCAGAATCATCTACTGGTCCATCCACATCACCATGTACTACATCCAGTACCGCAGAATCATCTACTGCTGAATCATCTACAGTTGAATCATCTACTGGTCCATCTACATCACCATGTACTACATCCAGTACCGCTGAATCATCCACTGCAGAATCATCTACAGTTGAATCGTCTGCTGAATCATCTACTGCAGAATCATCTACTGGTCCATCCACATCACCATGTACCACATCCAGTACCGCTGAATCATCTACTGGTCCATCTACTGCACCATGCAGTACATCTAGCTCCGTTGAATCCTCAACTGCTTCATTGACTACTTCAGGCAAGCCATGCACTACATCTGAGACCACTTCTAAAACTAGCTCCACGAAGAGTTCTACTACTCCATGCACTAAGTCTTCAAGAACTACCCTGAAGAAAACTACCAAAACTAGATCCACAAAGACTTCAAGTACTCCATGTATCACATCTACCAAGATTTCCAGTACAGAGACTTGCACTACTTTGACTACCTCCACCAAACCATCAAGTACTCCATGTACCACATCGACCATAACTTCCAGTACAAAGACGTCCAAGACTAAGACGTCCAAGACTAAGACGTCCAAGACTAAGACGTCCAAGACTAAGACGTCCAAGACTAAGACTAATCCAACCACCACTTATACCAAGCCCACTAGTACTCCATGTACCACCACTTACACGAAGCCCACTAGTACTCCATGTACCACATCCACGAAGAGCACTCCAACCACTACTTACACGAAGCCCACTAGTACTCCATGTACCACATCCACAAAGAGCACTCCAACCACCAATTACACGAAGCCATGTACTACATATTAAACCATCACCTTTGAAAACACTTCCACAACACTATGTGCCACGACTGTACTATGGATGTTGCCGGTTAAATATTAAAACGTCTCTTGGCTAACGCTGTTAGACATCACTAATTTTAGCATAGTGAAAACTCTCGTTTTAGTTCTTAGTTATTTTTGATAGATATTCAGTTTATATACCCCACGTCGTTAATGCATTAATGTAGAGTATTTTGGTAACTTTTTGGAGTTTGAAAAGGCTGCAGAGTTCATAGGTATATCGCTTAATATGGTTATTGATACTTCAAATGCAATTTAGTAACGCGTTCTATGAAACGGTTAAAAGTACGGAGAAATATTGTTACAGGAAACTTATAACAGTGATACTGATTTTGACAGCTACTCTCCAAGTTAATAGTAAGACTACGACTATGCCATTCCGGATTGATATTTGAGCGCATTGCTAGATTTAAAGTCACTAACAAGTACTTTGAGCCTCATGGTCGATTTTCAGCTTAGTTAAAGAGATTCGTGGTGATTTAAGCGAACAATTCTCAGCATTACTACATTGACCCGTAAAAATTTTAGGTTGGTTGAGATCGAAGTTTGAGAATGAAGATCAACAGAATCGCACTTATGAAAAACTAGGCAAAAGTTTTGATTAGGTTCATATTGCAATAGGATAGGACATTAAAGATCAACCTCTTTTGTGGGTATTTGGTTAGAACAATGCCGCAAGTTCTATATTTACTTCAGTTAATATGAAACCCACCCCATCGGGCAATTAGTATTTCGTTCAACTAAAACCCAAAGTACAAGTGGGTGAAAAGCTGAAAAATTTTTATAAGTAGGGCAATGGGGTGGTACGACACAGACATTGTTTCTCACATAGTGGAATGAGCCTCAGCCAATTCTGCTAAAAGTACGATTTACTAAATGGCCATCTCCCTAACAGGAGTTAGCTGTGAAAACGGTTCTTGATCTAAACTTAGGTTGAATTACTGCGAAGCTCTCGCTACCAACACCCACACTGGAATTTCAGGGCGGAGAATGCGCACAATATCGATTCTCATAGATTAAGTTTCAGACGAAGAGAAAACAAACAATAGGAATGGATCACATGTTGCAGAACTTAAAGTTAGCCACTGTAGAAACTCGCTAACAGGGGCCTTTCTTAATAACTTTTTCTTTAATATAGAGTGTTGATAATTATTTAGGAAAAGTGTGGAGCCTGGGTGAGAGAAATAGTTCAAATCATATATGCAAAAAACGAATGATCAGAACATATTCAATAAAATGGAGTAGCTATAGGGGTGTCACTGTTCCAAATAAAGGAGTTTAATGGAATGCTTGTTGGTGTTATGGACCTGAGCAGCTTTAAAGAGTATCATAATGGAGGAATGTGAAGCCAATGAGTTAATTGTGCCTGCACGTATCATCTGAAGTTGGGGTAACCAGGTGGTCGAATGTGTCATTCTTCAGATCGTCAATGTTTTGTGGAGGGGGCACGACGTCATGCACCAGCCGGATATGGGTGTTAGGTTTTATTAGTCAGGTTTGTGTCAGAAAGCGTTTGCTCGCTACGCTCAAAATCACTTTCTTCTTTCCCGTAATTGAGGTAAATACTTAGGATTTTAGAAGTGCCTATATCATTAGAACTCTTGTCCAAACTTCCAAGTCAGCCAATGTAGTATCAAAAGAATGAAAAGTGTTTTAAAGAGTGAGATATACTGGTGTTCCATTGCAGATGAATCCTATTGTCACTCTACCGAAAGATGCGCTGCCTATTTAAAGGATCCACATTATATGCCCGAGGACCTATTTTTGAATTGTTCTTTCTTTTCGCTTTCAATAATACGCGGCTTTAGGCATGTCTAGTGTCATATCACCTGCATGGTCCACATTTTCGGTTGTAAGGTTGTATTCCTGATTGGTGTTGGTTCACAAATTAGGAAGTCTGATGAGACTTCAATTGCGGAGCACGAAAGTGGAATAATCGTAAAAGGGTCTTGTAGTATGGAATAGACGAGATTGTGAAAAACGGTACACAAAAAAACTCGTAAAAATAGCTGAATCTGTGATATTTTTGAGTTTACTTTATCAAACGAATAGAGCTTCATGGCAAGTGTGTTGAATGTAAAATGTCATTTTGATAGACAGAGCAAATATTTTCTAAGCGTCGGCTTACGTAGGAATTGATGTTTCATTTAGAGACGACGTTATAGGCTAGATTTGGGACTTTCCGTGCTTTCATAGGAGAACTTCGTGCATCAATAGACTTATTTGGGTTAACTATTGCATGCAGGCGTTCACCTTAAATGGAAAACTTAATTTTAGACAGTACAGTGGTTTTGGTACACCTAGAACCGCTTAAGAGAACAATTGAAGTGTTAGTTGAATTGGGGCGTCACCTCAAAGTGGAGGTCGCTCACTCATTGTAGTCAGTAATTATACTTAGTTTCCAACGTAAACAATCTATGGGACGATTGCCCTGAATCGCTAACGCTAACTATAGACGAACAAGTATAAATTCATTAAATTATCTTCAATTAAATGCTACTTTGATTTTCTTATCATCACTGATCTTCCATCTTCTACTCTCAAAAAGATGCAATTCTCCTTATTGTTGTTGGCTGTTTTCTCAGTTGTCGCTCAAGCTACCTTCATTAACTGGTGGGACTATAGCTATTCTTTCAATCTTGTTAATGGTTGGGATTCTGGCTTAAACCCAAAAAATTGTTATGATAATGTTTTAACCAACACTTTGTTTTTCAGTTGTACTGCTGACTTGGAAGTCACTTCTTTGTGGGGTAAGGCTTGCCAAAAAACAAAGTACCCTCACACTAAGTCTTTGACTACATCTACTGTCGGTTGGTGGAAGACCTCTTGGTACACTTGGTGTCCAATTCCTTCAACAGCTACTCCACCTTGTCCTCCTCCTACCACCAGTGTTCCAGTTAAGTGTTGCAACTACTGGGGTTTATGTACTACTAAGACCACCAAGGCTACCAAATGCACTACCACTAAAACAACTACTGGTTGTGTGAACACATACACTTGGTGGGAGCCTTGTAAGGATTCTTCTACTGCAGTTCCTTCCAGTACTCCATGTACCACTTCCACTACTTCCACCACTCCATCTAGCACTCCATGCACCACTTCCACTACTTCCACTACTCCAACCAGTTCCCCATGTACCACATCTTCTACTAAAACCAGCACCCCATGTACTACTTCCACCACACCCACCAGCACTCCATGTGTCACAGCTCCTCCTCAAGTTACCACTGGTGTTCTCAGTTAAATATTAAAGGCTTAATTCATGGATGCTATGCTACAGCATTCCAGTAAGTTAAATAAACCCTTCTTTCCCTCTTGGTATCTATAATAAAATATATTGAGTTTTAGTACCGTATTACTTTAATTAATGTAGAAATGAAAAATAAAGTACGGATTTAAAAAATTGCTCTAAGGTCACAGACTGAAGCTAAAGAAAATGGGTGCAAAAAAAGACTGAAAATGTTAGTCAAGTTGTCTAAATCTAACATACAAGACACACAGCGACAACTGGGAGTAATTATTGAGAAACATATAAACACAAGACTTTAGATTACTGCATTTAAGAAAATGGTACCACGTTAAAATTACTACACTTTGAATTCAATTAGAGTCGCCAAGTAGAACTCTCAATTTGCAGTGCTAGATTACAACGCAAGAAAAGAAATCCATTTCGCAATGATAGAAGAATTCAATATGAAGTTTGCAGGTTCTCTTCCGTTTATTGCCCAATGAATTTCTCGCTAAACAGACGACTAACGCGCTACCATTAGACTCACACGACTTGGGAAAATTGCATGACGAAGGCAAAAATCGGATTGATGTTTAAAGGACATTCTAGCGAGACAAGATACCAAAATATTCGAACGTCACTACAACCACGAATACGAATACCAATTACCGTTAAACGAAGAAGAGCAGTACGAGATGGTTTTCCCAGTTGGATTGAAGAACAGCGTTTCGCTCTTCGTGTACTCTGTAACTTTTGGTGGAGGATTTTTTTACTCATTCATTGCTTCTCCTATTGCCTTCCAAGAATTGGAAAGATCTCAATTCAGTAAGGTACAAAGTAAGGTGTTCCCAATTTACTTCCTTGGTCAAACTGTGGCGCCAATTATTATTGGATTGACTTCAGCCATCAAGTTGTGTCCATTCACTAAGGGTGCATTGGCAGTTCTGTCTTTTTGCGGAGCTCTTAATTGCTTCTGGTTGTTACCTGTATGCAGATCCATCAAGGAAGAACGGGTAGCATTGGAGAAGGAAGGTAAGGACACCAGTGAAGTAACCAAGAGATTTGGAAAATTCCACGGAATCAGTACTCTTGTTAATATGTTGAGCATTATATCCTTAGGTGCCTACGGTTACGGTCTTGGCTGCAAGTTGGCCCGTATCTGATTATTACATGTATATAGTTAATAGTAAATCTGATATGTATCGAATTGCCTTTTGTTAAGCTCAAGAATCTATTTGTGTTTCAAATATGATTTTCTTTTTCAGCCATCGGATTATTTATGACTTGATTTTATTCTATAGCTCGAAAAAATAGAATGCAATCTATTGTTCTTTTAAATGACAGTGCACACGGGTTTGTTGAAATCGGTGCTTAGCGAGATTGAAAAAATAAACCGGTAGACTATTATGTTCTTAACGCCGTTGAGAGAAGGAACCTTAGGTTGAGAGACAAACCCACCTTCGTAACAGAACCCGGCTTGGTAGTCTCAAAAATCCGATCTCAATAAGACGAATTCATTTATCATAAGTAGCTGAGGTACTCCTTGTCAAAGGTCCCTGCTTTTAGTAAAAGGCTATATTGTATATTCAGTTAAATCATGTCATCGAATTAACTGGTTTTTCCGAGTTATGAACACACCTTATGTATTTCAATGTGATTTCGGACATGACCAAAACCCACTACCGGAAAAACCCATACTCTGCTGTAGCAACAAATGAACGGCGTGCGCGAAAATGGAAAAGATCACCTCACTTTCCTACATTTAACTATTTCTCAGGTGTTAAGAGTAAAAAGTCAGCCAATAGGTTAAACCACGAGTTCACTCGAAATGATTGGAAAGCACTTTCATACGAGAATGTGAAAAAATATGAGTTGGTACATCGATAGCGAAGTTTCGGAGCTACATTTGGTATAGTTTAACTTTGCAATCGAAAATAGTTGCCAGAGCATGAGTAATACACCATTACGTAAGAGTGCCAGATTTATTTGTAGACGTCGTTTAGTGTAATTTACATAAGCACTGACCTAATTTGAAAGTTGAATTTTTAAGAAACTTGGTAGAAATCGGATGTAGGAACTGAAAAACTCCGTATATGCAGCGTCTGGAGTTAAGAGGTGAATCGTAAACAAATCCAAATGGCAAATGGTAACTACCGGAAACATAGGATGAACTCTCCTGGATTTAAGACCATTTGCCTGAAGTGCGGCTTAGTTCTCAGGTGGTTCCTCAACTTTAGATGTACACTCCGAACAAAGGCTTTCTTTTTTTTCTGTCTGTTTTAGGCGACGGTCATGAGAATAAACTTGTCGCATGTTTGTTGGAAATGCCTACATACAGTGCTGAATCATTAAGCTTGGAATCCGAAAATTATTACTATTGTATGAGACCAAGTGTTTTAGGAGTTAATTACTATATATATATATAAGTGCAATGCTTCCTCAGGGGAACATTATCACAAGGTAAATACGCCATCGTATAGTGTGAATAGAATTATTGTTTAGAGCATTGTGTCTCTGTTGTCAATTATATATACTAGCTACATTTTGACAGTTATGGAATCACTTGATTACGTTTCGTGCCCCATTAGTCCAATAACTAATGTGGATGATGATGATGCCATGTGGTTTTTCCAAGACTTCCTTACAAAGCTGGCACCTCTTACAACTACCAATTCCTTCACCGGAATGAATAGTTATGATGCCATGCCATTCTCGCTTCCCGGTCCCGCTGAAGATGATACTTATGTATCCAGCATTTCGGCATCAGAATCCTCTCCTGAAGTTCTCCAGGTGCAACAACAAAGCCAACAACAACAACAGCAACAGCCATCACAACCTGAACAACAACATCGTCGTGTAAGTATCTCCAAGTTACCCCCATTGAATACCGTCCATGAGGACAAAGAGTTGGATCTTTCTGTCGTTAATGATAAGTTGGCAATACTCAAGAATGACGACAACCTCACATCCCTTAGTTTGGAAAACATCTTTGACACGAAAGATATTCTTGTGGAAAAGGTAGCACCAACATCCCGATACCACCATCATCATAACAACCATTCTGCTCCTAGTAGCAATGGCAATAGTATTAGTGGTCCCTCCGCCAACTCTCCTTTACATTCCGCATCAGGCAAGTTAACCAGCCAAGTTCCCAGCAGAAGTAATTCCATTGAAAGCACATTTTCCAATGCGTCTTCACAGTCTTCTGTGTGCTCATATTCCAACAAGCAATCTCCAGTGATTGCCGTAAAGATGGAACCAGCAGGCCCCATATATCAAGAGAACAATACTCCTGAGACTACTCCTATGAATACACCTGTGCTGTTTGGAGGCAAGACATCATATGCCAACCAACAAACTCAACAACAGCAGCAACAAACTGGATCTTTATCACCAAGATCCAATGCGATCCCATTATCAGCTTCCATTAACTTGAGAAGAAAACGCACTCCAAGAAAGAAGCTTACAGACACTCAAAAGCAAGCACACAACAAAATAGAAAAGAAGTATCGGACAAACATCAATGCCAAAATAGCAGGCTTGCAACAAATTATACCGTGGGTTGCCTTTGAAAAGACTGCCTTCGATGCTGGTACGGTTAAAATGGAAAGTTCAGAGGATATGAACAGTAATAGCAACGCTGCTAAGTTGAACAAGTCAATGATCTTGGAGAAGGCCACTGATTACATCTTACAGTTACAACGCAACGAGCTTGATTTGAACCAACAAATTGAACGTTTGAGGCAGCAAGTGCTTAGTTTGGGAGGGCAATTGTAGTAAGCTTCCATATATCCGGATATAAAACACAAAACTCATTTCTCTTGAGGGGAGATAATTATCATATTTATGATTATTATGATTATATATGACATGGGGTTTTACCATGCTCATTATTAGGTATGCCATTAAATTGGCTCATTAGACATTTTGATTCTTTTATTGTATAACTATTAGGTATAAAGCACAGCTGTGAAGTACTTTTTTAACGAATATTCATTCTCATTGATTAATTAAAAATGTGTAACATTCTATTGTAAAGTCCAAGGACAAAGACTTCCACTTTGTGCTGTATAAAGTGAAATATTCTCACTCTGGGCAAACAGATTAGGTATACATGGGAGTATCAATGGTAAAACATGCTGCTATAGACAAAGTCCCAAAGGGGTTGTTTAGTTACCGATATCAACCCAAGATGTTCGCCAACAGAATCAGCTTTCTTCTTTAGCAAGTTGGCGACTGCATCAACATTCACTAAACAAAGCTTTGCGAAGTCGCACGCCTTTGGCTTCTACACAAAGAATAAATAGGCTTTAATACAATATGCTCAGCCAAGATGGACTGGTCTGTTATAAAAGTTCGTGAGAAGACTTTTCTCCGTGGAACAAAGAGCACTTTAGTTATTTTTTTTCTCCGTGACTCTGAGACATAACTTTAGTTAAGTGTTGTGACGAAGTTAGTCAACAAACCTAATTTTGGAAGTTGTAGGAGCGGCAACTTTGATACCCCATGGTTATGCTGCTTTAAGTATAAGGTGCAAAACCTGATTCTGCGGAAAAAACTGAAGAGGTATTAACGGATCAAAGCAAACTTCATAAGTATATGCCAAGTTTATCTTTCAAAGATTGTGGATTTTAGAATGTGACTCGTAATCATGTAGGGCCAAGATTTAACTAGTTATAGTTGACTTTGACTGTGTATCGGAGTTTAGAGACGCATGAATCTCGTATTTGGAATTCGAAGTAAGGTCATCTCCGACAATAGATCTTGTGTAATATATGCAGTACTATATAAATCCCAACAAAAATTACCCCTAAGTTTCATATAAGGGGGTACATTGCATCAAAAACACATAAAATTTAAAACACGAAGAACCGGCAACACCCTCGGAAATTAAAACCAGTATTTTACACAAAATGATGATGGTAGCACCGACTGAATTAAATAGTAAAGTTTTATAACATAAGAGGAACCGAATCATATAGTTATTCTGTACCTTCTATGACTTATGTCATAATATGTCTATTAACTTTGCAACTCCAGTGTGCCACTGGTTAATGTTACCTTGCTCATAATAGCAGTTGTAAAACGCAATAAATATGCACTTAGACCCACCTGTCATTTAATGGTAGCGCATAATTTTGCTATGATTTTGATGTTCACAAGGACACGGATGGAACAAGAATTGGACCCGATCCACATATCAAACAACAGTCATTCGAACAAAGATGTCAACAATTGGACAGCTTGTTACGGATTTCCAGGCCCTTCTGGCGGAGGTCAAGAAGCGCCATTTCCAAGATATACGACATTCACTTGAACGCACAATCAAACAGCTCCAACAGTTGCCTCCAGATGATACAATAACTGCAATTGATACCAAATCAATCGACGTGTTCGAGCCTCTTGTAGCCGTTTATAACCTGGGGAACCTTAAGATCATCACACTGGCCATAACTTTGACCCATAAGCTTATTATCTATGCGATTTTACCGGCCAATCTGTTGGACAGTTTACTTAAGGCACTTAATGAAGCATCAAACTTTGCCAATGACGTGCAATTGAAGATTCTCCAATGCTTACCTCATCTTGTGAAGAACTACAACTCAGAATATGACATAGTTGTGCGAGTGGTGTGTCTTGTGATTGGATTGACTACTCCTAGTCGAAGTAGTGTTGTGATTAACACAGCCTCTGCCACGTTACAACAGATATTTGACATTCTCTTTGAGAGAGACCCTCAACAACAGCAACACTCTCCTTTGCGTACAATACAGTTAGATGAGAAGTTATCAGCAGAATTAACGGAGATTGAATGGCAGAACTATAACCTATTTGCTAAATTAGTACAAGCACTCGATAAACAAGATGATGATTTCGTCTTGAAAACTTCAACGTGTCTTGAAATCATAGAAACTGTGCTTTCTACACAAACTACCACCGCTAAAAGTGAAGGGATTCTCCATGTTATTCGTCTGGAAATGCTTCCAACAATAATCAAATTCCTTAATGAAGAGCCCCCATTTCCAATCTTCCTCCGGATTCTTAGAGTGGTATCTCAACTCTTTCCCCTTGCCAGCGACTTGGAAATCGAGCTTGAGGTATTGACCTCCTTCATAAATCATTTTCTTGTTGAAGACACCGAGTGGCACCAAGTGATCGTGCTTGAAGTTTATCGTGGGATGTTTTCTCGTATTACCACTGTTCAAATGGTCTGGGAAACTTATGACAGAAGAGCTCCCGCAAAGAAATATGTTGTTAGAGAACTTCTACTGCTTATTGGTTCAGTCTTAGAAAACTACTCTGTTGACAAATTGCAAGCCAACACTCAATTGCCTAGCACGTTCAAAATTTCTGTATTAGACCAATTGGATAAAACAGAGCCTCCACCAATTGCTCCGAATTTCTCCATGTTTCTTGTACTCAATATTCTATTTGCTTACAGCGATGGCGTTGCCAACTTTGTTTCTCAGCTTTCATCCACTGAGACAGATGAAGCGGTTCTTGAGACCCAAATTGAGTTTGTCAATGAATATATTGAATCTAACTTTGTTCCCTTACGTCGACTCTTTGAGCTCTTTTTGCGAATGCCACTTGACTCCACCAACTACCGCAACCTTATTCGGTCGTTGCAGAAATATATTCACACTACAGGTTTATTGGGACTTGTTGATAAAAGAGATGACTTGATTTCTCTTCTTGCATCGCAAGTTTCGGACCCCACAGAAGGCCATGGGGATATATGTCTTCGTGCGTTGATTAATTTGATCATTTCTTTGGGGTCCACATTCAAGGCCGATTCCTGGATTAACGTTTGGCGTGTGCTTCCATCGCATTTAACTGCTTCGTCAACAACCACCAAACTTTATGAAAGTATAGAGAACTACCCAGTTGATGTTTTCGATGAGCTATGCAGCTCATTGATTCAATTATCAGAAGAAGACGCAAATTTATTTTACATTGACCAATTGGCAGCCATTTGTCAAATTGACCCGACAAAGTTCTTCCTTCTGAGCTCAACAAATTGTTTGAATGATGTCATGGTTCACTTCAGTGAAATAAGTACCAATTACGCCTTTCCTATAGACTCCAGAATCTCTGCAACAAACTTGGCTATGAAAGTCGTGAGAAAATTGACCAAAGAAGGGTTTTCAGAAGCTAAATTTAATACCATTACCTGCTCTAAATCTTTACTGATACTTCAGATGTTTGTTGGAAATTTACTTGAAAGTCAAAATGGAGAGAAATCTTACTCAGATTTGAACTGTTCCCGTGAAATACACTTAATAGTGTTAACAACCCTACATTCATTAGTAGATAACTATGATAAATACTACAAAAATGATTGGGAAAGGGTATTTCAGATTTTGGTGACAGTTTTCACAGTAACGGAGAACACAAATGAAAGTGGTATGGAAGAAGATAAATATAGACAATTGATTGAAAAATCATTTGATACATTAAAGTTAATTCTAGATGAATTTATGAACTTCTTACCCGTTGATCAATTGAAGTATCTAGTGGATACTTTGTTTCGATATGTCATACAAGCCTTTGATTTGAATATTGCCTTTAGTTCCATTTCATATTTCTGGTTAATTAGTGATTTGGTAAAGTTGGAACTCAAAGATAATTCACAAGATGACCAGAAATTATCAATTGCTTATTCAGATAACGATGCATTGGTGTCTCAACTAAATGCAACAAAATCATACAAGCTTTTGGATATGTATTTGCTTTCAACACTTTTCAAGCTTGTTCGTGATCCTCGGGCCCAGGTTCGGAATTCAGCATTGAATACTTTCTTCCAGATAATCGATATTCATAGTGAGTTCTTTAGCGAACAAGATTGGGAAGCGATTTACGTGGTTTGTTTCAAGCCCATTATTTTCACAGATTTCAGAATCACTGCAGGTAAACGAGATCAACTCGAGAGTATAACCATTGTTCTTGAAGGACTATTTGGTGTTTACACCACTCATTTCTATGACAATGCACACGAAGATAAATGGACAGTCTTTATCAATTTCTTCCAGGAAGATTTGCTTAGTTTGAAATGGGTTGAATTAAATATCAAACTTTTCAAATCGTTTGACGATTTGATCCTGACTCTCTTAAAAAAGACCACACCAATAGTTGTGATTAACTCAAAGTTGTTTGAGTTTTGGGTAGGCACTCCTATTGAATACGACTTGGTTAATCCCAAGTACCAAGACTTTCTTTGTACCCTCATGGAGTGTTGTGGCAGCCTTTATGCTTTAACTAAAGGCTCTCCAGAAACCATTAATGATCACACCACCAACTTACTATCACTTTTCAACAAGTGTGCTCGGTATCCTGTTCTTAATGGGGGCCCTGATGATGAGAAGCCATCCAATTTACAGGCAACAGTATTAAAGAGCTTTGAAGCTCTTGAATTCCCTCCAATACAACCACAACTTGTCCAGCTACTTGTTAGTTTTTCAACGTACCCATTGGGCATAAGATCACGCATAGAACAGAAGTTGGGCCAGAAATACAAGACCCCAACTTTCATCGCCTTTAGCCATTTGTGTATTGACATTATACGGAACAAACTAGCTGTGACTGATTCTTCTGTTTTTACCAATGAAACCATCCGGAACCTCTTGTATCCGTTACTTGAGGTTACCCTGGCTAGGCTTCGCGGAATAAAGAGCAGACACGCACCGTTATGGCAAGAATGTAACGAGCAGATCGTGGTGATTGTTGAGAAGATAGTCAAAAGCGAACGAGAATTCAATGAAGAAGCATGGCAATTGATGTTAAGATGTATCACTGAATGTATTACTACAGTTTCAGATCGCTCACAAGAAGCAGAGAGCATTGGTCAATATGAAAAGTTGGTTCGGTTATTAATTCCCGAGATGTTTATCAAACAACCTCAATTGATAGAGCCATATTCACAGTGTCTCTTTAAAAATTCCTTCTTCTATGAATTTGACTCAGTGGAATCATCAATTGTAAAGAGTCCAAGAACCATTGAACAATTGAATACCTTCAACTTTGATGCCTCATTTGGTAGTGCAAAAGCTTTGGTATGTTTCTCCAACATCACAACCCGTCAAAAATGTCTTGAGCAGCTTATCGACCATGCTACCAACGAGACCCTAACACCATTCGCTGAACGATGCCAACAGTTACTTTTAGCAAGAGCTGCTATATGTCTTCGGAAAGTGATTAGTGACTGCGAGCTTCTCTACAAGTGTCCGCTTCCCAAGATCCAACAACTTGAATTGCGTCGTCTTTTGGCCAGTCTACAGCTCTTAGGAGCACACAATGTTGTTCATGTTCACAGACTATTGGTCAAACTAGTTCCCTATGCGCATCGATTACGGGGAGTTGATGAATGTTTGCAAGCAGTTCTCACAATATAATGTACCATAGTGACATATAATGTAGTAACATATAATGTAGTAACATATAATGTAGTAACATATAATATAGTAATAAAGTGACATATCACTATCAATATTTAGTTAAGTATATACATTTACAAACCCCTTCCAGACTAAGCCCGGATGCCAAAAGTAAAAATAGATCAAAAGAAAATTTCTTTATTTTCCCCCATCGGGTCGTGCATTGCACAAGACCAGTTGATTCGTGTTTATACTCTACTGGAACAAACTGGTTGGCGGTATGTAAGTCACCTTCTTTTCTTCACCTTGATCCGGTGCTTTGAGACGAGTCATATTCAAGATAGTTTGCGATGTCGTTCAGAACGTCAGGAGGCCAGAACTATCAAGAGTTCGATCCTGAACAAGGAGGAAATGATATTTCTCGTAAGAAGTCATTGGTGAGACCAGAAAGATCAAGGATGGATCCAAACCATCCTATGTTCCACTACACACAAGTGACCAATCAAGAATCGTCTCATTTGAGGGTTCAACCGTCGTCAACGGGTGCTGACCCTGTAGAAGGGTTGGGTGATGTCACCAGATCTCCTAGAAGATCCACAGGTGGTCAGTCTTATAATAGAGTGGCTCCTGATGATGATATAGATGAAGGTATTCCTTTAATGGACATACATCAGGATGTTAGACCTGACCAGACGAATTCATCTTATGATAATCGTGATACCAGTGATTCTTCTACTCCCGAGGAAAAGAAAGGGGGGAGAGAAGTGTTTGGATTAAACGATGAAGTTGATCGTAAAAAGTCAGTAATTAAGAAGAATCCCATCAAAAGAGACCCTAACATCGATAATGTTCCGGAAAATAATATTTATTTTTGGAAAGTTTATTGTTACGCCATAACCTTTTGGGCTCCAGCTCCTCTTTTGAAGTTATGTGGTCTTAAAACTAAAGATCGTCAATTTGCTTGGAGAGAGAAAATTGGGTTAATCAGTTGTATCATTTATATCGGAGCATTCATTGCTTATTTGACTTTCGGGTTCACAAAAACAGTTTGTTCCAATACAGTTGTCAGAACAAGAAACAATGAAGTTTCCACTGGGAATTTGATCATCAATGGAAGATCTTTTGATTTGTCATCATCAGAACATCCACCTGCTGCTGGTGTTCCTGCTGGGAGTAACGTCTTATATCCACCGGTCAATGCTGGTGGTATGGATGCTTCTTTCTTATTTCAAAACGTTAATGGTAACTGTAAGGGGTTAATTAAACCTAGAGACAATTGTTCTATCCCGTTCGATGGAGAAGATTTGGCATGGTATATGCCTTGCAGATTGTTCAAACAAGATGGTTCATCAGAAGTTAATAATACTAAAGCATATTATAACGGTTGGGCTTGTCATACTTCAGAAATTGCTCGTAAAGCCTTTTATAGTATGAAAGTAGGAGGAGATGTGTTTTTCACTTGGGATGACATTAGAAATAGTAGCAGGAACTTGATTGTATATTCAGGAAATGTTTTGGACTTGAATTTAATCAATTGGATCCAAAAAGATGATGTCACCTATCCTGAATTATTCAACCAATTAAGAGACGACCCAACTTATAGAGGCCATGATATTTCCCTTGTTCTTGCCAATCCCGAAGAAAGAAGAGCAGCTAGATGTTTAACAGAAATTATCAAAGTAGGTACAATCGATTCGGATACCATTGGTTGTATTGCATCTGATATTGTGTTGTATGTTGCGTTGACTTTCATTTTATCTGTTGTTGTTGCCAAATTCTTAATGGCCTGCTACTTCAAATGGGTTGTTCTGAGAAAGCAAGGAGCCACGGAAGTGGACAATAAAGCCATGGCTGAAAGATCAAAAGAAATTGAAAATTGGGTTGATAATCCAAGAGCTCAAAGTGCAATTAAGACAGTACCTCCAAAGGCTAGAGCTAACTATAAGGCTTCCAAAACAAACAGACAAAGTGTCTTCCATTCCAAACGATCATTGAATGCTAACAATGAATTATCTGAGTATTTTGACAATGCTGATCATTTATCCAAAACTTTCAAGTACACAACTATGAGCACTCAACAAGCTATGTTGAGTAGAAAGAAGGCCAAATCCAAGACAAGACCAAACACAATGTACATGACAGACCAAGGATCATCTACGGATTTACTTACTAGACCAGTTTCAGCCTACAATCCATTTGAAGGTATTGATGAATTACAAATTCAAGGGTTATCACCAGATATTATTCATCCAGATGCAATTCCCCAACCACCAGTTGAATACCAACCATTTGCCTACCCTTTGGCACACACTATCAATTTTGTTACTTGTTATTCCGAAGATGAAGACGGTTTAAGAACAACGTTAGACTCCGTTGCTACTACTGATTACCCAAACTCTCACAAGTTGATCATGATTGTTTGTGATGGTCTTATCAAAGGTTCAGGTAACGATTTAAGCACTCCTGAGATTGCTCTTGGTATGATGACCGATTTTGTTATTGAACCAGAAAATGTTACTCCATACTCATATATTGCTGTTGCCCAAGGTTCTAAACGTCATAATATGGCTAAAGTTTATGCTGGGTTTTACAAGTATGACGATAACACTGTACCACCAGAAAAGCAACAAAGAGTCCCAGTTATCAACATTGTTAAGTGTGGTACACCTTCTGAAGCTAATGGTGCCAAACCTGGTAACAGAGGTAAACGTGATTCACAAATTATCTTGATGCAATTCTTGCAAAAGGTTATGTTTGATGAAAGAATGACTGATTTGGAATATGAGTTGTTGAATAATATATGGAGACTTACTGGACTTATGGCTGAGTTTTATGAAATAGTTTTGATGGTGGATGCGGATACTAAAGTGTTCCCTGATTGTTTAACCCATATGGTTGCTGAAATGGTTAAGGACCCAGCAATAATGGGTTTATGTGGTGAGACAAAGATTGCAAACAAAAGACAATCTTGGGTGACGGCTATTCAAGTTTTTGAGTACTACATTTCCCATCATCAAGCAAAGGCTTTTGAATCCGTTTTTGGTGGTGTCACTTGTCTTCCAGGCTGTTTCTCAATGTACAGAATCAAAGCGCCAAAGGGGAATGATGGATACTGGGTTCCTATTTTGGCTAATCCAGACATCGTGGAACGTTATTCAGATAATGTCGTTGATACTTTGCATAAGAAGAATTTATTATTGTTGGGTGAAGATAGATACCTTTCATCTTTGATGTTAAGAACGTTCCCCAAGAGAAAGCAAATTTTCATACCCAAGGCAGCATGTAAGACCATTGTTCCTGATAAATTCAGTGTTTTATTATCACAACGTCGTCGTTGGATTAATTCCACAGTGCATAATTTGTTTGAGTTAGTTTTGGTTAAAGATTTGTGTGGTACCTTTTGCTTCTCTATGCAATTTGTGATTTTCATTGAATTAGTGGGGACTTTGGTTTTACCAGCCGCTATTACCTTTACCATTTACGTGATTATCTTTTCTATTATTTCCAAGCCCACTCCATACATGTCATTGATTTTATTGGGTCTTATTTTCGGGTTGCCAGGGCTATTGATTGTGATTACTGTGTCTTCATTATCTTATTTGGTGTTCTTTGTCATTTACCTTTTCGCCTTACCCATTTGGAATTTTGTCTTACCCACATATGCGTACTGGAAGTTTGACGATTTCAGTTGGGGTGAGACCAGAACAGTTGCCGGCGGAGATAAGGGGGATCATAGTGCCATAGAAGGTAAGTTTGATCCTTCCAAGATTGCCCAAAAGAGATGGAGAGAATTTGAAAGAGATAGAAGACAACAAGAGCAATTGACCATCCCCGGTGCGGCATGGGATCCTTCCAGTGACAGATACCATTAAAGGGACAGGGAATTGATATTAGCATTCAGGGTTAAAACGGAAACCAAAAGAAAAAGAAACATACGTCATCTTTATTATTATTATTATTATTATTACTATTATATTAGTTGTTTATTAGACATAACTGAAAATACAAAATATCCTATAAACTATCAGTATGCACCAGCTGATAGTGTAAATATGTAATGAAATGCAATAGTCGGGTTGACTCTTCTAGATCAGACAAAATCTAGAGATATGATATGATAATAAATGCAAGCCAGTCGCAAGTATATGAAACGACATTTATTGTTGGATTAAATTAAATGGAACCTCCCTTTTGCTGGTAGAGTTCCTTGAACTTCTTTAATCTCCATGAACAGTTGGGTTTCTTAATTGAAGGCTTGAAAGCAGATCCAGGAGTAGCCAATGCGTATAACATAATTATAGAATGGAAGTATTGTTTGAGGTGATAGTTATGGTAATATTAGCATTTCTTGAATTGCCTGCCAATTTTAACACGGAATCAATGTGTATTTATACAACCCAGATTACTCTTACCCGTCATTGTGCTCACGAGAAGATCGTAGGTGTCGTAATGAAATACTCAATAGGGTACGTACGTTGGGGCCCCAATGGTGCGTTTGCAGCGATGTGCATATACTTCAAATATCTCGATGTACTTTTATCTGAATGTTTTCTCAGGCGTGGTCTATGCAGAAGAAAAAGGTTTATGGAAATGTGGTGTTTGCCCGTAAAATTTAGCGAATGTAGGGTTCAATCCCACATTGCTACGACATTTTACTATGGTGGTTGTTGTTATTGACATTTCGATAACTGCCATAAAACACAACGCAGCATAAACTGCTTATTGTGGCGGCTATTCCAAAGGGGCAACATATATGGGTCTGTCGAAGTTTCACGCTACAAGAAATATTCACAGCAATCCAAAAGCACAGTTTGTGACCTTTGAGTAGAGTGTGCATTTTGCTATTGTTTGGAAGAAGTGTATTTTCGATCGCTCATCACCACATCAACAGTTATTGTTGAAATTGGGATTTCGCTGAGATGTATACAGGAGACATGCAACACAACGGAGTTAATGTGTAGAAGTGATAGAAAACGTTCTAGAAAGCTGTAATGCAATGGAACATAATACTCCAATTAATTTAGTAAGGAGAATACTAGCAATAATGATGATAGAAAACAGAGGTCTAATTATTCATATTCATCAAGCGATAGTAACTAAACCTACCATCTGGCCATTTTATTGTGAAATTCCTGTTGATGTTTTGTCCCAGAATGGGCGTTCTTCAACATATAGGCAATAACAATCACCCGCTGTGCACAAAAAGCAAAGAACATTAGCAACAAATCTGGTTGTTTGAAAAAAATAACTAATAACAATTATAATAACATGAAAGAAGGCTTTCGCTTTCTTCGTCTAGGTATTAAAATTTTGGCCAAATGGACTGGGGAGACGATACTAAAATTCAAATATACATTTGGACCTTTGATTTTTATATATCGAAAATATTCTATCGTCAAATAGGAATAGTATTTCAAGTTGAATATCTCAATAGAATCTCTTTGGAACCCATTGGCCCCTTCCGTGGAAGACAATTGATTTAGCATAACATACAAGCTACACCTTAAGCCTGGTTATTAGCGAGAACACAAAAGGAAGCAAAGTGCTCTGGAATGCGATATGCGATAAGAGGGCAGTCAAACATAAGTTCCGTAATAAGGTATATGCTTGCTTTCTGCCTGCAATGCTGGCCCACATACCTCATGAAATGGACATTGCTAGCAAGGAAGGCTTCCCTATAAAAATAATCACAACTGATTACTCCGCCATCTGAAATAAAGATTACTGGTGTGAATGTCTGTACCACAGTGCATCACCGCCCATACCGTGCTGCAACGCCCAGATTGCTAAATAACATTATGCCCTATTAGGTAAATCGCAGCCCCGAAGAGAGCCAAATGTCGTCACTTGAAATGCGACATTAGCCCTTATCGGAAAATGAACCTCATCAGGTAATAACTATTAGATGTAAACTATCAGTGTAAACTGCCAGTCTAAGTATAAACAGTTGGTACAAACAGTTAAGTAGGGCGTTAGAGAAAACTATCAAGTAAATTGCTAAGGAAAACTGTAAGTAAACCAAAGTGAACCGTGAACTAAACTGTTGGAAACTGTTACTGTGAAGTATAATTTTCAAATCAATCCAAATTATGTATGTAAAAAGAGATAATATATAATGGTATAATGGTTTTAAAAAAAGAACGGATATGAAATAAGACAAGGCCAAAGTATGAATAGTTTGAACAACCAAGACAAAAGTCGCTAAGAATGAATGATAGATTTTTGGTATCGATATCATCAAGAAAAGAAAGCGCCAATTAAAGTCGGCATATGAGCAAACCACTTTAGGACATTGTACTTCATCATACTGAGAAGAAGAAGTGAAACAACGGGGAAACCATTTATATCAATAATGGCTTAGAAGTAAAAGAAGAGACCGTAATACCCGTAAATTATTTGTGTAAACATCTTTTGTATGCAGCAAAAATATTGTTCACACTTCACTTAAGCGAAAACTCTTCTCTTGACCAAAGTGGTGGCAGTTGTGAAAGAAGTAGTAGTAGTAGTACCTGCAGCAGCAGAGAAAATAGCACTAATATCATTAGGGTAGGAAGTGGCAGTGCTACTGGCGGTAACAGTACCATAAGTGATACCAGTGGTAGCAGCAGAGCTAATTTCTTGTGGAGTAACAGAACCAGAACCCAAAAGCTTACCAACAAAGGAGAAGATGGCACTGATGTAAGAAGAACCGTTAGCCTTCAAGAAGTTCAAAGCAGAGTCCAAAACACCAGAAGACTTGGCCCATCCGTAAATGTCTTCAACAACAACCAAACCAGTTTTCAAAGCAGAAGTCAAAAAGTTGACAGTTTGTGTTGGGTTTTCAATAACCTTCTTGAACAATGATTGGACAATTCCAGAGTCTTTGATGGTTGTAACAACATATGAGATAATGGAAACCAAGTCTCTCTTGTCCAAGTATTCATCTTCACCATCCAAGATTTCTCTCTTGAAAACTTCATCAACTTCTCTCTTAACTGGGGCTGGAGTAGCAAAAGCTTCAATTTCTCTCTTGTAAGCACCAGAAGCAGCAGGAGCAGAAGTAGTTGGGGTAGACTTGCTACCACCAGTCAACAAGTTAATAGCAGTGGAAATAACAGACTTAATAACACCAAGGAAAGCAGATCTCAATTCAGCATCGTTAATAAACTTGTTGAAGATTTCTTGAATCAAACCGGCATTCCAGATAGCCTTGATCAAAGAAGGACCGTGGACCAAAGCACCTTGAATAGCAACCTTAATAAGACTGTATATTTCTGATTTCAAAGCTTGGTCAGTGGTTAAAGTGTGGAAAACATCACCAATGATACCGGAATTAAGTAAAGCAGTAATAAAGTTACCAATGGCGCTTTCTCTCTTTTCCATGTAGATTTCGTAGGAAACATCATCTTCAAAGGCATCTCTCTTTTGAGTACCTAAAGCTTTAAGCTCATCCAAAAGAGCAATCAACTCAGAAGCTTCAGATCTCTTCATCAAAGTGTTTTCAGACATCATGATGGTGTGTTCCGAAGAAGCAGCAAAGGCGGTGGCGGCTAATAAGGATAAGGCAGTAGCGTGGGACAACTTCATTGTGAATTAATATGTGCTCTTTTGTTAATTTAAAGTTTTCTAGGGAAAGGCTTCTGTTGTTGATAAGAATGCTTTTGGATTGTTATCTTGTGATGATAAAAAAGAAAAATAAGTAAATTTCTCTAAAAGAAAGATTCTTCCACCTCTTATATATATTTTCCAGAAGTCCTTTCTTTGTTTGTTGTGGGGTCTATTTCATTCGTATCACACTATTTGACTTGAATGGGTGCAAATTACTTATTTCCCAATACGGTAATAGCACTGGATACACGATAGTGCAGCTTTTGCAACAATTCCCAATTGCGGAAGTTTTCGTCCAACCTTCAACTTTAGACGTGGTGGCCACAGTATCCGTTCCTACTGAAAAGGGTAATGTAAGAGGTTGTCGCTTGTTGTATGGACAAGAGTTAATTTCAGTAAGCAGTAGGTGTAGGGTTTGTGGTGGTTTTAGAAATTGAGTTAAGAGTTTTACACCCAAGCGAAGAAGAGCCCATTTACCGTTTACGACCATGGAGAGGAGTCGAATCAAGTGAAATAGTCGGAAATGAAGTTGAAATGAAAAAAGAGTGAGTATGTAAGGAAATGTTATGTAATGAGTAGGTAAAGAAATGTTATGTAATGAGTAGGTAAAGAATGTTGTATAGTGTCTAGTCTTCTAACCTTAATAACTACTAGTTCAATTTGCTAAGAACAAAGGACTAACGAAAAAAAAGACTTTGCTAACCTCAAAACCCTAGGGTTTTCTAACCCGAAGAGACATTGTCATTCTACACCTTGTATGGTAAAATATTGATTTAATGTTTACAATCCTAAGATTAGTCTGCTTAAGTCTTTGATTATGATTATTCCTTTTTCTGACCCGGAATCACGGTAGCGCACACTCAATTTAGTTACCGTAAGCGGTAACTATCTTGGGTTCATCTATGGTCACAAAAAGTTGTGTCTACTACTACTTTGAAGTTTTTGTAGATATGGCGGGGTTTGAATAGGGCAGAACGAACATATTAGGATATTTTTCCCAGCAAGTAGTTACTGAAAGCAGAAAGGGCTTATTGGTCGTCAATCCCAAGTGCATCTTATTGTTGGATGATGGCCGAGGACTCTGCGTTGTCAGGAGGGGTGCTGTAGATTAGATTTAAAGAAGCGAGCCAGAAGCAGTATTGGATCGAACGTTAGCTATCCTTTCTTGGAATATAGTATAGCGTAGTATTTCAATGGGTAGAGAACAGTGTACATCATTATGAAACAATCTACGACCTTATGAAACAACCTACAGCGGTGCACTAACATTCTCTAAGATATACGGCATCATACAAGCATTATTGTCCAACACTATGAACATTATACTATGCTATCTAAACCTATAGCAGTGATTTCATATCATTCATTGCACTATTATTCGCCCGTCCACGTTCCATTCAGCCGTTTGTGTAAGGATGAGAAGGGAAAAAAATTTTCGAGGCAGTACTAAAGCGCGCGATAGCCCTCTTCACAAATGGACCTGGCTTCCTGGCCTGATAACATTTCTTTCTTACCACCAGATACCATGTCGTCTACAGGAGTGTCTTATACGGGGGGTGCTGGTACATCCACACAAGAGTCGACATCGGCTACTGGGGTCAGTGCCAATTTGGTTGCCATCGATACTTTGGGTAAAAAGTTCAATGTTCCTGATTACACCATCAAGGACATTTTAAGTGCGATTCCCAAACACTGTTATGAGAGGTCTTTGGTTAGATCTTTAGGGTACGTTGCTCGTGACATTGTCAGTATGGTTGTTATTGGTTATGCTGGGAAGAAGTTGATCCCCTTGGTTGCCTTTGACGAGAGCGACTTGTACAGTTATTATGTTAGAGGCGCGTTATGGTTTGGGTTGTCTTATGTTCTTGGATTGTTTGGCTTCGGTCTTTGGATTTTGGCTCATGAGTGTGGTCATGGCGCATTTTCTGATTATCAAAACATCAACGATTTCTTTGGCTGGATCATCCACTCTTATCTTATGGTTCCTTATTTCTCATGGAAATTCTCCCATGCTAAACATCATAAGGCTACTGGTCACATGACCAGAGATATGGTTTTCATTCCTCACACCAAGGAGGAATACCTTAAGAGCTCTGGTGTCAACACGGTTGCTGAGTTGATGGAGGAATCTCCTATTTGGACTCTTTCAAAGCTTATTGGTCAACAATTGGGTGGATTGCAATTGTATTTGGCTACTAATGCTACTGGTCAACCATACCCTGGTTATTCCAGAATAGCCAAGTCCCATTACGCACCTGCGTCACCTGTGTTTGACAAGCACCAGTATTGGTATATTGTGTTGAGTGACATTGGTATTGGTCTTACTCTTACTGTGGTTTATCAATGGTATAAGAACTTTGGTATGTTCAACATGGCTGTTTACTGGCTTATGCCTTGGTTATGGGTCAACCATTGGTTAGTGTTTGTCACTTTCCTTCAACACACAGATCCAACCATGCCCCATTACGCCGATAAGGAATGGAACTTTGCCAGAGGTGCTGCTGCTACCATTGATCGTGATTTTGGATTTGTAGGTCAACACATTTTCCACGACATTATTGAGACCCATGTTTTGCACCACTATGTTTCTCGTATTCCCTTTTACAACGCCAGAGAAGCCACCGAGGCCATCAAGAAGGTTATGGGTGAACACTATCGTTACCAAGGTGAAAACATGTGGATTTCATTATGGAAATGTATGAGACTGTGTCAATTTGTTGATGACCAAGACCATGCAGCTAAGGGTGTTTACATGTTTAGAAACCACAACAACATCGGCGTCAAGCCAACTTAGAGTATAGAATAGATATATTACTGTATTTATTATCGGTACTACAAACAATTCGAACTTAACTATGGCATCTCCGAGCTTATACACACTTTTCGCGCCTGCATACAAGCGCAGCTTTTTTTCAACCTGATGATCTTTGATCACACTAACATTAAACCATACTACTATTCCCTTTAGCCCACCAGTGGCAGCTTCACCATGATCATACGAACACGGGCACGCGCATGTTTGAGAACACGGCCCGGCGGAAGTTTGCCTTTGATGTACCGAGGTCTAGCAGTGCTACAGAACATCGTCGTACATCATCATCATCATCATCATCATCATCACGTACGACGGGCCCAAAGACGCCTCAGTGTTAGAGCGAAACCAACGTCAATTGGTGGCGCATCGTCGTTGATTGAGACCAGTCGGTTTTCTGGCGACAATACCAACAAGTCCGGCGACAATTGGACTCGATTGTTGAAGGTTGTAAGCAGCCAAAAGACGACGTACACCGACCAATCATTGAAGGAGGTGGACCATATCTGGACCACCATGGTGAACATGTTTGGTGCGGAGCCTTCCAGAGAGCGACTACACAAATTGTGCCAGTTGTGGGTGGCAGGAACTACCGAAGGAAGGGCGCCAGAGCTTCAAGATATCTTTCTACGTAAGAAGGACGTGTTCATCCACATTTTGATCAACACCAGGTCGTACCAAGTGTACACCAACTATGTGGAGCCATTGTACCGCGACGGCGAACGACGAATCGAACGGACCTGGGCGGACGAGGTGATCACGACGTTGCAGTTCCAGAACGACGAGAATGGACTTTTGGTGTTCAACGAAAACGCCATTCGGTCGTTCCTAGCATCCAGTAGCTCCACCACGACACATTGCATTGAATCCAAGTCGAAGTTGCTCACAATATTCATACGAAAGGGATTACTTTATTCAACCGACCACAACGAACGACTCGCTTTAATCAACCATTTCCTTCGGTTCCTCCGCATTATCCACCACGACCACTGTTTGTTCATCGACAATGAGTATCGAAATTATTGGAAGGCTGTAGCCGAGATGGCCACGCCTCCCGTCGATGTGATTGCATATGATTACGCCCACGAACTCCGGAAGGTGTTTAGTCAGGTGTTTGGGGACGAAGAATCTCGTTTTAACAACTTTTTGACTCTGGCAATGAATGCTGTACGAAGCTATTCGCCGGCAAACACCTTGAGTTATTGGGACTATAAATTAGAGTCAGTGTACGAAGAAGATCTCAATACTAATAATGTCGGTAACGTGTTCCATCACAGAGACTTGACTAATGCCATGAAGGCCCTACGGGCGCAAAATCTCCATAAGGAAGTGTTCAAGCTTCACAATAACTTTCCCGAGCTCCACCACGACGAACAGATCGACGTCTTGTTGTACACTTGTGAAGACGCCAAGGATTGGATGATGCTCCAGGACCATTTCGAACGAATGTATGGGAAGGGTGATCTTCCTCTTCCTATCCACTATGCCATTGTCATGAACGCATTAGCTGGCATTGGCGCCACGGCGGATGTCGAACGGCTTTTCAGTCAACTTCTAAAGCGAAACTTGATGCCCAATTCGTACGTCTATGCTGCGTTGATCAAATGTCGTTTGAACGACGATCAAATCGATGATGCCATCAAAATAGCAGAGTCGTATTTTTCTTTGCTTGATAAGGGGAAAGTGTCGGATAAACCCACAACGTACCTCTACAATTTGATTTTAAAGGCACACACACGATCTTCAGATTTGGGGAAAGCCATAAGCTTCTTGGAAAGAGTCGTGGTACAGCAACAGACAATGAAGACAAAGTTAATAAGCTACTCATTGCTTGGTGACATTGTACGGTTTGCGTCCAAGAATTTGGGCATTAATGAAATTATTAAAGTGAAACAAATAGCCGTGTCTCTACAAGCGGACGATATCCCTTTCAGGCTACAGTTGATAAAGGCATACACAGCCTTGGGGTTTTATCAGAAGGCAGACGAAGAAATAACCACGGCCCACCAAATGTCCGACATACCGTTCAGTCTGCCACATGTCTGTGCCGTGCAAGTCCGCAACTGCTTCTTCTGGTACCAGCGGGCCCAGTCGACCGAGAGAAAGAGGCTCTTGGTCGATAACATAAAGTTCATTGTCGCCCGTTTGTATGATGGAACCTTAGCAAACAGTGGGAAAGGCCATTTGATAGCCGAACTAATTCGATACTACGTCTATCGTGGACCTTTAGCCAATGCCACCAGTCTATTGGAACTTGCCAAACGTCTTGAAGTCGTCCACGAGAAGCACTATCTTCCCTTGTTGAAGCATTATTCGTCCCAGGACGAGATGGAGTCCCAGCAACAGGTGTTGGCGCTCTATAAGGACATGGCCGTCAACCGGATCAATGCCGGAGCAAAGACTTATGTTTCGCTAATGAAGGCCTTGAACTACTTGGACGGAAGAGTAGGCAACTTTGACAGATCCCAGGAACTACTTCGGACCATCTTTGATACCTATGGATTATCTGTTAATTCTCCAACAGTCAAGGATGCAGTCTCGTTCGACAGTGTCTTTAATGATGCCAGTGAATTGTGCTCCATCGTGTCGCTCTACGTCATGTCACGACACCCATCACCCAACGAAGTGTTGTTCAACTTCTTGGAGCAAATGAAGCAAATCTTGAAAGACAAAATCACCAACGATTTCCGTTACTTGGTGGCCTTGGACATGGCCCAGTTGTATTACCAACAGGGTAACATTTCGTTTGCTATTATGTTGGCGAAGAACACGGTCGGAGAAATGAACGAAGTGTTTGATAAGTACTGGCACAGCTATTGTGTGTCGGGGTTACCCATTTCGGACTTTAGATACCCAAAACAGTTGACGCAGATTTACCAGAAACTTACCAAGCTTTTGTTTGCAAACACCAGCGATGAAGAGATTGAGAGCTATTACCATGAAGCGGAACAACATCATGCCCTACTTCTGGGTACACAGTATAATTCTGTCATGAGATGTCTTTTAGATAGAGGCGGACTTAAGGAAGCACTTGAGATTAGTGAGCGACATTTAATTTCGGGAAATTTGGTTGAAAGGAAATTATACGAAAGACTACAATACTATTGGAAATTATTCATTCTTCATCAGTTCCAAGCAAAAGGTGTGCCTGCTACCTTGACAGAATATGCCATACTTAATGAATTTTACGATATTCGGAATCCTAAAGAATTAATGTCTGAACTTCGTCACATCAAGGAACCTCTTAAAGCATTACAAAAATTTATTGATAAGGAGGGTGTTCCTTATAAAAAGAACTTGAAGATAACCGGATTATTAAAGTTAATCCCCCAAGTATTTAATCCAGAGTACAGAATTTTTTCCGACAAAAAAATCCACCAGCACATAATTAACCAATTAAGAAAGGCCCTTAACCAGTACATTGGCAAAGATACAAACAAAGCATTCCAACTAATGGACGACTACGAAAGTACCCTCATGTTCCTCATAGAAGAGAAAGGGATGGGAACAAAAATGTGGAAGTTCAGAAAGGAAATTGATCAGATATTAAAACCGCAAGGAGGAACCCACGAAACACTTGTACAGAGAAGAAAGAGAACCATAGAAGCATTGACTCTTGCACATAATAATAGTCAAAATAAAACATTCTTGTAAATAATAGACAGTCCACCTTCAATTGTATATATAGATATTTATTAATGTATGTATGACTACATTAGGCATCTTGTTCGGGAATCGGAGTAGCATCGGGAACCAACTCGGACTCTGATGGGTTACTTTCAGGAGACTCTGGTACTTCATCAATTGGTTCTGGATCAGGAACTGACTCTGCTTCATTTGGTGATACTTGTTCCATTGAGACAGGTTGTGATGAGACAGATTCCGCCACGTTTGTACTTGCATCATTATTTTCCGTATGATGATTCTCCGTATTAATATTATCCGAATTCATATTCTTATCTAATTTTTCAGACACTTTTGAAATTATCCGTTCTAGTTTTTCCGAATCTTGTTCAACTTCAACTTCAATCTTCTTCTTTATCTTCATCTTTAAGTCTTCCGTAGATTCAGTCTTGGACTTGGTCTTATCATTCTTATTCTTATTCTTGTTCTTATTCTTATTCTTATTTTTGTCTGTCTTAGCAAACGTGAATGTGGATCCAGTATCAATTTCTCCATACATTAACGGACCAATCCAAGGCTGGATATTCCATTCCAACCGAAGTTTAGCTTCCCGGTTACGGAATGACTTTTCCACGTCCCAAACGGAATATTTCCCTCTGGCCTTTCTTAACCGCAAATATGCATCATTTTTAGACGTAATGATCTTATCCCAATAAGTAACTCGATTAGAAGCTTCTGGACCCTTCCCATCGTATTCAGCAGTTAAATACACAAACACTTGTTTGGTGTTCCACTTGAAAAGGGAAGTTAAATCTGCGTCCAAATCAAACGTAAGCTTCGAGTTCTCCTTGGGCTTCCCCTCAATGGCTCCAAATAGTCTTGAAACCCTAACATTGGCACTTGGCTCAATGTGGTTCATGGATGCGGTATGTAAATTCCACACGTCTTCCTTGTACAATTGAAGGTACGTGATGGCAATAATGAATCCCGATACCACGAGTGCCACCGTCATCAACTTGTTGGCCACCCCTTGGAACCGATTGACAAGGTTAAACATGGCTTAATTCGAGGATGAAAATGGTTGGAGTTCATTTTGACGTGTTGTCTGCTTTAAATTTGGTTGTTTGAATAGTCCGGTTTTGTGTAACAACAACAAGTAAATTGGTCACAGGTTCGAGTCTCCGCCGGGTTGAAAATTCTCTTCAACTTTTTACGTTCGAATCTCAACCAGGTTGGAAAAAAGGTCGTTCGTTTATCAATACATTATTATAAAGAACTATAAACCTTATAAAGTATTTAAATATTCCTGATACAACTTCTCTTGTTGTTGATATTGTTTCATAAGTTTCTTTCTCATACTCTTTGTGACTTCTTCACCTTTGGAGTCTTTGGTTGGCAATCCTTGTTCGTCCCATTCACTATAAGTATCATCTTGTTTAAACAAATCCTTAGGGTTAATTTTCATTTTGATTAATCTCTCCCTTTCCTTCTGTTCATTTGCTAACCGTTGAGCTTCCTTCTTCTTTTCTTTTTCCAAAGCAATTCTTTCTCTTTCCTTTTGTTGAGCAAGTAATTCAGTGACTTCCTTTTGGTTTAAGAATTTAATTAAAGCACTTTCATTGGGTCTATCATCAAGTGAGACTCCAATGTTAATCAAGTCGGATCTCAACTTGTCACTCAATTGTAACACCTTACCAGCTTCTATCTCCTTATTAATGGCAAGCGTACGAACACTATCACGGAATTCAGATAATAACTTAACATATGGTAAGGCAATATCTTCTGTCGAAGCAGCAATTCCACCGTCACTTGCTGAAGATTCTTCATCTACCCAGCCAAGCTTATCATTTCTGACGTTAAACCCTAAAATACCCAAGATCTTAACGATATATTGGGTGACTGCTATCAATGGCTCAAGACGAATGGACTTATTGGCGGAAGATTCTTGAATATAGTTGTTGGCAATTGAAACCAAACTTAACAAGTGTCTCAAGGCACTTGATGATGATAAATTGTCACAGAATGATTCATGAACATTCTGTTGATTCTCCGCCAATTTCTGAAACAATTGCTTAGCTTTATCATCTAATTTCTTGGAAGCATCCAGCTTATCTTTAACTTCATTATTCAAAGCACGAACATTAGTGAAAAATTTCGATACGGTGGATTCAAACCCTTTAACTTCATTAACCAAACTATCTTTGAAGTCAATTGGTTTTTCCCATGAACTTAATGCAAACACCAATCTTAATTGACGAGAACTGAAATCATTTAATGCTTCTTCAACAGTGATAAAGTTCTTCAATGATTTAGACATCTTTTGTCCTTGAATATGTAAATGACCATTATGCAAGAAATAATTAACCCATTGCTTAGAGTTGAAATAGGCTTCAGATTGGGCTATTTCATTATCATGATGAGGGAAACATAAATCAATTCCTCCAGAATGAATATCCAAAGTTTCTCTTGGAGAAACATCTGATGCCATAACAGAACATTCAATATGCCATCCAGGTCTTCCCTCTCCCCATTTAGAGGGCCATGAAGGTTCCCCATCCTTTGAAGCCTTCCAAAGAGCAAAATCAGACGAAGTTTTTTTACCAGAACCTCCGATCGACAAAGACCCTTCACCATCTTCAATTAACAGTAAATCACCTTTGTTCCAGGGTTGTAACTTGGCATAATCATGATTAGGATCATTTTCAAACTTGACAGTATCAAAATATACAGATCCATCTGGTGTAGCATAAGCATAGCCATTGTCAATGATCTTATCAACAAAATCAATAATTTCAGGTATGTATTCAGAAACTCTGGTGGTAATTGAAGGAGGTAAAACATTCAATCGACTCATATCTTCATTGAATTTGTTCTCCCAATATGCTGCCAACTTTCTAAAGATAGAAGGATCAGTGACACTCTTACCGTATTGCTTATCCAAATAAGGCATCACTATATCTTTAATGTTCTCTGTGAACACAGCGACATCAATTGACTTGCCATCTTCACTATAAATAACAGAATGAGCGTCCTTAACGGCTTTAAGGAACATCGGCAACTTAGGCTTGTCTTTGGAAAGCTCCGCAACATTCAATTGCTGACTCCAGCCAATAAAGTCTGCCTTTACTGATGATAAACCAGAAAACTCAGGCAAGTTCTTTGCCACGTATTCGTTCAAAGCAGATTCTGCCATTGCCCTCAACTCGTCAGTAACAACGGAATATTCGTCCACAATCTTGGTTTGAACCAAGTGTTCTTGACGAGCAGCTAAGATGATCTTATCGTCTATATCAGTGACGTTCTGGATAAAGAGGACCCCGTAGCCAAAGTAGTCTTGGAGAATACGACGACACAAGTCGGTGGATACGTAGTTCCGTGCGTGGCCCATATGGGTATGATTATACACTGTAGGACCACATGAGTACCATGTGATTTGGCCATCGACAACGGGGACAAAGGGAGTCTTGGTTCTGGTTAACGAGTTGTATAGTTTGAGCTTTGGTGAGGTCTGGGGCTCCACCGGGGCGTGCCACGTGGGCTGTTGGACTTTGGCTGTTGACGGTTTAGTCAGCATTGCACGGAAGGATTTGCGGAAGAGCGATCTTGACATACATAAGAAGAGTTGGCGTTGACTGTTTTGGTATGTGGTTTGACGATGTTTGAGATTATGTGAGTTGGCTGGTCACGTGATCAAAAATTTTTCAAACGGAAGTACTGCGACTCACTACTGAGTCACAGTACAGGGGATAGTAAGTGATAGTAGAGAGACACTGCAGGGGTACAATGAATAGTACAGAGTCACGGTACTGAGTGTGAAGTACAGTGTATACTTCGTATACTACAGTGTATAAATAGAAATACACCTCTACAATCAAAATCGTTATATGTTACAACTATTTATCTGTTAGTAATAATTCAAAAGAATAATAATGTCAAAATGTCAGTCTTGTATTGGTTTCAAAGAAAGTATTGGCCCATATGAAACTAGGCGTGTTTCGGTCCCAATACCCCGTCAAACGCAAATTATAAGTCATCATGTTAATCACGACAAATTAAGTAGTCACATACAATAATTATATACGTGTAATCATATACATGTAGTCAATTGGTAAAGAAGATAATAAGAAAATAACATAATGTTCTCCGATAAAATACTATTATTAATGCACCATCTTGAAGAATTTCAATTAAAATAGGGCTATAGCCCTAAGTATCACGTGTTACAATATAACCGTCCGTTGTTCCCTTGTCTTATCGCATCTCACCTCTTGGTTGGTATGGACACTTCCATGAACCTTCCATTTTCGGAACACAATAACAATTTGCAATCCTATCAAAGGGCACTAATAGCTACAGTATGCCTCTACTACCAAACTATACTGTCACTATATACACCACCGCACATCGATACACAAAGCCATTTTGCTTCTTTTGTGTTGTGTCCCAAAGCTCAAAAAAAATTTTCAGTTGAGTTTGTTAGTGTCACTCCATTGAAAACTACTTCACACTATTCTCACATACTTCCTCTCCAACTCCCCTTAATATCCATAGTCATGTCCTCTGTTACTACATCCAACTGGAGATTCGTTGAATTGGGCCGTGTTGTCTTGATCGACAACAAGGAATTGGCCACTATTGTTGAAATCATTGACCAAAAGAGAGTTTTGATTGATGGTCCAAATGTTTCAAGACAAGCTATTGCATTAGCTAAGGTTGTTTTGACTCCATTAGTTTTACCAAACTTACCAAGAGGTGCTAGATCCACCGTTGTTGCCAAGAAGTGGGCTGCTGCTGAAATTGACGGTAAGTGGGCTAAGACCTCATGGGCTAAGAAGTTGGCTTCAAGATCCAAGAGAGCTCAATTATCTGACTTTGAAAGATTCCAAGTTTTGGTGTTGAAGAAGCAAAGAAGATTTGCTGTCAACAAGGCTTTGGCCAAGGCCTAAAATATAAGTGCATGTCTTTAGGAGATGATGTATTGTGTATTATAAGCTTTATAACATAATGAATAAAAGGTTTATTAAGGTTAACGATGGACGCAGGCACTTAGTTTACTATGTGTACGTGTGCAGTGTAGAAGTAGTGTTACCTGTAGCCATAGTACTGCCATATAGTATATGCCTATACTTAACAGTCGTACAGCATACGGTTTCCAGTTCACTCTAAGCAGGTACTTAAGTATACACAGATATACACCACAGTATATATAGTATGGCTATATAGTGGGTCTATTATATATACAGATTTATTTACAAGACTATTTATTTACTCTGTTGTTTCTTTTCAAACTCCGCAATCAAGTCCCTTTGAACGTTAGGCATCACCTGAGAGTATCTACAGAATTCCATAGAAAACTCTCCCTTACCCTGAGTACATGCTCTTAATGAAGTGGAGAACCCAAACATGTCGCTCAAGGGACACTCAGCAACAACAGTAAACTCGTCAGGTCCATTGACAGTATCCACAATCATTCCTCCCAACTTGTTCAACAATCCAACCACGGAACCTTGGAACTCGTTGGGTGCACTCACTTCGGTAGTCATGATAGGCTCCAACAACACCGGGTTGGCATTCAAGAACGCTTGTTTAAAGGCTCCCTTGGTGGCGGTTCTAAATGATAATTCAGATGAATCAACAACATGTGTTTGACCATCGTTGATGTGCATGTGAACCCCCAAGACCTTATGGCCAATCAAAGGGCCCTTCTCCAACATATCTTCGAACCCCTTAGAACAAGCAAACAAAAACTTCTCAGGGATCTTACCCCCCACAATGTGATGAGTAAACTTATTCTCGCCCTCTATTGGTCCAAACTCACCAATAACACGTCCGTATTGACCAGCACCTCCAGATTGTTTCTTGTGTGCATAGTCAAACTTGGTGGCAGAAGTAATGGCTTCTCTATAGCTAACCTGAGGTTTACCAGTGATACATTCCACGCCGTACTCTCTCTTCATTCTTTCCACGTAGATCTCTAAATGTAATTCTCCCATACCACTGATGATAGTCTCCTTCGACTCCACATCAAACTTGACTCGGAACGTGGGGTCCTCCTTTTGGAACCGGTTCAAGGCCTTGGAAAACGCACCGTTGTCCTTGGACTTGGGCTGGATACTCAAGGAGATCACAGCTTCAGGAACAAACATAGAACTCATGGCCACTTGTTCGTCCAGTGTAGCAGCAACAAAGGTATCACCAGAGGAACAATCAATACCAAAGGTAGCACAGATCTCTCCGGCACCAACCTCTTCAACATCTTCCATATCTTTAGAGTGCATTCTAACCAATCTGGCCAACTTGACCTTTTTCCCGGACTTCAAGTGCTTCATATAAGCACCCTTCTTCAACTTACCTTGGTACACTCTAATGTACGTCAATTGACCGTATTTGCCTTCTTCCAACTTGAATGCCAACCCCACAAAGGGTTGAGACGACGAGGGAACTAAAGCCACGGGCGTTTCAACTTCAGGAACTGACACGTCTAATCCAACATTCAAAACTTCATTTGGTTGAGGCAAATAGTCAACCACAGAATCTAAAACAGGTTGGATCCCCTTGTTAGCCAAGGCAGACCCCATTAAAACAGGAGTGAACTTTCTGCCAATAGTAGCTCTTCTGATGGCCCCTTTAATTTGGTCAACAGTTGGTTCTTCTCCCTCTAAATAAATGTCGGCGATTTCTTCATCAACATCAGCTAATGTTTCAATCAACACTTGACGTTTCTCTTCAACCAAATCAACCAAATCTTCAGGAATCTCACTAACAATACGCAAGTTCTCACCTTGTGATCCTTCAAAGTAAACGGCTTGTCTGTCAATGATGTTCACGACCCCTTGGAACTCCGACTCGGCTCCGATGGGCACTTGAATAGCTGCGGCAGGAGTCTTCAACTTAGAATTGATCTGTTCAATGGCTCTGAAGGGATTGGCTCCCATTCTATCCATCTTGTTAACAAAGGTAATCCGAGGAACATTGTATCTTCTCATCTGTCTATCAACAGTCACAGTTTGAGATTGAACTCCAGATACAGCACACACAACCAACACAGCACCATCTAAAACTCTCAAGGCTCTTTCAACTTCAATGGTGAAATCAATATGCCCCGGTGTGTCAATCAAGTTGAAATGGTATGCTTTATTGTCCTTGTCCCAACTACAATAAGTAGCAGCAGATTGAATGGTGATACCTTTTTCCCTTTCCAAATCCATATGATCCATCTTGGCACCAACGGAATCACGTCCTCTAACTTCATGAATGGCTTCAATACGTCCAGTGTAAAAGAGAACTCTCTCAGTGAACGTAGTCTTCCCCGAGTCAATGTGTGCTGAGATCCCAATGTTTCTCATCTGACGAATGGCGGCCTTCTCTCCGTCACTCAACTTGGTATTAACTTCATCGATAATAACCTTCTCTCCATCATAAGTGGCTGGAACCTCTTCAATACTGTGGATGTTTCTTCTTATGGGTTGTGGAAACCTTCTGAATCCAGAAACTAACCCCGGTCTGCCCCCACTAAAAATGCTCCTGGCGTGGGGAAACGCTCCAAAAGCACGACGTGTGATCAGAGCCACAGACATCTTTACTTTCAGTTTGAATTGACAGTGTGGTCTTAGAGATTATGATTCAAACAGAATTGAAAAATTTTCGATTATGCAACGTGATTTCCTAAAACGGAAATGTCACAATTCCTCTAGAATAGGATATTGGTGTCGCGTTTTACTTATACCCAGACGGCCATATGCCTTCTATCTTGATGAGGTGTAGTTACATCTACTTTCCATGTCATGGACTACGCACTTACATTGATTCGATTATGATGGGTAGAAATAATATGGCAAATAGAAAGAACATTAATGGTTTCATCAGAGTCATTAAATCAGTTTTTTTATGGTGTAGTCAGGGAAGCATTGATAAGCTCCTCGTACAGTGTGAATATTAAAAAAATCATCATAAAAACCACTTGATATTCAATCAATTATGCCAGAATTAAATCTAACTTTAATCATAAACAAATACATCTATAGTTTATAAAACGAAATCCTAATTCAATAGTTAGTATTAAACCCTCATAATTGATAATCATTTCAACTGTCATATTTGATTAAAAGTCAGCAAACGACCTTTCATCAACTCTTAAATACCAATGGCTCAATTTTGTACACTAGAACCACGACTCCTCCCCTAATTGTACAAGGAAGGGATATTTAAGGTGAATATGTCCGCCCGGTCGACAGGTATCATCACAATAATAACTATAGACAGTTGTATGCATATAATTCACATACCTTTAAAACATGTTAGTTAAATTTATCATTGAATAATAAAATCTCACTTCAAAACGACCAATGAATATTTGGCTCATACAAGGCTGAAACTTAACGAAAATGCTATTGTCAACCCGGATAATTCAGTTGGAACAATTGGTAAAAAGCAAATAATCTTCGCCATTCAACAGATCCGTATCGAAGGAATCAATAAAACACATACCATTCCGTTTGAAATCTATCTCTAAATATTCATTGATGAAAAGGTCGAATAAAGAAGAATGCCAAAACACAGTAGAAAAATTTTCTGGGAAATCCCAGGTATTTATACTAATTACATTGGTAAATCCACGACCATTATAAAGTATACTACAGTGAATCCAGTTTGTATTTTAATTTCATTGTTATAATCTTCTTGCTACATATATATTAATATATACGGATATTAAGTAATACCAAAGTAACTCCATTTCACTATAATTGTGAACAAGATATGAGCAACCGCCAATGATCCAATGATAAGTGTATGTTGTCTTGTAGCCAACTCCAAGTTATTATCGGCATTAATCAAGCAATTTCTCTTGATGATTGGGCTTAATTGATGTAAGTTAGAAAAACATGTTATCGCTCCACTAACACCAACAATTGTCCATTCTAAAATTGATATCAAAGTCTTTTGTTCTTCCACATGAACCAAAAGCACAATTAAAAAGTTGATACCAGTGATCGGCAACCACAAGATATTGGTGTAACCGTAGACGGAAATGGTGTGGACCAAGGGTACAGGTTCTGGAAACTTGAATATCCATCCACTAGCAATATACAATAATGCTGGTACTATAAGATTGTAGCCATAGAATATAGTCACTGATTTGGTCAAGAGATTGAAGTCATAACTAAACTTTTCATGAGCAGGATTCCAAAGTAAAAGGTTTGTACCCGTAGTACTAATAAACATCATCAACACGAGTGTTCCTGTGATCCAGATGAACCCATAAATCTCATTATTCAGAGGCTCATCACGATACTCTTCCATCTCCTTGAACGGGTTGGCAGCAGTGCGCAACTTCTTGAGGAAGATCTCACTGTCCAATTCAAAGTATCTCCTGTAAAAGTTAATCAGGAACATATGGCTGTTGGACGAAGATCCTGATTCAGATCCTTGTAATGGTGCTGATATTGAGGCGGCTGCCGGCTCTGTGGGAGTAAACATGGTCTGTTGAGGATCTGTAGATGTCAGTTAGTAGGAAGATAACACAACTGGTATATGTAGCGTTTCGTGTATACATACAATCTGGTTCTAGCAAACTATCTTGCTCTATTAACTTCCATTGAGGGTTAGTCTTTTGTTTTTGTGTATATATTGGTTTCGTAGTGACGTACGTTATTATTAACAGTCATTGTGCTGTGAAATGGACGTGGTTAATGGAGTTAAGCAGCAGCGGTGTTCTTTACAGGTTACAAATATTGATACGATTACTTTAGTCACGTGAGGCATCACGTGATGTTAAGATATAAACTATAACGACACATACAAGGTTGGATACGTGTGATTTCCAATATATATACAAATGTATATATATATATATATATATATATATATATAAATAAATATATTCTTTAATCTGAATGGTAATAGATTACTTTACTCTGCATACCTTATTCAACTCTTTCGCAGCCATCTACAAGGTATACTTGGACATCAACTGCAGTTTCCCATTTTGTTTCCAGGTATCATATTGATCTTTCTGAGAGAGATGGAGCACATCGTGTTGAAGAAACGTTGTGGGTTCGTAAGTGAATCCTGCTTTTAATGGAGACCCTTCATGGTTTCGGTGATGAAACACCGAGTCCAGCGTACTACTTTGTGGGTGAGAATCAATGATTGTGGAGGAAACTGGAAGCATCAGACTTTCGTTCGTAGTGTCGACCTCTTTAAAAGCACGTTCTTCGTCGTCATCATCTTCGGATGCTTTCAAGTTATGAGCCCAGTCTTGGGAAAAATAGGAGTCATCTGCTGTTGTTGGTTGGGGAAACACTCTTGACAGTTGAGACTCAGCTATTGTTGCTTCATCAGGGGAATGAGTTACTCCAAAAGGTGAAATAGGACGAGATAAACAAGAAGAAGATGGTGCATTAGATGTAAAAATGCTGAGTTTATCATGATTTACCAAAGTATTTTCATTCAAATTTTGATTCTCTTGGTGATAATACACTAGTTTCTCATTTGAAGTTCCCGGTGATGGTTTCATTTCTGGCTCAGGTTCAGGTTCCTTTTGATGACTTGATTGCGGACGATGCTGGACTTCAATATCATAAGATTTTGAATCATCATAGAGAGCTTCTATTTCCACATCGTTAAGATATCTTGTCTCAGGGAATTGAGTAATCACCAACCCCGATAAAATAGCGACCACACCAGCCGCAATAAATAGATATTGCTTGATAAACTTGATGGTTAGAGGCACCAAAAGCCTCAACACCGCATCAGTTATCCAATAGACTATCATGGCTAAAGAGATGGCCTTTGTTCTTGCGTAACCAGGGAATAGTTCACACACATAAGTCCAACTTACTGGTGTAATAAAGATGGCTTGTAACGAGACAAATAGAAGGAATAACGCTAGCACTGCCGAACTTGGGAGTCCTACTACCTTCATTTGAAACAACAGTGTATCATGATTGGCGGATGTCCCATAAACACAAAGTAGAGCCCCCAACGCAGTAAGACTTGCTCCAACAAGAACAAACCCAAACACAAGACTATCTTTCCTTCGACATGTATTAATTGACAAAGCCAGAAAGACCGAGAACACTAAGGTTGCCATATAATGGACTATGCTTACCAACTTCATACCACCTCCTCCAACTTGACATATCCCACAGAGTACTTCAAAGAAATACATAAGCACATGGATACAAGTCAATTGTGAAGCTATCATAACGAAGATGCTCATGGCTGTTTGTCTTCTGAATGTCTTTCCCAATAGTTTCCCATGCGAACACTCTCTAATTACCGGACCACTGGTATAAGCCTGTATCACTCTCCTTCTCCTTTCGTCATCATCATCTTCAGTTGCCACCTTCAATACTCTCTTATTCTTAGCAGTGGTCGTCTGGTTCATAAGTTGGATCTTATCCATGCTTACTGCTGCTTCTTGCCAACGGTTGTGCTGAGCCAACCATCGCGGAGATTGGGGGAAAAGAGCTCCACAGATTATGAAGACCAATGCCGGCACAATCTCAGCTATATATTGGTATCTGAATAGCATTGGGTTATGAAAGGCTGATATAAGCCAAAAGGTTAATCCCATCATCGCTACTGCTCCAATAGCATGCCCCACATGGAATATGGCTATGGCCGAGCCTCTGATTGAAGGCGCTAGAATCTCAGAAACATACATAGATACAATCAATTCTACCAATCCCATTCCTATTCCCTTGAGTACTTTACTGGCCACGACCACTGCTAGATGGTCCACAGCAAATACAAGAATGTTAGCAACGGTCCAGAAGATCCCGGCGCCTAAACATAATTTATGACACCCTAAACGCTCAAACAATACAGAGAACCCCACACACCCAACTATAACGAACTGTCAGTACCATCCTAATACTCATCATATTCTTAAGGTATACATACAAACTGCTCCGATGGAGCTACTGGAGGAAACTATGGTGTGCTCCCATCTGTTCATCAGTCCGTAAAGAACCCGGAATTGGGCCGAATGAAGTAGGCCAATGAGCGACACAGACTCACATCCAATCATGATCCCGCCAAAGAGAACACCGCTTTGAATACCATGTCTAGACCATCCCATGCTGTGTATATGTATCAGATCAATAGACTATTCAAAAGAGATCAATATAGTGTGCTTTTCAGAGTATAAATGGTGCTACGTACATTTTTTCGCAGCCATTGGTGTGTGCAACATATGAGCATATACGACTGGTTTTGTGTAACCTGTTTTCGAAGTGGAAACATCCGCAGACGACCCACACAATTCTAACTACGTACTGTTCTTCTCTTGTTGACATACACTGATACCCACGCGTCATGGACGACGACGAGGCATGGGGTTCCCGGTCGAGAACACGTGTCAGCGACAGTGAACTGAATCCCCAGGAAAAGGATATCTACTCACAGGAAACCTTCTTCAAACAAACCCTTTTGCCTTCCCCAGTTATTATAGACATTTATCCCCGAGTCAAAGTATGGACAAACAAACCGCTAGTGGGCCTTCTGTCCGAGAACGATGACGATGACAATTATCTTTGGAGTCCAAAAGACGAGTCGTCGCTGTGGCTGAACTTTGACTCGGATATATGGAACAGCACCATCAACAAAGTCTCAGATCCAAGTACGCTTCCCAAACGGTCCCAAGACGTTGAGGTGTTGGTGAAAAGAGGGTCTCTTAATGTTGGCGGGGTGGATTACATAATCAATTCTTCAATCAAGTCTTCATGTCTTCTCAAAGGAGATGATCGAACGGAAGACTCACTCATAATCTCCTTAGCTTCCGGCTACATTCTTTTAATCCGGTTGTATGTTGTTCCTGTCAACTTAGTGGATCGTATCGGCAAGAGAAATAATAGCAATATTAATAATAATAACGACGTCGTGCTACCATCTGCTGAGACAACACTTAGACCGTACGTTGTTCAGTGGTGGAGTACTAGCCATATCAAGCCCAATAGCATGTTGAACACCCCAGGACAAAAGTTGCTTTCCAATAGAGGTGCTCAATCAGTCGTGGTGACGTCGCCATGCAATATGTTCCGAATTCATACGGTGAAGTCCACCCCCATGGGCATTGAGTTGACCAAACACTTCAACATCAGTATTCCGGGGATCATCTTGCATTCATGTTTGTCTGAAGTGACTACTGAGTATTCTGATAATTATCATACGCTCTTCATTGCCAATTTCACTTCTTCAAACAGACTCAAATATAACATCTTCATGTGGAATCTGAATGAGGGGATACCTCAATCGTTGAGACGATATTCATTGCTTATGGATAACACTACTACTATCCCCATAATGGTGGAATCCTTGCCCAATAACTTGGCTTATTTGGCCATCTGCAAAACCAGCTTGATTATCATTGGCATTGATAATATAACTTCTGCCAATTATGAGTTCAAGTCAATTCCATACACTGGTGGCTTCCCCACTGCATCGTATATCCCCCAATCCAAGATTAGAAGTAGTAATAGTAGTAGGGGTCCTAAATCCGATGAAGTCATCTTCACTACTGTGGATGGAACGGTGTATTCGTTTGTCATTAATGGACTTGAAGATATTACTTTAGAACCCATTGCTCGTATACCTGATTCTGTGTCTGTGTTCACATTTGAACGAGAGAACAAGGACAATAGTATTGTTATGTCGTTTGGGAGCTCAACAGGGTCCAATAGAAAGATTCAGATAAACAAACTCCTTCATGAAGATGATAATGATGATAAGACACCTTTCAATACGATTATTGATTATAAAAATTGGTCACCTTTGTCTCATGTGCAGCTTCTAGCAAACTCCGAAGACCCAGAAGCAGACAATCTCACTACTTTAAAGCATGAAATATGGGCTATATCGGGTCGAGGGAAGCGAAGTCGACTTTTACAAGTTCGGAACGGGTTCTCAGCCTCAAGATTAAGTAATTGCTACCTGAAGCTTAAGAAATGTTTGCGTATTTCGGTGGTTGAATGGGAAGATAAAATACTATTAGCTTGTTCCTTACCATTTGAAACAATCTTCCTTGAATATATGGCTGACCAAGAAGAGTGCTTTGCTGAGCTTATTGATGAGACTTTACCTGTGGCCAATGAGACATTGGGATTTGGCGTAGCTAACGATAAAAGGCATGCCATGATTTTCAAGCCAACCAGTGTTGTTCTAACAAATTTCCAAGATATCTTTGAGACTATTCTCTTGGAAGACAACTGGACGTTTCTTTTCGTTCAATTCCTGGCCAATTCTGATTCTGTTTACAATATTCGACAGAAAACACAGTCTGAAGAAACAGTCTTTACCTTAGTCAAAATGAAGGGTATTATTGTTGATAATGCTTTGGCAACGGAAGTTAGTGTCAACTTAACTTTCCAGCCTTCGTGCTTATACACCACGACCCTCCAGGGGAAGCAGTATGTGCTAGTGGGAGATTATGAAGGAAAGATCTGGATATTTGACGGCAACCTTAGCCCAACTGTGACATCAACACCGATATCATTGCAAGACATCAATAGAGTAGCAACAAATGAATCTATATTAGATTTCAAACCTGGTGAACATGTGCCACATGATATCATGATCATACCATTTGAGAATGACCACTTCAAGTTGATTATTACTACGAAAGCAGGCTATTTTGTGAGTATCTCTTTGAATTTAGAGCTTGGTGGATCAACACTTGATGAGGTCATGAGAGTTGATGGTGTACCCGTGAACTTGCTCCCAGTGCCCAAGAACCCCAAAGCGGTGTTGCTTGTATCGCTGAAAACTTGGATAGTCAACAATAACGAACAAAACGGCCGTGTCCACCCCGTTTACTTTGATGAACGGAAGGAAAGAACCATTAAACTCGCCTGTGCTGTTCCTGGGAACCTTAATACGTATTTCTATGTTAGAGACGATGGGTTGTGTGTGGCTGAGGTGGTGCCATTGTCCAAACCCAATGTGAGACAAGCTACCGTTGGAGAAGAAGTCAAGTCGTTGGTTTATCATGAGAACTCCGGCTTGTTCACCGTGATATGCCATCTGAACCCGAAGAAATTATCGAGTGTGTTGAAGTTCATCGACAAACGGTATTTGAAGCTATTACCTTCGGAAGAAGTTCCTTACAAGGGGACGACCAATATCTTCACTCCCGATATCACCGTCATCTGTACGTGTGTTTGGAACATTATGAAGGAGAACAAAGAAGTAGTATCTAAACGGTTGATCCTAGTAGGGTGCTCCGACTCCAAGGGGAAGGGGATGGTTAAAGTGCTTGATATCGCAAAGATCTATAAAGAAGATACAAATACAGTTGTTAAGGTTACCGAGTTGTTTTGCTATACCCTTCTGGAGGTACCATCTCATATCATTCAAGTGCGGGGACAGATCTTCTATTCTGGTAAGAAACAATTGTATTCCATTGACTATGATCCAGAAAGAAAGTCTTTTGTTCATAATGATGAGGTTGTCAAGTTACCCAGTGACATCAGTTCACTTTATACCGATGAAGGCTCAGGCTTAGCAGTTTTATATGTTACCACAACAGAGGACTCTGTTTTTGAATATGAAGTGGTTGATCATAAGCTAAAGCAGTCGTCTCACGATACTTTCAAGAGAAGCGTGACCAACGTTGCGGTGATGGACCGTTCCAACATCTTCATGGGAGAATTCGATTCTTCATTGGTGGTGAACATTGTCAAGGAGAAATCGTTTCTTCGTACAACATGGTCGTATACGTTCCCGTTTATTCCCAAGGTTTACACCACTAAAGTCTCCTTTGGAAGATCAAAAGACAGGAATAGAGGAATCCTTTGTGTTGGTGTTGACGGTACTATCGTTGTGTTACACTCTGTTTCAACCAAGAGTAACACCATCAAGGCATTGAACAACCAGATAGGTGAATCGGACTTAAAGTCAAAGTTAACTGAGAGAATCGCAGATACTTTCAATTACCCCATTCTCCCATCAAGAAACATGGGCAGAGGCTTATTGGTGTTGAATAAACCATGCTTTGACTTTGAGGGAAACAGTTCAAAGCTAATAGACTGTGACATCGAGCAAATCAACCAATTATGTTCCAGTATTGATTTCTAAGCGATCCTCCATTGATTCTATATACAAATGTTAGTCTGTGGCTGGCTCATCATTATCATCAGAAACTTCAATAACAGACAACTTCTTTTGAAGTCTTTGTTGTCTCAACAATTGAGCAGCGGAAACTTTCTCTGGCGATTCTTGTTGGCTGCCATTGTTGATGCTGTTGTTATTGTTGCTTCGTAATTCTTGCAAGAGTTGTCTGGCTCTGGAACCAACATCTTCAGGATTCTCGGTTTCAGACACAAAGGCAGAGACTTCTGTCAGTTTAGGATCAACATTCTCATTGGAGAACGAATCTTCAACATCAACGGTTTCATCCATTTCTACTGCTGCTATTGGCTGCTGCTGCTGGACGTTCTGGACGTTCTTCTTCTCGAGTATTTGCTTCCGCATAAGTGCTCTCGTTCTTGCTGATGTACCCTCTGATCTTGTAGGAGCAGCAGTCTTCAACTTCTCTAATAAAGAATCCATGACATTATTACCATTATCTTTATCGTTATCGTCTTCACCATCTTTGCGGCCATCATGAACTTTCCTGGGTGCTTCCAAAAGCTTCTTTCTCTGCTCATAAAGTCTCACTTCTTCTTCACGTTGGATATTCTCCAGTTTTGCCTTCTTGAAGTCGGTAATGAAGTTGGCAAACTTACTAATGAACGAGTTCTTCACAAACGAATCCGAAGGATCTTCTCCAAAGTATCTCATGGTAGACTCAAACTCCTTCATTGTATAAGCAACTTGGTCAGATAACAACTCGGCTTTTCTTTTGGCTCGAGACATCACGGGCAACACAACCTTCAAGATTCTATCGTCAGGATGGAACTTGGTGACATCACTCAAGTTCCCGATATCAAGAGAACTTTGAGTGTTCTTGATAGACTGGATGTATGATTTACAGTCGGTATTAATGGCCTCAATGGAATACTTTGAAGTCTGCAAACACTTGGCCAATTCATCCAAGAACCCACCCACTTCGGGGTATTGGAGCCTAACTATTTTCTCCACATAATGCAAGAATGTCATACTATTTCTGTCATCCTTCATGAAACTTAAACGTGCCAAAGAATTCAATTTAAACCCGTGTGCTTGCTTTGTAGTGTCATTTAAATAGTTCCCGACTGTCAATATAATCGAGAAGAGTGGCTTTAACTGTCGAGACAGCTTAATACCTTCAATGGTTTCGTCAATCTCCCTCAACTTGGCTACAAGGTCCTCATAGTCCTTCTCATACAGCTGGACCACCTTCAACGATCTGATTCTCGACTGCCAGTAATGCTGCAAGTTGTACATGAGCTCCAAGTAGATTCTGTCGTACTTCTGTAACTCACTCGGGTCTTTCTCCGGTTTCATGATCTCTTGGGCCGTGTAGTCGGTGGAATAAGGAGCCAAGTTCTTAGCCAAGTTGTTGGGGATCTCCACTATGCTATCCTTTCCTAAGAACTCAAGAACGGCAGAGTTGGTGATAACATCAGGACTACATTCAAGAATCTTCTCCACCACAACTTCAGCAGATAACGTGTTGAAGGAGTGTAAGTTGATTCCAAACTGTTGAGTGATGTCTCTGGAAATAAACGTAACCTTCTCAATTTCGTCCTTCTTCTTGGGGGCCAACTTCTTGATCTCCTTAGCAGCAAAGATCTGTTCAATCTCGTCGAAAATACCCTTCAGTTGCATTTCCTCTGCCAACGTGTGTGTTTTGGCTACGCCGCTTTCTTCGTGCCAGAACGAGTTCTCGGTCGTGTCCACCTTCTCCCAGTGCAACTGCTTCATCTTCTTCTTTGGTCGGGGGAAATTCTCGAATGGCAGAGCAGGATATACTGGAGCCGACTTCGAGTTGACTGGAGCAACATTCTTAGCACCAAAGATCGGGAATGGCGGTGGAGGTGGTGGGGGAGGTGCAGTTCCACCTGCTGGTCCACCTAACGATGGAGGTAATGGTGGTGGAGGAGGTGGAGCTGGTCCACCCGTCTTAGCACTCCCACCTAATGCTGGAGGTAGTGGCGGAGGTGGAGGAGGCGGAGGCGGAGGTGGAGCACCTAATGCACCACTTGCTGATCCATCCAATGAGGGAGGTAATGGAGGTGGAGGTGGAGGTACAGCACCAAGATTGCTGCTATCCATTGGCAGACCTACAAGATCCAACTCGTCTTTGGAGTCGTCATCGTCCTTAGGAGTAATGGGCGAAGGAATTGGTACAGACTTGCCAACTTTAGAAGTAAGTTCTGATAAGAACTTGGTGTTCATACCTTGAGATTTGACAGGATGAGCAGCAGAAGCAGCAGCAGAAGTTCTGGAGGAAGATCCGGAAATCAACTCACCCTCATAGTCAATTTCTTTCTTACCCTTAGAATATTTGTCTTCCAACTTTTGTAACGGATTCTTATTGTCAAGATACATTGTACTGAACCTCTTCTCATTGTCCTTCTTTGGAGTGGCTGGCATGTTCTTCATATCTGTTAATTTCTTCTCCAATTCAGCCTTTAAGGTTTCAACGGCTTCCAATTCATCTTGAATTCTTTGTCTTGTTAACGAATCCACTTGGTCCCGAGGAGACACTGGTTCTTCCATGGAAAAATCTATGTTGAAATTCTTGAAGTTATTCTCTAATTCCTTCAATCGTTCCATAGCCAAATACTTCTGTTTATTGTACATGGCACTGTGGTTGTACTTCATGATATCGTTGGACTCACTCTGTAATGACGAAAGCTTCTTTCTTAAGGAATCTAACTTATCCAAGTCGTCCTTCTTCGCAGGACGAGGTGGAGCCATTGGAACTGGCTTAAATACAAAAGAAGGGGCTTCGTCAACTTCTTCTTCTTCTTGGTCAAACACCTCCTCTTCTTCATGATCATTTTCAGGTTGATAGTTTTCGAAGTCTGTCATTTCTAATTCACGAGCCATGTTAGCGATATCCCCCATTTGATCTCTCAATGCCCGTAATCTAGAGCTGGGCTCCACAGTAGTACCAAACTTCTTATTGGCTAACCTGTATTCAGCTTTTTGCCTATGGATATTATTCTGTAACGTTTCTATCAACCTGGCATTATTCGTCTTGATCTTGAGCTGACCTCCTTCCTTCTTGGACTCAAGAATTGAACCATCGTTACTATTATTGTTAACACTGTTCATCATTATGAGCAACTCACGCATCTCCAACTCTTGCTGTTGTTTCTCATATAAATGCTTTTTCTTTAAATCCTCCAATTCTTGAGTTAACTCCTCGTTCATTCTTCTGGTTCGTACAAGAACAGTTTCTTGTTCTCTCACTTCATTACTCAAGGAATGAATCAACCCCTCGGCTCCCAAACTCAATTGACGAGACATTTCATCTCGTTCGGCTTGCGCTTCTTCGGCTGCCTTCTTGTACACCTTGAGATCCTCTATGGCCTTGCGGTACATATCGTCCGTAGTCATAGAAGCAAATAACCTGTTCATAGCAATCCCCAAAGCGGCATCATCATTTGAGGTGGGCGTAGCAGCAATACTCTGCATAATACCGTTGATCACTCTTAAACTCTTGACCATTTCATCCTTATCTTCTTTCCTCTCCGCTTCAGCCATATATAAGTTCTGGATTGTAGATACAAAGAACTCTTGAGCTGTTGTGCCTTGAACATCTTTCCAAAGAGATTGAACCAAAGCTACTGGATCTTGGAAATCAAGTGTCATATCGATTTTCTCGTGAGATTTGAACTCCTGTTCGTCAGCTTCAGCCAGAGCATAGTATTGGTTGATTTGTTCGTTCAATTGAGGATATTGCAACTCATTGAACTTGGTAATTAAATTGTTCAAATCAGCAGCTATGAACTCTGAACGCATTCGCATTCTAACTCTAAAATCAGACCCATGAGCGATGAGTGTATTGATTAAAAGCATTGTCCCTAAGGAATATTCGTAAATATGGTTATCCAAATTGGCTGTAACCGAGGCTGCTGAACCATTTGGTCCACTTGATGTCAAAGTACTGCCTGGATTCCCTATCATCTGAGACCGTAATTCTTCACTTGCTCCAACTAAAGAGTTCAAATACTTCCCACGACCATCTAATGTTCGCTCTACAAACTTGATCCAAAGCTCGAACCGTTTGTATGTGGTTGGTGGAGGTGGCTTCCTCACCAATTGCCGTTTCTTTGGAACACCCAGGATCGTTGTTGATGTCGATGTGGACGAAGGTGAAGACGATGGGTGTATAAGATTATTGGTAGAAGAATCAAATTCAAGATATGGTTTCTGGGCCATACTGTCAAATGCTCTAAGGAACTTATGGTAGGTTGCATGGTCTGCTTGATTGGTTTGACAATAATATGCAATGGTGAACGTCAAAGCATCAGCAGCAGACCTCCTAGTCATGATTCTTGGAGACAATAAAGATCCAGTAAGGGCTGAAACATACTTATATACAGATTGAGGATCTTTAACTCTTTCAGCACCTGATTTCAAGTTCATTAAACATTTTAATGCTTTAATTGTGTTCAATTCTCTATCAAAGATTTCGTCATTGATATCGTAAATGGAATTATCCAGTTGGATTTGATCTTGAACTTTGCCCAAAAAGGTCGATAAGAGAGTATCCCCTTGAAACTCGATGATGAAACGGTTGACCCAATCAATAGGTTCTGTACGTAATGAGACCCAAAGGTTCTGTAATTGAACTGAGGTAATTGACTTTGAATACAATTCTCTAGCATAAAAGTCCGGACTGGTTTCATTAATTGTAGTGATGCCCTGTTTCTGTTTCTGTCTCTTCTTTTGTTCAGCTAATAAATCCTGATACACCAACATCCACTTTTTATCGGGGGAATAGTTGATCATCTCTTGCTTTGCCAGCGCTGGAAGAGATCTAAAATCTCTCCGTTCCATTAACTCTCGGAACATTCTATCTATTTCAATGTTCAGACTTGGTTTCTCGAGAATAATACTCAATTGGTTACCGGATCCCATAGGGGCGTTGTGAGCATTGCTGATATTATTAGTGGTGGACATGCTTGGGGCATCGGAGAACGTACTGGACTTGGACATGATGGAACCAGATGTAGGCTTTCGTGATAAGGAATGATGATGAGGATGAGGATGGTGATGCATTGGGTTGATGTTCGTATTCATAGCTGATGCAGATGTGTTATTGCTATTATTGCTGCTGCTGTTGTTGATGCTATTGTACGACCGATAGTTGTCAACTTTCGTAGACACTGAAGAGATGGACCGATTGGTTTGAGTCTTTTGAAGCGAAGCCAATCTTGGAGCTCTTCTTCCTCCAGTAGATGCAGTATTATTAGCAGTAGAACCAGGTCCTGAGCCAGGACCCATTGTACTTGAGCCTGAACCCAATGAATACGTCGACCCAGCGTGACTCAAAGGTAAACCCTCGTCACTTAAGATACTGGCAGAGTCCATAGAAGACACATCACTATCCTGGATGTAAGGATTATTGGAGGTATTATTATTATTATTGTTGCTATTGTTGTTACTGCTACCAAATAGTCTGGAACTAGTCTTCTTTATGCTGAAGATAGAACTAGCACTCATTCTATTGGATGCCGTTGAGGCGGCACGTTGTTGATGCTGGTGCTGGTGCTGGTGCTGGTGCTGGTACGAATTAGTGGACGAGGACACTCTTTGAGACCAGTCCTCATCAATAGAACTGGCTGAGGAAGAACCTCCACTATTGAGTAGCACTCCAAGGGAATCAACTGACTTCTTTCTCATGGTTCATGAAGCAATGTGACAGGTCACAACAGGGGAAGAGAGGGAAGGGATTTAAAGGTATTACCGCCAGACAAAAGCGTAGGAGAATGCCGTATCGAAATACTCCGGTACTCTTCTAGTCGACTATGTCTAGTCTATGTCTACCTCTGGGTCCACGTCGGTTGGTGGTGGGTATCAGTCACGGTTGTTGTCTGTTGAATCTGTCAGAATCAGAAACCGCTCGTTTCTGTCAGTGTCTGTTAGTGTCAGTCACAGTCAGTGTTTGTATCTGCCAGTATTTGTGTCTGTCAGGAAATTGATATCTTCCTCTCCACTGTGTTTGATACGACTTGTGTCTGCAAGTTGTTAGTACAGTTTATACGTGTGTCTCGGTAAAACAATAAAGTTAAAATTCAACTTCTGTGTACGGTAGGAACACGAGAAAGATATATTTATGGGCTGCTTACGTAAACATGGCCTAATAATACACGTTAATCAGGTTTCTCCGTGTTCAAAAATACATATGGAAAAATATGGTGTTCTGCTGCAGTATGTACGTTCCTCTTGCATAGAGGCACAGTAACATGCATAGAACAGGTTACAAAAGTGTCATATGGGTGCTGTATCAATAAAGTATAATATATGTTTGAATCAAGCATGCAACACGTTACATATTAAATACCTAAAACTATTTGTGTTCTTCCACAACGTCACTCGTATCTTTAAATTCTTGATCATCATCGTCATCACTTATAGATTCATTTGGATGATCTTCGATTTTAGTTGAAGGATTCTCTGTAATCGGAGATTCTAAATTTAAATCTTGTAACATAGCTGCAGTAGCATCAAGTTCATTTTGTAACTTTTGTAAACTCTCTTTCCGTTTATGAGACGTTGTTCTCTTATCTGGAGATTTGGCTTCATTATTGTTCTGGAGGTGTGTTTCTTCCGTTGATGTTTTACGACTTGCATTCGTAGATGCTAAAGCTGCTTCTCTTGCTGCTCGTATCTCTTTTGAATGCGTTTCTCTAAATTTCGGGTCAACCAAATACATAAACAACTCGCGATGTAGTTCGTCCAACGAAACTTCCGGAACATTCAGATCCCATATACCAATCTTACTCCAAAAGATTTTAACTCGTACCAAAGCTAACATCACAAAGTGTCGTATCACAATACTCTTATCCTTAATAGTTTTAACCTTGACATGAGATTGATTAGTAGCTAGTTGCATGAATCGACTCAACGAAGATGCTTCGGCATTAACGGTCTTAGAAGAAAGCACATCTCTGGTATCGGCATACTCAATGTTCAACTTAAATATATTACTTTTAATCATTCTTACCTTGGCAAAGAAATCACAAACGTTCCGTAATTTAACCAAACAATAATTGCATAAAGGGTAGAATACTGTTTGAGATACAACATCATCTTGTTCAACCTTCATACAATACAATCTGCAATGCTCGAGAATATCATCTCTTGATTCTCCACAGAATGAACATGGCTCCTTAGTTGCAACTGGAGGAGGCGCTGAAGTTCCCTTTGAGCTATGTCCATGGCCATTGGCCGCTCCTCCGTGGGACTGATATGATAATTTAAATGTCTCATTCACAGAACTAACTGGCTCCACAATCACTCTACCCTCAACAACACAATTCCAAAACGTGCGTTCAGGTTGTAATCGAATCATTATCTTCAGTGTTGGGATATTTGGAACGGTTGCAAAGCTATTTTCAATTTCCTCCGTCCATACCTTCTTAAACCATTTGAGAAGCTTCAAATTAGTCAAGTCATAGGTGAACGTAGGTCTTGTGATGGTATAAACAAATTGGGTAAAATCAATGAGGAAATTATCCAAATCAAATCTGACTTGGTTAATCGTTGGAGAATATAACACTAAATGAATGTCACTGAATTCATCGTCTTCTGAATCAAGCTGGGTATTGGAACCATCGTCCTCAGTGGTCTGAGCCGTGTCTGATGTTTCATCTTTTAAAGTGGAAGTGGTATCCGTAGTAGCAGTAGTAGTAGCAACAAAATTATCGGATTCTTTGGTAGTCATTGTTGCTGACTCCAACAGAAGAGAAGGATCACTATTACCGAACTTTCGGCTGATTCTTTGTGATGGGGAATGACTTATAGGTGGTCTTCTTCTATCTTCTTCATCACGTTGCATAAGCATTTCCTTAACAATGGTCAACTGCTCTTGCAAATCCTGAATTATCGTGGATTTCTCTTGTAGTTCCTCCTTTAACTTTTGGTTCTTAATCTTATAATTAAGAGTCTCTTGACTGGCATTGTTTACCATATTATTTGCTTCGTCAAACAAACTAGCAGTTAACTCTTCAACCTCAAGGTTCAATCTTTTGTTCTCCGCTTCTGCTGCTTCCTTTTCCGCTTTTAGTTTATCTACTTGAGCATTTAATGAAGTGTATTTCCGATTTAACTCCGGATAATCTGCAGCTTGCTGTCTAAGGGTCACCATATCACGATGGAAGGAGTACACTTGAGCTTCCAAATCCAGAGACTTGGCCACCTCTTCAACCAATCGTGTTGATAATGTAGCCACCTCCGTGGTCAATCGTTCCATATCTTCCTCGGTTGCTGTTGTCATTGTCGTATTGTATCGAATCGTGCCTTATAAGTATAGTGTGGGCTTCTATGAGTCAGAGTTAAGATCTAAGGAATGTCTGCTTCTTCTAAAACACACTAGACAGGCTTTTACGTCCGGGTAACTAAGCACAACGGTGATAATGATGATAAAGATACGGATCGGTTGGTTGGGTCGATTCGTGTATTGTTGTACTGTTTTCAGTAGGTGCTGTGATCTAAAACGTACGTCACGTGACGCACATACGACTCGGTTTGGATTGGATATCTTCTAGTTCGTTAATAGCTGTTAAGTAGGTTGAAACAATGAGTGTCCGACTGCTAATAAAACTACGGAATAACTACTATAAAGTAAGGGTATTGATTGGTTATCATACATCTATGTTATCTTTATCTATTATAGACAAAGTCGTGTGTTACCTAAGTTCTTACAGATTGCTACTCTCTTTAACTCATCAATATAAAGAGCTTATAGAAACCCTTCTTTACCATGCTCGTAGGTAGCCAAACGCTTATTGGTGTCCTGTGATACATTACACGATATAATTACACGTAATAAACTCTATGCTTGTCGTTTACTCAATTCCATTACAGGTAAGTGGACGTACAAGTACGGCAGTAGTGTTATGGACTATTAAAGGGTACGACATCTCTCATCTCTTTCTGTAACAACAACCATACACGATATGAAGATCACTTTCTCCTAAGGTGATTGTTGGTTCCCGCGTCATATAATAATGGATTTGCAGCAAATAATTCAGAATTCTTCAATGCTCCCGTTACCTATGCTATGCCTATAAAACTTTCTATAGCAGAATCCAACACACTAACATAGCACAGCAACGCGTACTGAATCAATGCGATCAGTCACATAGTCATAATATGCTCAGCCACAAGTGACTCCTTGTTACTCCGAATGTCGCTTACCTCGAGTCTTGGAATATGCCAACAACAACATATAAATGCCATGAAACTCATCAATGTCTTGGACTTTACTTGTTTTGATCCAACGCCGATACCGGCCACATATGATAGTTAAAGAGACCGTGCCAGCTGTCTCCGATTTATCGTGGTCCTGTATACAAACACAGGTACCGATAGTAATCTGGGGGGCGTGACCGATAATCGCATAAGGACGAACCAGAGCATCTTTGAACCCATTAGAGCCCTTCAACGTGTAGGTGGAAGGCGTAGGGTATCCATCTATGATTGTGACTGCAAATTCCGAGGGCCGAACGGACTCACTAACAGAAAAGGCATACGAATATATATAAACCCAGTTGCACTATGGACCGATATACGGCGGAGATTTTAGAGGGGCTACGGAGGGCTGGTACAAACAGTCCAACAGAACCCCAGTCAGAAGACGAATGCAAGTACGAAGACGAAGACGAAGATATGAATTTGACTGTTTTTAATACTCCTATAGGATACCTGAAGCGTCCTTTATTCCAAGACACAACAACAATCACCAGTTCAAGTCCCCAAGATCGAGTCATTAGACCCCTATTAGAATCAAAACATTATCGGCCTACCTCAAATGAGACACAAGGTTGTTCAGCTAACGAATCTTCAACTTTGGATATTGCAAACCTTCCAATTGAGATCATGGAAAGAATCTCGCTGTTTCTCAGTCAAGGAGATTGTCTCAAAATTATGCTGTTGAACAAATCTTGTTGTAATGTCATGAAGACAAGACTTTATCGTAACATTGTGGTGGATTCTCAAGTTGATTTGTTTAGCAAAGATGACCCGACGAGAACTTATATCAATTCAAGCTACGGATTCAAACGGTTTCTACAAAAGGCTTGCATCGAGGATTTTTCATTTGTACAAAACTTAGTGGTGATGGAATATTTTGATATGAATCACTATGAACGTCAATTCCAAGCACTGATCTCTCAGTGCTTAAGTCATTTGAATCACATAAGACATTTAGAGTGGCTTCCAGAATTGAATTCTCTGATGTTGAGTCAATTGCCTAATTTACGTCAACTCCAAGTTCTTCGTGTATCATTACCAGAGAACACCCCCTCTGTTGAAGCTGAGAGACTATCTTTACACAACCTTAAGGTGTTAGAAGTCCTTGCTTATCATGATTGTGATGTTTTAAACAGTTTCCTTCGAAAGTTGGACCTTGATCCACAGAAATTGGATTGCATTCAACTACATCGCTACAAAAAGGGTAAGATCTACGATCATTCAATGAACCCCACAGCCGTGGAACTCTCTCGAAACCAGGCTACAATTAATCGTGATCATGAACTTCAACAAGTCATAAAACATACACCAATGACATGTGAACAACTTAAAGAATTAGTACTAGATCATATCCATGTTAGCCATAGACTGTTTGAAAGCTTAAAGTTGCATTTCCCCTTGTTTCATAATTTGACACGATTAAAGTTAACTAACGTGGTGGAGTATCTTGGAGGTGGTGAACTGATGCTTCATCAATTAAGTAAGGTTGTTCGTCCTGAAAACCTCATTGCGTTATCGATAGACTGGAGAGAAGCTAATCAGGATACAGTAGCAGAATTTATTAATGGACTTGGTGGCCTTCAAGAATTGGATGTTGTGATTAGATTTAACTACACCAAGGGTGTTACTATAGATGAAACGTTGGATCAATATGTGAAGGCTATTGTGGCTTCGTTTCGTACCTTGCACAAACTTTCGCTTGAGTTGAAAGTTGAGCAGCAGAATGGGACTGAATCATTTGGAGATTTGAACAATCCCGTAATGGACCAATTAGTGGACTTACATCTGTTGGAAAGTCTTCGGATTCCCGTTAGACAAGGAGGAGGAATGCATGAACGATTGGCATGGATGATTCCCCAAATGGCGCAATTACGATACTTGGATTTGGTTGGCGGAGGTAGTGGGGGTCAACCTAATTTAGGAATGGGGATGATTCATCCATGTGTCTATGATGAATGGTTCAAAGTACAGCATGTTGCTATATTATACTGTCAAATGAACGACCAGTTAAGGTACGTGCGTTGTAACAAACGGGTGTTTTATTGCAACAAGCTGGGAATTGTGGAGCCAAAGACATGGCTAGACAAATGGTTTGATAAGCGTGTTAGAGTATAGACAAGAGGTCTTATAGTGGGCAATGAAGAAGCGATCTATGGGACGGCTATTACGAACGGAGATAAGGTAATAAATACAAACTTCATTCAAGTCATTCACGTATATTTCATAAACTAATTAACAATAATGATAATGGAGATAAATAAACTCTAATGTGCCAAAAAAACCCAAACCCATAGTTGAAATCCAACACTTTAGTTGGTTCTAATTTGGAAACCAAAGATGTTACCAAAGAAAGATGTTTCAAACTTAGGTTCAAACTTCACCTGAGATGCACGGATTTCTTGCATGATTTGTTGTTCCTTTTCTTGAGCAGAGACGAATACCTTGGCCATTTTGAATAGTTGTGTGTTGTGTTGTGATAAGCAGCAAAAAGAAGCCTTTTAATGTCCGATTAGATTTGTTGTGTTGTGATAATGAGAGTTATAATGTATTACATATTTGTGATTTCATTTGGGGGCCGTTGATGTTGTATTTATAGATTTTCCATTATGACTGAATGGCTATAGTTTTGCACCCATCTCGTCAGTTATTCCGAGACGCAAAAAAAAAAAAAAATTCTGAGCTGGTTCGGAGTTTGTACCACCGAACCACAACTCCTCCCCTCTCACTAATACGAAATCCGGACCTAGTAGAGGGGATGGATTTAGGAGTTTAGGGAACCGTTACTTTTTGGACTTAAGGATTAGCAATGGGGAGGGGGGGGGGGGGGGGATAGATGTTATGTTTTGTCAATTGGGGTTCAACTGTAGTATCTACCTGGTTTGAATGATATAGTGGGTGGACGTGGGTGGACGGATGGAACCTGACACCCGCCTTAGTCCTTGATATTTGGTCTAGACACTCATAATAAATTGGGTTGACAAAGGTTGATGACTCTACATTGGCATAATCCGCGCGTGCCTGGCTACATGCAAGAATTATTTATCGGATTTTTTACTTCCGTTCATCCATTCATATATATCGTTATACTCTTTGTGAGTCACCGCACGTAATCATTAGAATAAACGCATCTGATTGACGTATAAAATTTTCAGTTGTATAACATGGTTCAGGTAATTGCTTCGGAAAGGATTCACATTGTCTTTTAGTTGTACGATACCCTCACATGACGATGGAACTGGCGCTTTATTGTGAGAACAAGAAGGCGCTACCAGTGCCGTTACAGCACCGTTTTACGGAGGACTAATACGTTGCTTTCGGGTTAAAGGCGGTTTTTTTTTTGCAGTACTCGCCTGACAGGAAGTAATGTATACAAGCGTTCCATTTGGTGGATGAATGGAACTAAACTTTACGACTATGGATGTAAAGCAAATAGTTCCATTCCTAGACTCCAACATTACGTGGAGAGAGATAACACATTCCATTTCAACTATGGTGGCATGAAATTCGATCCTAGTCATCTGATATGAGGCCTTTAAAAGAACGAAAGTGCACCCCTTAAAAGAAGTTTTGAATCTCCGTTTAGCTATTGTACTTCTTCATAGTAACATTGCCTGTCCTTCTTCTCTCTGCCACTGTTCATCTGATAACCCCCCATACTTTCTTAACTCCAGTGAATATAAGATCGTTCAAGTGTTCAAGCCGTAGCCGTTGTTTTGGAGCAGGTATGTTCCTCCACTTGAGGGGAACTACATCCCCTTTATACATATATCATTACGTATATCTAGTTCCTGTTATCCAGCAAAGATCACTTATCACCGATAAATATGATACCGTAATTCTTAAGTCCTGAGTGTTATCAGCTGCAAAATCCGAATTAGCAACACCCCACACTCTCTCCTTGTAAACACACGTGATCTATTCAGAATTCGGTTTTTAGAAATCACACGTGAGAGATCACGTGTACATGATGATGATATTGTAGTGGTTTTTTCATGTGTAGTTCGCCTCCTTGCATACACTTAATACTTAAAACTCACCACACAACGTATCAAATATACGTTAGTCAGTTTCACATGTGGATAGTCAATGTAGATTACAATGAGTCCAATGATACCCAATCAGCATTAGCATCATCGTCTCAGATGCCATTTACACTTCCTCAGGAGTACCTCCTACCAAACTCCAAGTACGGCATTGGCAGAAATAGAACCACCAATTTCATCATGTTGGATAGTGTCCATGTTTCACGTGATCAGATTGAGATTGAAACAGATCCCAAGGCAGATTCAAATTCACTCAATATCATCGTTAAATCAAGAGCCAAGACTACTGTGAACGAGAAGGTGTACCTGTTAAGTTCTGCTGAAGCTAAAAGCAATCGCTACAAGAGTATCAAATATGCTGAAGATGAGATAACCATAAAGATTAATCGATTCACAATTGTTCTAAGGTGGCTGCCGACTTTAAAGATCAGGTGCTCTTCTGATTTCAACAGAGGCTCTTTGACCAGTCACATTCCCGTTATATTTTCTACTTTGGATGAGGCAGATGTCTGCATCACCAATTCGCTGCTTGAGATATTGCAATGCTTCTCAAATGGTGTTGGAGTGTTTCTGGATCCTCCACCAACAGAATGGCTCCAACATATCAAGAATCATGATGACTTAACATGGTACAACGCTTATGAAAAGTATTTGAGGTATCCGAAAACTGATAGGTCGCTATTTCTATCAACTATCAAATGTATAGTCAACGATACGGAAGTCTCAAAGAGTTTATCAGCTTTAGGTGGTACTATTGTTCCACGTATTTCTGACTTAATGAAGGGAGACACCTTTATTACAGTTGGAGAAGAATCCGAAGTTGGAGTTGAATATCCGCCTACTCTGTTGGATCGAATATGTAAAGCTGTCGGAGCCTGTGACTTGACTCTTCTTCACATTCACAAAATGATAGTAAAAAAGGCCAATGGTAAGCGATCAAATGAAGACGAGGAGGAGCATGATATCAAGGATGAGGTTACTCCGTCTTTAGGCTTTTCTTCCAGACGGAAACGTCGGAAGTACGCCCGAATAGATCAATTAGAGTTTCTTGACTTCACCCAAGTGCCAGAAGACAGTCAAACCAATGAAAAACAAAATGATTTAGTACAGCTGGAAACAAAGAACAGTGCTCCAAGCATTGACAATGTAAAATCTGAAAAACCTGTTGATAATACTAAACAACTGCAAACAGAATCACCAGATTCAGTGAGTAATGATATTATACATAAATCAAAAGAACTTGACACTGAAGCAATAGAGTCCAAGACAAATAGAACTGATGTTGAACTGTTGCCACCTCCAAGATTACCTAAGCGTAGGTTGTCAAACTCAGAAACTTCTGAGAATCCGGCAAAGAAATTGCACCCAATCACATTGGTTGATGCCATCAAACAAGCAAAACTACAGGGTGTCCGTCATATCAAGCTGGAGCTCGGAATGGACGACGAATTTCAGGATAAGAAACCCATTTCTGGAAGCTTGGCAATTGTACAAACCATTGATGTGCAGCTTCGTCAAAAGCCTATGCAGACGAAGAAAGCGATCGAATCATCGAACGATAAAAGGAATTTTAAACGGTTTGTTAAGAATAAGATACACACTCCGGTAGTTTCACGGAAATATGTTGATATGAATCCTGTCACTGTGTCTCATGGTTATCAGCTTGTGAATCCTCAAAACATGGTGGAGAGGATTGACTACGAAGAGCATTTGCAAAAGGATTTTGAAGGCTTAATTGATGACTTGCGAGATGTCAACGTTTCAAATAATGCTACCCATATTGAATTGGAAACCCTCTTTGTTCCTGAAAGTCAATCCCTAGAGGAAAATCAAGTAGATCATTCTACACACTCAAATTCACACATAGTTAAATCTAATCAACAGAAACACACGAATGATGATGATGACGATGATGACGATGATGATGATGATGGTAGTCAGCCCAGATTTGCTTTCCGGCAAACATAACATGATCGAGAAGATTACCTTAGAGTATGCTGTCTTGCTTCAAGGTAGGAACCTGAATTCCGCAGAGTCCCATGTGTCTGAAATAAGTTAGATGACTTTGCATGTAGTTATGACCGATTGGAACATCTTTGGATATGCATAAGGGATTATCACCGAATCCACAGTCCACTACCTGGTCTCTCAGAGGCAGAATGTCGTTGTTTGAGCAGTTTAAATATATTTGATTCAGAAACTGCTTATATGTATTTATGAGCAATTGGTCGTTGTTAGGTACGGTAGTGACCATATCATTCTTGTGGATGACCCTATAGAACTTCCGAGAACTACTCAGCTTATCAGATTCCATGCTTTGCATCACATAATCAGTCCATTGAACAAAGTTTTGGTTGCCTACTAAAGGTTGACCAAATGTTACACACATCAAGTTGTTGTAACTCAAATCCAAGATCCGAAGCGCAACCAATAACGCTATTGCACCTCCAAGAGAATGACCCACAACAATAACCTGATACGATCCTCCATCTTCCATTGCCTTTTTGACTTCCCCTATTAAAATAGCCTCCATAATCCCAATAGTTTTGGTGGCATATCCCATGAACCCTTTGTGTACTTTGCACCCAGAACATGGAGGAAGATACGTTGTGGGTAGGTTATAGTTGACCATATCAACTTGTAAATCGGCAAAGGAGTCACCAAAACTACGCGTACCTCGAAGCCCCACTACAATTGTAGTCGTCGTTTTGGACGAAGAAGACAGGGTGCCATTTTTGAAGATATCTTGCTTGGTTTTGGCAATGTAACCACAAACGGCATCATCAAAGTACCACTGATAAACCAATTCCATCCCACCAAACTCTTCACATGACATGTCACATTGGAATGGAGGCTCTAATTGATTGAATTTGGTCACACAATATGCTATGTCCAGCAAATGAGCATACACTGGCATCTCCAGATATAGTGTACTACTTATTGGAGTTGGTATAACCTCGTGTGCAGGGTTGAATGGATTCCACCAGGGCATTCCACAGAGTGCCGAAAGCGGCAATAGTCGCTGAAGATACAGAAGTACTTGCATGCTAATAATGAAAAAGATAGAAGGAAATATAAGAGAAGTTTTGTAAGTTGGGTTTGTTGGTTATCACTACTTTAATGTGGGGATATGGATGACGGTTAGTTATGCTATTACTGTCGCGCTACCATTCGCGTATTGACAAAAGCGCACGACCTTACAAGCTACTATGGAGCCGCTATGTATTGTCACTCCTACTTCTGTTTCTAACTCGGTCAAATGCATGGATATCAAGCCTATTTATTCTATTTTTGCACCTTGGAACTCTTCTTTGCAGTTTTCTTCTGCTTGGAGCTTTGCTTCTTAGTTACAATCTTAATGGCTTCATCAGCATCACCCAATTCGATCAAAGCACGTTCAAACTTGGATAACTTGATATCAGTTGCATCGGATGCAGCATCTTCAGCTGATTTTTCAACAGCAGAAGCAGCAACATCCTTTTCGGCAAATAAGTTTTGCGTGTAGAAGATTGGTAACGATGGAGAATTGGTGCACTTCAAACCAAAAGACTTGATTTTATTCAATGGGAAATGAGCAACTGCCTTTTGAACATTTTCTTCTAATTCTTGAGCAGATAAAGCATTAACATTTCCAACTTTTATGGAGATATTTGTTCCAACGGGAAGTAAATATGATGTGCTATTCAAAACTTTTGAAATTTGGTTCTTCAAAGTAGCCAACGATAATTCCAGTTTATTGGAGGTTGATGTGACTTTAATAGGAACTGGAATCTTGGTATTGGAACTATAGAATACTTTACCCAATAATGTTGGCATCAAATTGAGAATGGAATCATCAACAACAAAGACATCGTATTCAGAGTATAATTGTCTTTTCTTCTCATACTCTTTGAATTCCTTCTTGATTTGACTTACTGAATAGATTTGACTCAACGTGGGAATAGAAGCTTCTTCAATAGATGTTAACTGAGCATCAGTTGTAACCAACAGATCTCTAACGATCAAACACGTTTTTGTGAATTCTGTGTTGTATAATCCCTTACGCAATTCAATTATCTTAGGTTTTAAGTTCGTCTTATCACTGAAATATTTCTTTCCAGTGATTTGGAGTGTTAAATCAAACTCATGATCTTCGGCATCTTCATCATCGAAAAGACTATTGCTTTCCTTTTCACCTTCCAACTTTGGCTTATTCACATACTTGACCAACTCACTGATGGCCTTTGTTATAGCTGCTTGCTTAACGTGTTCCTCCTTATCAGCTACCTTTTTGACGGTCTTTGTTTTCTTCTTGTTAGCTAAAGGTGATGACATGGTAGGAGATGACTTTATGCTGTTAGCCATCTTCTTCACTTTAGCAGATTGGGGTGTTCTAGGCGAGGCACTGCCCTTGGATCTTGTCTTGGCCATTTTCGGCAGCTATACGTATATGTTTATGAATGGAGATGTATTTAGTAGATGGGCCATGTTAAGGTATAATTTTTTTACTTTATGAATTTTCAAGATGAGATGCGGTCGGAAATAGTTGGTAAACACATCCGAGGGTTATTTCGAGGGTGCTCACATTCAATCTGTCGTACGTATTGGAGGCATACCAGTTTTAACTAAGGGCTTTTTCAGTTTGATATCAATACCTGTATCTTCTATACTGTCAAGGAGAATCATAGGAAGGTCACCATTACCTTCATAAAGAACACGAGTGTGGGGTTTCAGATGACCATGATCAAGATCAAATATCTTTCTCATAGAGGGAGAGTTAGAAGACTGCGTTGGGGAGGACAGATCGCTTTGTTTATGCTCTTTATGTTCATGTTGGTCACCCAACTTCATCCAGAGTAGATGCTCGAGTTCTTCTGGAGCATGGATAGGTTTCGAGTGGGGTCTTTCTTCAACTTTATCCCAATGGTCCCATTCTGGAGGTGGAGACACTGGAGGACTAATTAAGAACCGACGAGTTTCAGAATTATCCGGTAATGGCAAAGAGTCAACCTCATCGTGATTGTTATCAATACGCGAGTAAGTAAAGGTGAATTGAGGGAAGTTTTCAAGTAGAAGAAGAAACACCTTTTCTGCATCTTCAACAGAGTGACATTGGAGAATGATTCTCTGGAACCGGAAAAGACTAGTGGCTTTGATGGTGTAGGGATATAGCAGGAGGAAATCCACTAAAGGCTGTGGATCTCTAATGAGCTCATCAGATATGTTAGTGACAATTATTGTGTTGGAAGGCATAGTGGAGCAGGACAAGGGAGCAGTGAAACAGCGGAACAGAGTATACGAAGTAGTAACAGCGGTAGTAGTAACAGTAGTAATATAAAGTATTGTGTTGCAGTGTAGTCGGGTGTGGTAATAGCAGTAGTTGTTCAGTGTATTGGTAGCGTGTTCGTTAGTGAATGTATTGTAGTGTAGTTGATTATTCGCATTGAGTTTCAAATTATACTCCACACTTACTTCTACCACATCCCCATGTCTTGTCACTCACATTGCTCTCACGAACACCATGACTCGCCTCCAGTACCAACAAACGCTTCACAGACATTGATAGGTTACATTGATGTGGCTAAAGTGCGTGGTCTTAACGTGGCAAATCCACCTGAGGATGTAGTCAAGTTATTCACCAAAGACAGAACTACTATTGGACCAATAGTACGCAGTGATTGTGATAGTCAGATCATCATTCACATTCCATTCATAAATAGTTCGGTTAAACTATATCTGATCTTGTTGAGAACCAGTCAAGATATCCTCCATTGTCCCAAGACCATCAAGTTGTACAAGAATGACACGGAGATTGACTTTGATAATGTGGACCATAAGAAACCTACACATATATTAGACCATCCGCTTATAGGACTAGACTTTGATATGGTTTCTGATGATACGGTGGAAGATGAAGACGACGGAGTAGTGGAACATTATTTACCCCGACAAAAGTTTACCGGACTTACAAGTCTTACTATTTTCATAGCTGATAATTGGGCAGAAGATGATGACGAAGAGGTGGAATTGAGTCGCATAGAATTGAGAGGTTCGGCTACAGAATTACGCAAAGAAGCAGTGGTCGCATTATATGAACTGGCAGCTAATCCTGCTGACCATAATATTGAGTTCTTGAAGGAAACTGGTACCCAGGGGTTATGATTGATAATGATAAGTATATGAATAGTTAAGGAAATGTTGTAGTACTATTACTTAGGCTTACGGTGTAGCATTAGAATGGTAGCGCTCTTTGGAATTTATATGGTATAATGTTCCTATAAGGGCATATACTTGTAAGTTGCCAGAATAATAATGTGTATTAGATCTTTGTGGTAGTATCGTGAATGAGAATCTACTACTAGCTGATCAGGTGGTTTACGTGTTAGTTAGCACTATTAATGGACACTAGGCAGTAGACCATTTTATATGAATAATTATCGTTGGGCATTATATGAAGACAAGTTTTACTAAAGCTCTGTAATGAAAACTTATATTATAGTGACTATACTAGTATTTCTACAATACCGGGTGTTACAACTCTATACTAACTATTAAACTATGGCATGGAGTTATTCATAACTGCATAAGATTGACCAGGTCACGTGTTTGCGCTTAAGCGGTCGCTCGGAGCTTTGTGGCCCAATCAAATATGCGATTTGCCGGACCCCGGCCGCATATAAAGACCACCGAAATTCCCCCAAAGTGAAATAGCAAATACAAATCAGTTCCATCATCTTTAGCCACACACATACAAACAATGCCAAAGTTAATTCTTGTTAGACACGGTCAATCCACCTGGAACGAAAAGAACTTGTTCACCGGTTGGGTTGATGTTAGATTATCTGCAATTGGTGAAAAGGAAGCCAACAGAGCTGGTGAGTTAATTAAGGAAGCCGGTATTCAAGTTGATCAATTGTATACTTCCAAGTTATCCAGAGCCATTCAAACTGCTAACATTGCTCTTTCTGCTGCTGATCAATTATATGTTCCAGTTAAGAGATCATGGAGATTGAATGAAAGACATTACGGTGCTTTGCAAGGTAAGGATAAGGCTCAAACCTTGGAACAATATGGTGCTGAAAAGTTCCAAATCTGGAGAAGATCTTTTGATGTTCCCCCACCACCAATTGAAGATGACTCTGAATTTACTCAAGTTGGTGACGTCAGATACAACAACATTGACCCCAATGTGATCCCAAAATCTGAATCTTTGGCTTTGGTCATTGACAGAATGTTGCCTTACTGGCAAGATGAAATTGCCAAGGATTTATTGGAAGGTAAGACTGTTATGGTTGCTGCTCACGGTAACTCCTTGAGAGCCTTGGTCAAGCACTTGGACAAGATCTCTGATGATGACATTGCTGGTTTGAACATCCCAACTGGTATCCCATTGGTTTATGAATTGGACTCAAAGTTACAACCAGTTAAACCTGCTGAATACTTGGATCCTGAAGCTGCTGCTGCTGGTGCCGCTGCTGTTGCTGCCCAAGGTCAAAAGAAGTAAGTAGTTTAATTAACGTTTATGATAAGAACTATAACATTGTAATTGTAAGTACTGTAAGTATGCATACTAACTACGTTGCAATCTGCTGATTATATTCAAGGGGTTACCCGCACGTAAAGCTCTCAACAACAAAAAATTTGTTGGTACAAAAGAGATGGTGCTTCTACTTCTATTGCCATACAAGTATAGTCCTTCACTTACGTCATTGCAGATCTGCAGAACATATAAGAACCTTTCTTTCTCCAATTGATTTGCCTGGGATCTGATTGATGCTGCTTCAATCACATTAGTCTTCGATAACAACAATGGCTTCAAATCAAAACGCTTTCCTGTTTGGTGGTGCTTCCAACACATCTAGTAACTCCAAGCCGGCTTTCCTGTTTGGTGGCGGTGGTGCATCTACAAACTCAGGGAACGCTACTCCATCATTTGGTGGCTTTGGATCTACCTCCTCTGGCTTTGGTGCTCCCAGTTCAGGTAGTTTGTTTGGTGGTTCCAATAATCAACAAGCTTCAAACACAAATACAAACACAACTTCTGATACGGCCAAACCATTTGGGTCATCTGGTGGTAGTTTATTTGGTGGTGTTGGAGCTGCTTCTCAAGCTGCTGGCCCCCCTGCTTCAGGGGGTTTCAGCTTTGGTGGTTCAGCTTCTACTTCAACTGCTGCTGATCCTGCCAAATCCACACCTCCTCCTCCAAATAACACAGCCCCAGCAAACGCATTTGGTGGTGCTGCTTCTGTTTCAAAACCTTCAGCATTTGGAGCTGCCTCATCATCATCTACTTCAACCCCAGCATTCAGCTTTGGAAATGCCAACGCCGCTTCTTCAGGTGCCTCGGCAACTACTAATACTACTCAAAATAACCAAACTCTGGCTGGGGGCTTCTCTTTCACAAATCCCGCTACTCAACAAAATAAACCAGCAAGTGGATTGTTTGGTAATGCTTTGTCTTCCAATACTACAACTCCTGCTGCTGCTGCTGCTTCTCCTGCCTTTTCCTTTGGTAAGCCAGCTGAATCATCGTCTACTACAAGTACAACTGGCCAAGCCTCATCTACACCCGCTTCAACTGGTGGGTTGTTTGGTAAAAACGCTACTACCTCTACAACTTCTGCTCCCTCTGGGTCTCTCTTTGGAGCTTCTACTACACCCGCTTCCGACTCAACACCTAAGTTGAATTTGGGTAATGCGAATACAACTGAGTCCCAAGATAAAAAATCTGCTGGTACTCCTCCTGCCTTCTCCTTTGGACAATCTTCCTCAGGTTCACAAGCTACGCCTTCATTCGGGTCAACATTGAACGCAGCAAAGGCTGCTACCCAATCTGGTGGTCTATTTGGTAAAACAGAAGAAAAGAAGGATACTCAAGCAGCTTCTACTGGTTTCTCTTTAAATAAAACTAATGATAAGCCCGCTACTGCTGCTACCTCTTCCTTTTCATTAGGAAATAAAGATGACAAGAAAGAAACCACGCCAAGCTTTTCATTTGGTCTTAAGCCTGCGGATACTTCAAGCAAACCAGCATCTACATTCTCATTTGGTGGAAAGGCTGCTGAGAAGCCTACTACTTCTGAAAAGCCCGCAACAAGCTTCACATTTGGAGCTAAACCAGCTGAAAAGCCTGCCGAAAAGCCTAGTACTTCTGATAAGCCTGCTGAAAAGCCCGCAACAAGCTTTACCTTTGGAGCTAAACCTGCTGAAAAGGCTGCTGAAAAAACTGATGAAAAAACTGATGAAAAGACAGCTGATAAAGCAGCACAAAGTTTCTCCTTTGGAGCAAAAGCAGCTGATAAGCCAAACTCCGGTTTTTCATTTGGTGCCAAACCGGCCGATAAGGGTGGTGATAAACCAAGTTTGAACTTTTCTCTAAGTGCCAAACCAGCTGAAAAGTCAGATGCCAAAGCTGCTCCTTCTACATTTTCTTTTGGATCCAAACCTGCTGAAAAAAGTGAAAGCAAGCCCACTTCATCTTTTTCGTTTGGTTCCACTAAACCCGATGAATGTAAAACTACTACGACTGCGGTATCTACTTCAAGTTCCTTAGGACAAAAGAAGGATGAAAAGAAAGATGAAAAAGCTGCCTCAACGAGTACCACTGTTGATAAATCTGCTAGTATAACTTTACAACCCACTAAGTTAGAACCAAAGCCTGTGTCTATTGAGAACAGAACGATGGAAGATTTGATCATGAAGTGGAGTAAACAATTAGCATATACATCTGATGTATTTGACAATTATAGCAAGCAAGTTCAACATTGGGATCGTCAATTAACAGAATCGGGTGATGAACTTAGCAAATTACATCAAGAATCAACACATACTGAGCAATTGCAAAATAAGATTGACCAACATTTGTTATTTGTTGAGTCACAACAAGATGAATTGGATAAGCTTTTGGATAGTTATGAGCAACAAGCGGATGTATTATTGAGTAATATTGAACTCAATCCTTCATTACCTTCACTTTCAGGTAATGCTAGTGTGGGGAACTCTAATGCTACAGGAAGTTCCAGTGGATCTACAGGAGCAGTTACCGATCAAAATGATAGCAAGTTTAATGTCACAGATAAATTAAGAGAAAAGGCATACCACAATGCCGAGATACTTGATGAAAAATTAGATGCCATGGGTACTAATTTGTCTGCACTCATTGGAGAAATTAATAGTGTCAGTGATGTTTTCAATAAGAATATGCTTCATGATGAATATGATACTCAATTACAAGAGATTGTCAAGTTATTGAACTTACACTTGGATAATTTGAGTTATATCGAATCATCTGAACGAGAGCTCAAACAAAAACTTAGTAAGGTATAAATAGTATTAAGTTTATAATCAGTTTTTTTTTGCAGTAAATTCATATGTATGGACTGCATCTAACTTGGAACCAAAACTCGGTTCATGTTCAATTTTTTCTTTCACATGGAATTGCGCATTGCCCGATTAGGAAAGTCCAACATGGGGAATACTGAAAGATCACCATGAGCAACAATGATAAAAGACCAACTAAAAAGTTGAGGTTATCAATGTTTAATTCCATTTTAAATAAAAAATAGTCATCATTAAGTTAGTCATCTCATCTCATTTCAATTACAGCCATGTCCGCGTTACAATTAGTTAAAATCTTGTTTGATCCCGATGTGTCCAAGAAGATGATCTTGAACTTGGCTTGGAACCAAGCAAAGGCTTTTGGTCTTGCCAAAGTCCTTGCTAAGTTATTGGGGTCTGGTATAGTTGTTGGAGCAGCATTCACCAAGTGGCCTCAAATTAGAAAGCTTGTTGAAGATAGGAAAGTTGTCAGTAAGGGACTTAGTTTAAAGAGTCTTTACTTAGAATTATTCTGTGAATTGGTTCATGTTGTTTATAACCAAGACCGGAGAATTGGATTTGTGGATTATGGTGAGAGTGTTTTGTTGGGTATCCAGAACTTGGTACTTGTTTTAATGGTTCATATCTTTAGGGCCAATCGTCAAGATATGAATGAATTGTATGGATTTTCCGTATGGGCTAATCCATCAAGTTACATGGCTGCTACTTTGGCTATTATTTCTGCACTTCCTCAAAGGGCTGTCAATGGATTGGAATTGCTTAATATTCCACTTGGTGTTGCTAGCAAACTTGCTCAGATCAATACCAACTATGAGTTACAATCTGCTCTGCATTTGAGTCGTACTACAGTTGGGGTTAGTACTCTTGGATCGTTAGTTCGGTTGTACACTACTATGCAATTGAAACGTAAGGATTGGGTATTGTTGGCTGGATATGGTGCTAGCTTTGCAGTTAATGCTGCATTGTTAGGTCAAATCCATTATTATGGTAGCAAAGACATTGAAGGGAAGAAGATGAATGAATGAATTTATGAATATATAAATTTATAATTAAATGTTTCGGATAAATTTACCCTTTTAAGCATATCACAATTAGGTATATCAATGCGAACAAAGCACTTCTCAAATTTTTTTCCAGTCCATACCCCAACTTTTCTTACATACAAATTAGATTAGCCCGTACATATACTTTTAACCCCATATCATAAGTACATAATATGGTACATGAAGCCGAATTCCTTCCCTCAACGGGAACATCCATCCTGTCGGTGTTGCAAGGTGGTTACAACCATCCATTGGCCAGAGAATGGCAGGAAGAACGTCCATTGACTAAAAGTATGTTCATATACCCATTGTTCATAACTGACTCTCCAGATGACGAGACAGAGATCCCAGCGTTGCCCAATATCAAACGTTATGGTATCAACAAGTTGATTCCTTACGTGAAGACTTTGGTGGACAAAGGTTTGCGTGCTGTGATTCTCTTTGGAGTACCTTTGAAAGACGGAGTGAAGGATGAAGTAGGAACTGCCGCTGATGATCCAGAAGGTCCAGTCATCATGGCTATTAAGGCATTAAGACAAAACTTTCCTGATTTATATATCATGTGTGATGTTTGCTTGTGTGAATATACTAGCCATGGCCATTGCGGAATATTGTATAAGGATGGCTCCATCAATAGAGAAACCCTGGCTTTAAGAATCGGTGCTGTTGCCGTCAATTATGCTAAGGCAGGTGCCAATTGTGTTGCTCCAAGTGATATGGTAGATGGAAGAATTAAAGATATTAAAACTGGCCTTATTAGTGCAGGATTGGCCCATAAATGTCTTCTCATGTCTTATGCTGCAAAGTTTCTGGGTAATCTTTATGGTCCTTTCAGAGATGCTGCTGGTAGTGCTCCTAGTCATGGGGATCGTAAGGCTTATCAATTACCACCTGGTGGTGCTGGTTTGGCTCGTCGTGCTTTGATTAGAGATATGGATGAAGGTGCTGATGCAGTGATAGTCAAACCTTCAACCTTCTATTTGGACATTGTTAGCGATGCCTCCAGACTTTGTGAAAACTATCCCATTTGTGCCTACCATGTTAGTGGAGAATATGCTATGTTGCATGCAGCTGCTGAGAAGGGTATTGTGGACTTGAAGGGAATTGCATTTGAAAGCCACCAAGGGTTTGTCAGAGCAGGTGCCAGACTTATCATCAGCTATTTCACTCCCGAGTTCTTGGACTGGTTAGACATGTAAATAATTAGAATAAACTAATATTGGAAATAATATTGGAAAGAAGTGAAAAGAGACTCTAATAAGGAAGAAACACTTGAAATAGACTGTCACGAGTTTAATATAGCTTCTCTTTGTTCAACAGCTTCTTCTGGCTTCTTCTCCTCCTGCTCTGACTCTGGTTCTGTATCAGGAACAGTAGGTAGCATATGCTCTCGATTAGGAACATCTGGCATCTCAGGTAAATCAGATTTAACTTCTTCCTTGGTCCCGAGTTCCTGTTCAAGTCTCTCTAGTTCTTCATCCACATCTCGTTCCTCCCCATTGGTCAAACTTCCCAACAAGCTCAGCACCTGTTCAACTTGGATCTTGTTATCTTCTAAATCGTCTAGTATACTATCTATCTTCTCAACACTAAACTCACTATTGAGCTGTTGTAATGTCTGATTCCCCACTTTCAACCCATAGATCACATCCCTTTCAATCAACTTAAACTCAATGGTATTGATCAACAGTCCAATATTCTCCAACTGGTCAAAACTCTTCTTCACAAGGTGCTCTTGATGTCTACGACATCCGAGGTAGAACTTAGCTCTTTCCTTAAGCCCACTCTTCAACAGCTCCTTGGCTAACTCAAGTTGTCTATCTGATACATGTTGAATCCTTGCTTGGTATTTCAAGATATTGTCGCGTTGTTTCTTGAGCTCATACACTGCTTTGTCTTGATCACTGATCTTGGAGCCACCTTGTCCCATTGCAACACAAACGACTACTATGTGAAGTGAAGTGAAGTGAAGCTAGAATTTAGTTGTAGGGTTTTGTTCTCGGGGTTTTGATCCCTATAGTAAAATACTCAGTAAAGACTATTGTTTACGTAATCATGCGACCAAATCTCGGTGATATCGGTGATAGCTTTATCTACGTTGCTTATACTTTAAATCTGCTACGCTTTTATGATCTATAACTGGTGTCAGGGTGTCATTGAATTAAATATGATCACAATTCATCATGAATATCAAGATCTTCTTCGTCGTCGTCCACTTCAAATTCGTCCAAGTTGCTTTCGCCAACGTTAGTCCAATCTGTGGCCTTATCAGACTTTGAAATGAACTTTCTCACCTCATCTTCAGTTAAATGATCACCAGTTAACATTCTATAACGGCCCTTGGAATCCACTACGGTAATAGATGGAAATTTGGTGCGTGCACCTAAAGCTTTCCACCATTCAGTTGTTTCAGTGGCTTCAATGTTATTCACGCAAAGCTTCTTGTCAGGAAATTCCCTAGCAATGTTATAAATGTAATGCAAGGGGTCCTTAAAATCATCAAAGTAGACTGAAGTGGTAAAGACGATGGTATTAGGTATAATCTTTTCAGTATCATAGGCCACATTCAGTGGAGGGATAAAATCTCCTACTTTGAATGGTGTATAGGACTCAATAAACTCGGTCAAGGATGCAATGGATCTGTCTGTGGAGTTATAGACAAAGAATCTCATCTGATTAATGTCGTAAATACGAACAGAAGGAAAGCTATCCACCTTAAACATCAGAGTGAGTTGGGTATTGGCTTTCCCATCAACCTTATATATTGAAAGGCCACTCCTACCTAGTTGTCCATCCAAATACTCAAATGTAGGTTCAAATTGCAGACAAAACCGACAGTTATCCTTATAGAAGTAGAGGAATGAATATGCGGTATTGGCTATTTGTGCAACAGTGGCATCATGGACGTATCGATACCCCCAAACTCCGTTCAGTAAAAAGATAATGATGGCCAGTAGTAGTACAGCGAGTAGTTGAGTCATTTTGCTTTGTTTAGAAGGGATATCTGGTCATTGATGACCCTGGATACTTAGTTAAGGTTTCGGTAGTGTCCTATTAAGTGTCGGGTAACGCCAAAATATCTATTCCGGGTAATCCCAGGAAATTAATTGCAGAGATCATGATCTGAAAGTTGAACTGATGTTTGTGTGACTTTGGAATAGTTCTCCCAATGTATCAATAGGTTTCAATTAGAGTACTCTTTTGGGATGATTATAATAGGGGGTTGTGTTTAAGCCAATAGAAAACGTCATTCTCTCTGAGAAAACCTGTTGCTGATTACCTTTTTGACCTATTATGTCGAAGCAATGTAGAGTTTAAATTTTTGATTTTCATAGCCTGTACTTACTGTTGATACTGTTAAGTTAAGTTGACGAAAATGCTTCAATAGAAAGAGATTTCAGATTACAAACTGTGAAACTCAAGAGGACATCATTCCGTATTGTTTTTGTTGCAAAATTGACTTAGATGGTAGAGACTAATCCTTTGGTTAAGGGTCTACTCAGTATCGACTCGGTATCTATTCATTCTATTCATTCTATTCATTCTATTCATTCTATTCATTCTATTCATTCTATTCATTCTATTCATTCTATTTAGTCACTAAGATTTAGTCATTAACAATAACAATTCTTCCTTCACAGTGCACAGACATCAACTGCAGAACTTCTACCAACGGTTTTACTGAATACTGTTTGTGATTACATTAATCAACTTTACTGTTTTTTTTTTTTCTTAAGTAGAGACAAGAATGAGCTTAGAAAATTTTTGCACCCATCACCAGATCTCAAGCTCATCTTAAACCGTAACTGAGTGAGAGCAATACAGAAGAATGGTGTTTGAGTCTTGCACAACGCATTCCCATATTTCATCACATATTTCAACAAGCAAGAAAGTAAGTGATTGTGAACTTAATCCATTGATTATCTCTCTGTGTAACGTTATGATCACATTATACCTACTGTGCTTCTACAATAAAGATCGCAACTGCTCTCTGTTTCATTATCGATGCTGTATCTCTCACTGCTTCATCTGCAAGTGGAAATTCTGTAATCAAGAGACACAACCTGGTGAATTCCATACAGAAATCAAGCGGTGTCCTGGATTGAATGAAAGATATTTTGGACTTCTACAACAAAATTAGAACCATCAAGTCTTTCCTTTGAGATGGAATAAGACTTTATGGGAGAACGCTCGAAAGCATGCTGCTACTTCTGAATGCGGCTTGGGATTACACCGTACAAGTGCTCCTTATGGTGAAACTCTATTTATCGGTCTTACTGATCCCGTTACAGCTGGTCCTGGTTGGTATAACAAAGAGAAAGATTGGAGATACGGTGTGAATGGTAACCAATAAAATCATTTCTCTCAATTGGTTTAGAAAGATACTTCTCAGCCCGGCTGTGCCTACCATTTCTGTAAAGGTAAAACTAAGTCATATCCTGGGTATTATGTGGTTTGCAGTTACTTTGTTGCAGGTAATGAGTTCCATGCCCACGGGTACACAATAAGAAGAACAAAGGGTGTAGTGGAGGTTGTTCTTGAAAGCACTCTGAGATTAACCTACTGTGATTCTGTCACGTGGTTTCGGCTTTAAGTGAGACCTAGCAATCAACTCCAACGTAGAATGATCACGCTACACATTAACCCCACCAAGTATGCCAGAACTATATCGCTGAAAGGCCCTCCCCCTACAGCTCACCAAAGACGCTGATGCAAATAATAATCAGGTAAGATCCAAAAGAGAAGCCTACTTTCTCCTTTGTAGAATGGAAAAGAATCATTTCATATACCCGCTACTGGTTTCCTTTAAAGTTTGGGAAGCGGACTACTAAACAAAGCATCACCAGATCCAAGAGTCTTAAAACTTTCGTATAACAATTAGCTCCGGTGACACAAACACCTTTCTGTTGTAGGGGGAGGCACCAGAACTAAAATTAATAGAGTACAATCAAGTTCAACTTTAGCAAGGAATTTCCTGTATACCCTTCTTTTTATGGATGCACTTTAACCAGTTTTCCTTTATTTTGTCGAATTCAAGATCCCCCCTTTCTGTAGTTGAGTTGGTATTTTGAGTCTAGTGATCGAAGCATGCCAATTGATTCTCTGCGTTTTGTCACGAATGAGATGCAATTGCTAAGAAACTTTCATGTTAAGATACATCAGGCATGATAGGCTAAATCAAATAAAAAAAAAAAAGACATACAAAAAGACATTCTTGTTCGTTCTTTTCTGTGGCTGAAAGCGTCTAAGACATGAAATCACGATTGTAGAATTCGGGTGTGCATATAAAAATACGTGCATCTGAACATAAGCATGCCTAAAAAATAACCAGCCATTCCAGCCAGTACTGGACAGTATTCTTAGTGTTGAAGTTAGTATGCCACTTTAGTACCAGCACACCAGAGCTGGAACTGACCTTTGTACAGGGTTCATTCATTGTGTATCAAACACCAGCACCACCAGCACACTAGTACCGCCAGCACCAGTGCTTGCCAGCATTAAATCAGGCGAGATCTAACGAGAGTCACGTCTTCTCACCAGCACAACCAGCACTACCAGTATTAATGCCAGCACTAGTAGTGGAAATACAATCAGTGTACCAGCACGCAAAATATTACTAGTAAAGTTACCTGTCACCGGTATTAGGTTTACATGTCATAGCAAGAATAGCCACAGATGTTTTAACAGTGTAAACTATAGGGATGCTAAAAACTTGCATTCTTGAAAATCTGTTCAAATGCTGACCCCAAGTGTTTTAAGTATCCCCCAGTTCGCCAACACAGACAGAAAGTCACTCGTGATCTTTGGTTAGATGATAGTTAGTGTTGTACTGAGAGTCGGTTATTTTGATGAATAATGCAAAATCTAAAAGCGAAAACATAAAAGCCATGATGTTATATGCAGTAGGTTGCGGATAGTATGTAGAAAAGCACCTATGCATTACACCAAACTCCAATTTCCAAGCATACCCAATCACAATCAGCAGTAAGCAGGCTAATACTAGCAAAGGATCGAATTTCCCCAACTACACATATGCTACACTCAATTCATTAAAAATATCTAAGTATAGTCCATATGGAATATTTCTTACTACATGACACAATCTGTATCCATAGAGATGCACCTTTATACATGCAGATGACCATACATTGTTTTCATGCACCTGTTCCGCACCATATATACACGAACGTTTGGCTGGAAACCTTCTTTGAATGTACCATTTATTGCTGGCTACAGATGGGCCATTTGCTGGTGGCTTATATGAAAGAGTTATTGTAAGTACAATGGTCTAAGTTACGTGAACCCTAATCATCCTCTTCAGTTTATAAACACAGTAGGACCCGATATAAAAAATTTGACAACCTTTACATTCTCCAACTTCAAACAACGCTCTTTACAATTAAGACATCGTCCCTAATAGTATAATAATGATAATGAATAAGTGGTTATTGGCATTAGTTGCTTCTGCAGCTCCAGTCCTTGCATTGGAAACCATCAGATCTACAGTTGTGTCCAGTGTCTGCCTTTCTTCCGCATATTATTCTAACTCCACTGTGCCTTCGACCTCATCATTGGAACAAGATATTACTTCCACTTTAACAAGCCAAGTCACAACCACCCAAGTTCTAACTACTACTGTTGGTGGTACCGAGATCGTGGAAACCGTTGTCGGTGTCGTAGAAACCTCCACAGCTACTGTCGATGGTGTTTTGACCGTCCTCACTACTGTCGTTCCCCAAAGTACTATCACACAAACAGATCTTCAAACTACAGTTATCACTATCACTTCATGCTCAGACAACAAATGTACCAAGGTTCCTGTCACCACCGGTGTCACTACTGTCACCGAAGACTACACTACCTACACTACTTACTGTCCTCTTTCCAGCACTGAGGCTGCTGTTCCAACTACTGAGACTGCTCTTCTGACTACCGTCGTTACTGTTACACATTGTTCCGACAATAAATGTACCAAGGTTCCAGTAACCACCGGTGTCACCACTGTTACTGAGGACTACACTACCTACACTACTTACTGTCCTCTTTCCAGCACTGAGGCTGCTGTTCCAACTACTGAGACTGTGGCTCCAACTACTGAAACTGTGGCTCTGACCACTGTCATTACCGTTACTCATTGTTCCGATAACGAATGCACCAAGGTTCCACTTACCACTGGTCTTACCACTATCACCGAAGACTACACAACTTACACTACTTATTGTCCTCTTTCAACCTCGACTGAAGTTGTTTCTACTAGTGAGGCTGCTGTTTCTACTGAAACAACCAAGGTTCCAGTTACTACTGAAACAACCAAGGCTCCAGTTACTACCGAAACCACACAAGAAGCTGTCACCACTCACATTGTCGTTGACTCTACCATGCACACTGTTGTCTTATCTCTGGCTTCTGCTATTACCCCTAACACTGCTAGCACCGAACAAATCGTCGATGTTCCTTCTGCCACCACTGTTAACGTCATTCCATCTCAAATCGTTACTCAAACTCCAGCCACATCCAAGCCTACTGCATTCTCCATTGCCATTGTTTCTAGTTACGAAGGTTCTGCAAACTCCGTCAAAGCTACTGGAGCTTTTGCTGTTGCTATTGCCTTGGTGCTTTTCCAATTGCAATAAGCCCCATTGCATAGCATACTTCTCTTCTTCAAAACCTTGCATTGACTCAACAATAAACTAGTCGACCTTTGCATTCTGTGGATCACACTAGATGCCCGACAAAAGTTAATTTCTGTTCATTTTGCTTTTTTATGTACTATACGCCTATATATTTTAGACTTCCCCAGTGGAATTCACAGCATAATTGATACAATTTAGATTGAATTCTTTGTAATTATAAGCAGAAATCAATAAATACGATATACACAGTTCCAGAGATACTCAAACGTTTTGGTCACATGATGTTTTGGTAGCGCGCGTGTTTTTCACCTTTAAAACTTTTTGCACTACAAAGTTAAAGACCAACTATACAACAAACATCAATAGGATTGCATGTGTGTGTGTGAGGGAAATGGACATATATAAGGAGATCGTTGAGCCCACAAGGGTTTCACATTGTCTTAGTTGTCATTTTATTTCTCCCAATTGCAAGCACTTGCTTGTAGCCAAAGCCACTATACTTCAAATATTTGAGGTAATAACACAAGATGCAACCAGTCACTTGAAACTTGTGGAACAATTTAAACTTGAAGGGCAAATCACTGGTTTAAAACGGATTAGGCCTATTGAATCGCCGCATTTGGATTACGTGATAGTGGCCACGAAGCTTGCCAAATTCTCTGTTATCCGTTGGGATGCTTTTCATCATACGATATCAACTGTTTCATTGCATTACTATGAGAACTGTTTACAAGGGTCAAGTTTTGATGAGGTTAAACTGGCAGAGTTGCTTGTTGAGCCCACATCCAATAGTTGTACATGTATGAGGTTCAAGAACATGATGATCTTCCTACCCTTTACGGTGATGGATGATGAAGAAGAGGAAGAGGAAGAGTTAGAAGCTGATACCATGTATGTTGACGTTAAACTGCAGAAAGGTACACAAATAAACTCTACTAGTGAAGAAGGGGTGGTACAGGTTAGAGTGCCAATGTTTGACTCGAGTTTCTTGATCGACGCCAAAACTTTGGATCCACTGATTGGCTCTCATGTTATTGATGCCCAATTCCTTTACAGTTATAGCGGGACCACTATGGCTGTATTAACCTCAGGTAACCAATATACATGGACTGGGTTACTTCCACAACTCAAAGATGACGTATCGCTATACATTGTGTCACTTGATTTGAAGTCCAAAGTATCTGCTACTGTGTTGAAGGTTGATAATTTGCCTTATGATATCGACAGGATTATTCCACTCAAGGCTCCTCTCAATGGGTGTGTTCTTCTAGGAGGTAACGAGATAATCCACGTAGATAATGGTGGGATTGCTAGGAAAATAGCTGTGAATTCTTATTTCAAACTGATAACCAACCAAAAGAAGAATTACATCGATATGACTCATTTGGAGTTGAAATTAGAAGGATGTTCTACGTTTCCAATTGATAACAAATTGCTATTGATCACCAGAGAAGGGTCTTTTTACTGTTTGGAATTTGAGTTGGATGGTAAATCGATCAAGAAAGTATCATTAACCAAGTTAGCTGAGAAAGCTTATGAGAATATTCAATTGACTTACCCAGGAGAGATAGTCAATTTAGACGACGACTTATTATTCATATCCAATAAAAATGGTGATTCCCCATTGGTGAAATGGGGGTATCAAGATGACTCAGGAGCTATTTCGTCCTCACAAGGTGAAATGATTACCACCAATGGGAGAACAACCACAGACGATGATTTATACGACGAAGATGATGATTTATATAATGACGATGAAGGGTCTCCTGAAGTTCAAAAGGCACTGAAACGGGCAGATAAGTTGATGTTCCACAAACATGATCAATTGATCAATTTAGGGCCTTGTTCGACATTTGCATTTGGATTCTATTCTTTAGAAGAAAAGAAGTCTCAATTAATTAACCCCAATTATAGAGATATTTGTATCTTCAGTAACGGGGGTTCTCAGAAACAAAGTGCATTGAGTATCATAAGTCCAACGGTACAATTGAACATAAAATCATCGTTATCATTCTCCCAAATAGATCGGATGTGGACAATTCAATCCAAGTATTTGATTACTTCAGATAGCATCAATTTCAAGTCAGAAATCTTCCAAATAGATAAAGCTTTCGCAAGATTGGTATCCAAAAGTTTTGTTAACAACGACATGACAATCGCAGTACATGAGATGCCCTCCCAACATGTGATTCAAGTCACCAGAAAGAAGGTTCACGTTTATGAGTCCAATTTCAAGAAGAGAGCCATGAAACTTCTTTGGAGAAAAGATGCTAATAAAGACGAAAGCGAATCTGTATCTACTTCCGTTGATGATGAGATCATTCATTCCACTTTCCAAGACGAGTTTCTTATGTTATTCTTAAGAAGTGGTGGGGTACTCATTTACTCAGTCAATACTTATAATGGGACATTCACCAGTATTGCCATACCCAAGATTCTTTCAGAAACAATTATTACCACGGGTTGTATAGCCAATTCGTATTTGTTGAATGCTGTGCTGAAGGATATAAATTTGGTAATAAACCATGAGTCTAGAGGCTTGAAACGGAAGCATAGTGAAAGAAATGCAAATCCCCGAAAAAACTCACCTGATCAACAAGAGAAAGGAGCGACTTCTTATGGACCTAAACAGAAGACATTTGCGTTGGTAACTGGTGATAATAGGATAGTTGTTTTCAACAGGTTCCACAATCAAAAGTGCTACCAGCTTCGAGAAGTGGATAAGTTTACCAAATTTTTATCTCTTGAGTTTTTTGAGAATAGAGACTCAATTCCAGATCCTCATATCAAACAGATTATTTTCAATGACTTGGGAGATGGCATTGAAAGGGAAGAATACTTGACTGTTCTTACTATTGGAGGTGAAATTTATATGTACAAGTTATTTTTTGATGGAGAGAACTTTCAGTTCAAAGCTGAATCAGATTTAGCAATCACGGGAGCCCCAGATAATGCATACCCTAGTGGTACCAGCATTGAAAGAAGGTTGGTTTATTTTCCAAATTTCAGCGGGAAAAGTTGCATAGGAGTTACTGGAGTAATACCGTATCTTATTACTAAGCTGGGTCATTCCATACCTCGGATATTCCGCTTCTCCAAAATTCCAGTACTGTCATTTGCAATATATTCTGATGTAACCAACAATATCACTAACGGGATAATGTTTCTTGACAATAAGAAGAACGCTAGAGCCTGTGAGTTGGCACCCGAGTTTAACTTTGAGAACTGTTTACCAGTGAGGAGGATCCCCATGGGAGAGACCATCAAAAGCATTGCCTATCATGAAACTAGCAATACTTTGGTTGTGTCAACCTTCAAAGAGATACCGTACAATTGCATTGATGAAGATGGTGAACCAATTGTAGGTACAGATCCCAGCAGACCCTCTGCCATTAGTTACAAGGGATCTGTTAAGCTTATTTCACCTTATAATTGGTCAGTCATTGATACTATCGAGTTGGAAGACAATGAAGTGGGAATGACGTTGAAATCCATGGCATTAGACGTGGGGTCCCTGTCCAAGAAGTTTAAGAATAAGAAGGAATTTATCGTGGTGGGTAGTGGGAAATATAGGTTGGAAGATTTACCTTGTAATGGGAACTTCAAAGTAATTGAAATCATTGATATTATTCCTGAACCAGGAAGACCGGAAACGAACCATAAGTTCAAGGAGTTTTTCCAGGAGGATACTCGAGGAGCTGTGACTTCAGTTTCGGAAGTATATGGCCGATTTCTTGTTGCTCAAGGACAAAAGATCATTGTTCGTGATATTCAAGACGATGGGGCAGTTCCTGTTGCATTTTTGGATTGTCCGATTTATGTTTCTGAACTGAAGAATTTTGGAGATTTGGTACTACTTGGAGATGCGGTTAAGGGAGTTTGTTTAGCCGGGTTTGATGCTGAACCATTTAGAATGATCACTTTGGGTAAGGATATGAATAAATTCGATACCAATTGTGCTGATTTCATTGTTAAGGATGAAGACCTTTACATTTTAATTGCAGATCAAAAGAAACAAGCACTTCATCTTGTTCAATATGATCCTGAGGATCCAGTTTCATTAAATGGTACCAGATTGGTTTATAAATGGTCTTTTAACGTCAATTCTACCGTCATGAGTCTTAAAAGTCTTCCTAAACATGAAGAATTCACTCCAATGGTTTCTACACCTCAAAGCATGGGGTTCTTCAATTTAACTCCTCCAAGCCGTCAAGATATTCCATTCCAATCAATGGGTTGTACCTTAGATGGTAGTTTCTTTACCGTGTTCCCGGTTAATGAGGCTACATACAGAAGAATGTACATTCTTCAACAGCAATTAACAGAGAAGGAGTATCATGTTTGTGGCCTTAACCCTCGGATGAATCGGATGCAAGGACTTCAGCACATCAACACCATCTTTCAAACTACCGGGAACGGTGGTGAAGGTCTGGGCAAGCCATTGTTAGACTTTGGAATCTTAAAGAAATTCACAAAGCTTAATGAAGATAGAAAGAAGAACTTTGTATCGAAAGTCAGTGGGAAAAGACTTTCTGTTGATATTTGGAGAGATCTTATTGAGATAGAGAATGTTTTAAAGAACATGTACACGTAGAAGCATTAGCAATAGAATTAGCAGTAATTATTGGTATGGTAGGAGTTTTGTATATATTTATGATCCCCGCACGACCCTCGGTAGGAAAATAAGTATCAACAGTCGAAGTGTGTAACTACATTGTAATAGTCGTAGAGCTTATCAAGATGGGCAAGACAAAGATCAGAAAACAAGTTTCGTTCGACAGCGGACTAAAGGAAGTTGTTGCGGAGGAGATCAAGAAGAAGAAGAAGGTTGGATCCTCTTCCAAAACTGCACCCATATTAACAAATAGAATCTTGTTAATCCCCATTCATTATGCACTTAATTTAGCTGGCATGTTTTGGTTCGGACTAATGGAAAACACTCAAAAGACCTTGTTGAAAGGAGCATTGAACCTTGCAGTGATGCAAATAGCATATGATTATCTAATCGTCAGATTACTGAAAACAAGTGCTAAGGATTCCACCAATACTCCACTTTTAGTCATAGGAAGTATAATTGTATGCTTACTATTATCCTTTCCCTTGAGTGTGTTGTTGATTATCTTGGGAGCTCCGGTCACGTCTCATTTGTATCTGACATATCTTTTGGCATTGCACTTGTCTTTGATAGTCATTAATCCTATTCTTGTGGTGTATCAATTCCAATTGGATAAGTTTTATCAGAGTCTTCAATTCAGTAATGATTCTCAAGTATTCAAATCAGTTATTTTGAAGAGTTCCATCTTGTTGTCGGCGTTCCTTGCTGTTTTGGGAACCTGGTTGGGAGTTATACCTATTCCATTGGATTGGGACAGACCATGGCAAGCATGGCCAATCACTTTGGTTACAGGTGGATATACTGGTGCCTTTTTAGGTGGACTTATATCATGTATGTTTTAGTAGAGATGTCAAATGGTTCCGTATTAGGAAATTGGAGTCTGCTAATACATTTTACGACATGATTTTCCAAAATAGGAAATAACAGTATTTAAAACGCGTGATTGCAATACAAACAAATAAACATCACCACTTTCTTTCTTTCTTTCTTTAAGTCAGATGCTGTCATTGCCCATCATAAATGGAAGCGAGGGTGACGACGTGTCTATACATGTCCATCAACGAATAGGACCGTCTCGTCCCTTAAGGCGACAAACACCGCAGTCTCACTATAACACATTATTCAAACAGTTTCTAAGTGGTGAACTTCAAACAACAGTTGAACTGGATGAACCTGTGTTCGATTCGGGTTTGGACTCGGACTCGGAATCAGAAAGAGATGTCCCAAAACTGGTGTTCTCCGGTACCAAAGAACCAGAATCAAGTGAAGAAACGTTGTATGATATTCCAAATAAAAGGTTTGCAGTTGACAGTCTAGACAGTCTAGACTATTCTAGAACCAACAATGATGATCTTGACAATGAAGTTGTAGTTGATGAAGTGTCAGCAATTGCTCAGCCAAAGATACAGAAATCCTCGAGTGTCGTAACCACTAAACTCAGTATTTGGGGATGGATAGCGCTACTTTCTATAATAGGTGTGGCCATTTATGTTCTGGACATAATACAAATGGGAAAAGAAATTTCCATACGGAACGCACTGGTTCCAAGCTCATGGATGTCTGATCTTAGAAAGAGACAAGATTTTTTAGAAGAAACATTAACCTCAACTACAGAAGATACCAATAGAAGGTTTGGTCTTATAAACAACAAGCTTTCATCTACGCAAGAATCTCTTGAACGAATTGCTGAGAGCTTGAAGTCCCTTCATGTGCCGAATATAACCAAAAACCACGTCCTCAACGAGACACTTGTCGGTGTTGATGAGTTAATGACAAACTTGGACATGGAGAAAGTAAAGCAAGAGATCCTTGATCAATTACTTGTGAAATTACCTGTACGGTACGGTACACATGACCAGAAACTCCATTATACCAAGGACTTTAGAAAGTTCATTGAGGAAATGGCTCGAAATGTCCATACATATCAGCCAGAAATGGACCAGGAAACTCTTAAGCAAGTTGTTAAAGATTACTTACAAGATGAAATACCGTCCAACCCCAAAAATCTTATTATGGATAGTGTGGTAGATGCTATTAATGGACAACGTATTAAAGTTAATTATGCTGATTATGGACTTGGGGCTCGAATTTTGGGATTTCTAACCAATCTTAATATGGATGATACTTCGTACGGAAGTTCTTTATTGCATATTGCTTCATTAAAATGGTTGTTTAATGGGAATTTTAATAAGCAAAATGCCAATAATGTGCTTTTAGATGATGATTCATCGTTCCTTGTTTCCAATACCCTTGCCATTAGGCTTAGTCATGTGCTATATTTAAGTGACTTGATTATAAATATCAAAGCCCTGTCATCATCACCATCTAAGACTGTTCATCAAATGGGGGTTTATGTTAAACCAAAAAAATTGAAGTATTTCAAACAATTATTACCTCATAAACTTCCCAATCTCCCCATTGAATCCAATAGGTATTTAAAGAGATTTATCCCCATTCAGACGTGTCGGCTTGCAAATGGAATTAATAAAATCAAACTACCTAGAAGTTTAACTCACTTGCAGATTCCAATTAGAGATATTTTTTTAACATTTGATTCTCCTGTTGAAATAATCAATTTACGAGGCTTCGGACTTACCGAATATGAAGGAGAAGAAAACGTGGAAATTGGTAAAGACGACATGATTAGTTGAAGTCACATGCCTTAATTTAGTTCATAGAGTTTCCAACTAGGTCACATTTGCGACGATTCTTGCCTTGTGCACAAGCACTTAAAACGTCTTTCGATGTCTGGGGTCTACTTTAGTATTTTCCATTTTAAAGCTTGTTCATTTATAGATCATAATGGCAAACAACCTGATATGTTTCTCGTATCAGTATACAATTAAGCCAAATTGGACATTAAAAGGTTCAGGGATAATTACCAGTTTCTAAACACGGGGATGCACAAGCAAGCTGTGATTCTGTTTTGAGGATGCAATTCCATTTTAATCCGTCGCTCATTCATTGTACTATATTCGTCTGGCAGCGTTATCGTTAAATGCTTGAACTGTATGCATACTGATCACGAGTTCCACTTTTCCTGTAAAGGTGATCAATGCAAAGTTGTCCAAGGTAAAGTCTGTATATTTTCATTGTCTTATTTACACATTTGCCTCTCGAGTCATTGGTCACGTTTTGCAATCAAGTTTAAATTTATAATATTGTAAAGATAGCTACACAACTACAACTAGAAGATGGTAGGAAGTAAATCTTTGTATACTTCCACCAATAATAGGGTCACAATTATAGGCTACAATGGAAATTTCAGCAAGTAGTGTACTTCATACGAGTTCTTCTGTATGCAGTACTTGAATACATATGCATGAAAGATATACTGCAACCTCGTATGTATCTCTAAGAGATCGCACACACCCCCTTCCCCTCCGCCTTGAATGTGTAATGTAAAATCTAACATGAATTTACAGCATCAAGAATAAGTAGAAATATAGATTAAGCACTGCAGGCTGTAATATAAAAGAAACTATACAATATATAGAACTTACGAAAAAGCTCTTCTTATAGCCAATTAAGGACTATGAAATAAAACACTCGGGTATAAAAAATAGCAAGACTGACAGTCTAAGCTACAAGATTGTAAAACAATCTTACAACAAGAACAAACCGACTACACCGAGGAACAAGCCAGAAACACCAACCTTTTCAGCAGCACCACTGTAAATAGAGATAGGAGCAACAGTGGATGGAGCAGCAGTGCTTTCAGACTTGGTAACAACTGGAACTTCCTTGGTGTAGGTAACGTATTCAGTACCCTCAGAACAGCTTGGGCACAATTCAGAAGCGGTGTAAGTGGTAGTGACACCTGGAGTTGGGCAAGTGTACCAGTAGGTAACAACTTCAGAAGAAGGAATTGGGCACCAAGTAGTGTAAGTAGTGGACTCTTCGCAAACAGTAGTGTAACCAGTTTCGGTGGTGTAAGAAGTACAGATGCTTTCCGTGTCACATTCAGTAACAGTGATGGTAGTACAAGGAGCAGGCTTTGGAACCCACGAGGTGGTTTCAGAAGTCAATGGGCAGTAAGTAGTGTAAGTAGTGGACTCTTCGCAAACAGTAACAACACCAGTAGTCTTTGGGATTTCGTGACACTTGTCTTCAGAACAAGAAGTAATGGTGACAACAGTGGTTTGAATGTCAGTGACAGTAGAGTTAGCCCAACCAGCTTGGGAAACACCAGCTAAGACAGCAGCAGCAAAAACGGTAGAGAACTTCATTCTTAATAGCGATTGTAAAGGTTTAATTAAAGCGATAGACTTTGTAGTTAATAATAAAATTAAAAATCTTTTTCTTGACTTGAGAATAAAGTCTTCAACCACCCCTTTATATACTTTGTATTTCTACTACAGCTTTATATCAGGCAACGATTAGACTATTGTGAAAGAGAAATATGCAGTTGAGAACCGTTCATTACACAAACCTCCGTCGCTAGTAGCTATCAGTAGATTCTTTTTTTAATGCATAGTATCTTATTGTTCTTTTTACGACACACTTGTGTTAGGAACGTGGCATATGGTTGCTGTTTTTCATACCTGACCACATTCTATGTCCTTGATTGGACCCGAACCAACCCCAATTGGAAGTAACCACGGGGGACTGTCTTACAGACCCCGCAAACTACGGTGTTGCTCTTTCCGTATTAGGCGACGGCAGGCCACTTGAAAACCAACACAGAGCCTTATTTAGGTAAACATCTAAGGTTATTTGGTAACCCCTATTTGAAAGCTTTGGAAGAATTTTTTCGGTACGTAATGCTACATCCTGAAAGTAAGGGCATTCACTGCTGGAGACTTTTTTTAGCTCCTTCTGTAATGGTGGGACCTTACTCCCAACAACTGTCAAAAAATGAGATTTGTAGGGTTTCTCGAATGGGGGACCTGGTTCCAAAAATGTAAACACACACATAGCAATTTCTTCGTATATTTCACTGCAGTTGCAGCAATAAAAGTGCCCCCGGTAACACAAAACGCGCGTCGTAATTGTGTCTCTAACGCTATTACATGCAGACGCTTTCGAGGGAATAATAACGAGATTCTCCCGTAGTACAAACACCAGATGAAAGAAAATTTACACAAGGTGTTTATCTGAAAACAACTTACCACTACCTGGAAATAGTCAAACGCAACGCAACCATTCTAAAAGTGTAGCACCACGCTGGGTGATTTGACTTACCACCATTATGTTTACCAGCGAGATTTCCAGCCAATCAAACGATGTTCCTCCTCGTTCTTTATTACGTCACTCGCAGGGGTCCCTTACCCCAATGACTAATTTCACAAGAATTTTAACCTTATTCCATCACTCAGGTAACTGAGTACTTTGTTGATTCAATTCTGTGTTTGGTACGACCTTTAAAATGCATTAATATCGGCCTTAACGATTATCCTTCACAATGTAGTCTTCTACGGCCCTCCCAAATCTATATGCACAATGCCCCTAAAGGCTAGTAAACAACAAACATAGCATTTAACAACATAACGATAAAAATAACAAATGATTTTAACCTGACGTAAACAAAGCACGAAATTAGGAAATAACGCATTCGTGTTGAGGGGAAGGTTCCGTCCAATTATTCGCTAGCAACTGATCAACAGCTGACAGGAGTTAGTGACTCAGTCTGTGTGAGGCAGACTGGCAGGCAGACGAGCAGACATACTTAACCACTGAACACCACTTTGTAGGTTGCAATTTCGAACCCACGTAATTCGATATCAAAAGTATTTTTAGATTTATCATGGGCGACTTCGTGTTTAACCACGTCTTCCAAGGCATTCAACTTGTGTACCTGTGAGATGGGGTATTTGTCATTGACCACGATAGTTGCCTTGGACCCGGACCCTCCTAAACTTTCGTATAATCGAATGATAATGTCTTTAGATTTAGACTTCGCTTCAGGCAATTTCAAATGAGATAACACAATGTTTGCATCTCCCTTGGAATAAACTAAAGTTGGTATAGAAACGGGTATCTCTGATTGGAGAACCTTATAGTTGAACTCCCATGCCTTACGAACAGTATCAATGCCCAAATCATCCAAATGTGGGTACAAACAATATTCAAATTCATGATCTCCCATGTCTGCTTTATCATCAGGGACTTTAGGTGATCTCAAGAGTGATAATCTCATCAAGTTGCCATGAATAGAGGCCCCATATTTGCAATTATTCAATATGGAAACACCATACTTATAGTCAGACAAGTCCATAAACTTGTGATGACATACTTCAAACTTTGCAATGTCCCAATTAGTATTGTAATGGGTAGGTCTTTTGGTAATACCAAACTGGGTTTCATATTTAGCTTCAGAAGCAGTGAAAATGGTTGTAGGGAATTGGACTTTTAAGAATTCATATGTCTTATTCCAATTAATCACTTTGCATTTGAAATGTAAGCACAGTTGGGTTTCATCCAGAGTACCATTTAAGGAAATAATGGTTTCAATATGTGAATTGGTATCCAATTTATTGATCACCTTTATGCTAGCCAATAATGGATCAACAGAAAGTATATCAACTTCTCCATTCTCCAAGAACTTGAACGTATTGACATTGTATAGTTCAGTGTCCCAAGCAGGATAAGTATTTGGTCTGTCTTCGAATAAAAGGAATTGATTACCAAATCCATTAGAATTGGATGTCTTGGTGGAGTCAAGGACTTCACGTCCTCCATTACGGAAATCCCAAATACTCTGAATTAATCCGTTAGAGTTGATTTCCACTTTAAGCAAATCATTGGTGAGTACATATGCAGCTGTTTCAGTATCAGTGGCACCACCACTGGTAATTAATCTGGCTGGATACTTCAACAGAGAAGCATTCACAATCGAAACTTCAGAGGAATTAGCACTAAATTGTACTAACCGTGGTACTCCAAAGTCTGGATGATCAATAATCTCTTGTCTGTCCCAGGGCAAAGTATTAATGAAATTTGTTGTTTTGTCCTTGTTACCAAAATAACTTAGAACATCATTAGTCAATTTGTCCACCTTGGAGAAGAACTTGTCAATAAGTGGATGCACTTCATGATAATATACCATTCCAATACAAGAACCGGGTAAAACATCATGAAACTGACAAAGTAATAAATCTTCCCATAAACTGGAGATTTCTGCGTGTGGATACTTGAACTCTGGTCTGGTTACATGGGCAATCGTAGCCAAGTATTCCAAATCATGTAACTTTATTTCCCCTGTTCTCATGAACTTCTTGACTTTGGCTTGGGTGGTGTAAGTGCCTCTGTGGAATTCTAAATAAATCTCACCCAACCAAGAAGGTAAGGTACGACCTTGATCTGTTGATTTCAATATAAGATCATAGAATTCTTCCACGGTTGTTCCCAATTGGGCTGGAGGCATCATACCAACCGTATTAGCTAAACCTCTACACCGTCTGATTTTCTCAATCATTTCACCTGTCGGACCACCTCCTCCGTCACCATGGCCAAACAACAAGAGTCCATGTCCACTATCACGCATGTTTTTGTTTTGCGTGGCCGTTCTCCATACATCACCCCAATGAGCACTTGCAGTGTAAGTATTTGCTGGAGGCATATGGACCAAAACCTGAGAGCCATCAATACCCACCCAATTGAAAGTAGTCAATGGGAACAGGTTGATGTTGTTCCAGGACAACTTTTGAGTCAAAAACTTGGTAAGACCACATTCTTGGCATACTTGGGGGATTTGGGATGAATAACCAAAAGTATCTGGTAACCAAAAGACATCTGATTTGAAGCCGAAATTGTCGTTTAAAAATCTTTGTCCAAACACAAACTGTCTTATAAGAGACTCACCATTTGGCATATTGGTGTCATGTTCGACCCATGACCCACCAATGGGGATGAATTGATTGGTAGTGAACTTTTGCTTGACCTTGTCGAAGATTTCAGGATGGTAAATTTTTAACCATTTGAATTGTTGCATTTGCGATGCTACAAACACATATTCAGGATATTCTTCAGTCAATTTGATTTGGGTTGTCCAAGACCGAACGATTTTACGTTTTGTTTCAGCAAAGGGCCATAACCAAGCAGTATCAATATGGCAATTCCCAACCCCATGAACCACTACATTCTTAGGATCAATATTACCTTTATTGAACACTGTAGGCAGATCAACATCTGGACCCAACATTTCTTGAGCCAATTTCCGACAGGCATCGATAGAAGAAACATCATTAGGATCATAAGTATCCATGATCCGATTACAAAGTTCATTAGCCTTGTACTTTTGCCATGAAAACCCGGGAAATTCTCTTGAAGAATCACCCAAGATCCAAAAGTCCCAAAACAATTGGAACGCATTCAAATTGGGTTGTCTGATACGACAAGTGTTTAATCTAAACCACCGGTTGGGGTCTGGATGTTCACCACTACCGTTACCAAACATACCATTACATGCCATTTCCATGTAAAGCGTAAACAGTTTCTCTGTTGTGTAATATTCCAGAGGCAACTTATAAATAGTTCTCTCACCTCCAGTGAAAGCTTGCAAGGGTACCCCCTTGCAAGAATACACAAGAGCTTCCGAACTTGAATCCCATTCCAATTCCAATGGGTGGTTGGCATCGTCCATATGCCAATCCAGAGGCAATTGCCAAGTCAATTTGAACCAAAATGTCTTCCATGAAGGTCCAAATGATTGGCCAATATGAGCCGTGCTCCAATCCAAATGATCAAAGTCAATGTCTTTAAACAAAGGTCTATCCCAAATATCTTCCACCCCCCAAAACTTGATGGAGTCAACATCATGGGCCTTATGAACATAAAACTTGGTAAGATTCATAGTATGGAATTGACCGCCATTATCCGTGAACTGCCGTAATCTGTCTTGGTACAAGTTGTCAATTGGTTTGAAGGTTGGTTGTCTTCTGAAGGAGTCGTAGCCGTCGCCGCCGCTGCTGCCGATGCTGCTGCCACCGCCACAACCAGTCCTGTCACTGTTTAATTGTTGTTCCATTGTGACCAATCGAATTGCTGCTTATAATGTGACTGGTCTAATTCAATTGGTATTACTGCTGGAAGTGATTATATATATATATATATATTGAATGACCTCACTGTGGTAAATTAAGAGGGGAGGGGGGTTAGAAGAAGTTACACAAAACCCCAGTTTCAGAAGGCTCTGCCTTCTGTCGTGTAGAGCACAAATATTGTTATGTAATTTATTACTTAAGTAATTACCCCTAAACGTAGACTCAAGTTATACGTTTTAATCAGAGTAAGAATCCACTATTATTGTATTAATGTATTATATAATTTAAACTATTGAATCTTGACTTCTTGGTCTTCTTCAAAAGTTGCAACTGAATCCAACTTCTTAACCGAATCCGTGTGGATTTCAGGTAATTTGATAACGAAGCCCTTGATTAAGGAATACTCGGAAACAATCTCACCTCCCAACTTTTGAATAGATTCTTTAACCTTTGTAATGGCAGAATCATCGGCATTTTCCTTTAAAGTGACAATGTATTGAGACATGATTGAAGCAGAAGTTGAAGTTGGAGTTGAAGCGGCAGTTGTGGGATATGAATTGGCAGTTAAAGTGTACAACACAAAGATTCCTAAAGCACTAATAAGTAATAAAGAATAACTCTTTAGATTGGCCATTCCTTTTTCTTCTTTTAAAAACTTAAGAAACCAAAGGGTTCTTATAAGGGACCCTAGTGATATTTATTCTGTTTCCTCCGTTCCTGCAATTGCCACTGTTGTGGAATTCAGTGGGTCACGTGAGCGATAAGGGGACGTCCGACGGGATAAAGAAGGATATAATTCCATTACTATTGTGACAGTCCAGCCATGAATGAACTAACTGTGTTAATTGCTGACTGTTGAATGACTGTCAATCGTTTAATGTTCTTCTAGTTAACTGAATTATTCACAATGACTATGGTGTTATCATGGTATGATAGGATGCACCAGAGCATCAATGGGATGAAACGTAAGGGATACTTTCTTTATGTGGGGATAATAACTGCCAGTACATTGTATGTAATGTATTTAATATCCACAGTACCACAGATTGATTTGGATGAAGGTGAAGAAGAAATTAAGGCCAACAAACGGACCAAATGAACCTTAGTGGTTATATATGAATAAGTATATATATAGTGGGAAGAAATGAGTTATGACACTAAAAAAATTGTATAATTGTAGTTGGTAGTACGTGACTGTATGTATGTCCTCGATGAAAGGTCTATGGCTCTACCGCTATTTACTAGAATAATGGACATTTCCATCAAATATTGCAATCAACCTTGATAATCATTACTTCAGCCAATCATATCACTCAATTGACGAGAGCCCCCCAATGAATGGACAGCATTGAAGACAACCACTGATTTTTTGGTTGCTTTGACTGATGTCAGTCTGATGTCACTATGACGGTCTAGACCCTGAACGTGCATTAACCACTACAATTAGTAAGTTGATGGAATATGGATGCCATTTCCGGTGATCACACGGAGTTAGACATTACCAAATTCTGATTATGTGTGGCTCTCGGTGCTACCGCTTATACTGTCCAACAACAACACCTTAATTGTGACCAAGTTTCCTCCTCCACTGTATCCTTTTAGTGGCTGGAAATTTTTCCATATAATATATAAATAAGGTTGTCCAATCCCTTTATATCAATTGCTGTTGATTGAATTGTATCAATTGAATTGTCAAAATGGTTAAGGCAGGTATGTGATGAAGCTAGAATACGAGTATATATACGAGGAACTATACGAGCATATGCGTACATAGATATACAGTTACGAACTGTTGATGTTGTTCTTGTGCTTGTACCAGAAGTACTCATATATATTGCTCATATGAGCAAATTAATACTAACTATTGTCTGTAGTTGCTGTTGTTAGAGGAGACTCTACTGTTTCTGGTGTTGTTCACTTTGAACAAACCAAAGAAGATGAACCCACTACTATTACTTGGGAAATCTCTGGTAATGATCCAAATGCTTTAAGAGGTTTCCACATTCACACCTTTGGTGATAACACCAACGGTTGTACCTCTGCTGGTCCCCACTTCAACCCATTCGGTCTTGAACACGGTGCCCCAGAAGATGATGACAGACATGTTGGTGACTTGGGTAACATCACCACTGATGGTCAAGGTGTTGCCAAGGGTACTAAACAAGACTTACTTGTTAAATTGATTGGTGCCAACTCAATTCTTGGTAGAACTGTTGTTGTCCATTCTGGTGTCGACGACTTGGGTAAGGGTGGTCATAAGGATTCTAAGATCACTGGTAATGCTGGTGGTAGACCTGCGTGTGGTGTTATTGGTCTTGCCAACTAAGTATAACATATTTATATGTTATGCATATATGTATATGTATATATGTATCTAAGTACGCCAATTGATGTTTCCAAGTTAGGCTAGCTTGTAGAAGAAACCTACTCAGTTGTAGATTTATCATATGAAGCTACTCCTTCAATGATCCGCTTACTACCTGATCCATCAACCATAACAAGCTTGATCTCCTTATCTTCCCGTTTGATATACACCATTGGAACCTCTCCCACAAAACATGGCTGTACATTCTTATAGTTGAACCCAACAAGCCCTTTAGGGGGACACAATTGTAAAAGAATGGTGGCTAAATATGGGCCTTGAACAATTAAATCAGGTAACCCTTCCAGTTCAGCATATGCTTGATCCAAATGGATCTTATGAACATTGTAAGTCAAGAATGAATACTTTATCACATTCATTCGATGCAACTCATTGAGTCCAATAACCTCATTGTATCCATTTGAACTGAGCCATTCACTTTCCTTACCTTCACTGCCACCAGAACTTAATGGTAGCTCGTACTGTTTGTTGGTGTATACTAATGATCTAAACTCCTTGACGGCTCCAAAATCTCTTTCAATAGTCACAAACACCGACTCTCCCTCATTAAGACTTCTAACAGTAGGAATCGTTTCATTACACCATAACTCTTGTCCTATTTTCTGTGTTTCTTCTCCATTGGTATAGGCAGTACCAAAATCATATTTCCCTTGGACCCACATTCTTCTTCGGAATAACTCCTTGTTCTTCACCATTGGTGCCTGGAAATCATCATACCCATCACGTCCCATCACGATGTTGTTCTGTAAGTTGTAAAGGAATTGAAACCCGGGGGGGACTTTATCACCGAATGTCAATTGCTTCTTGAAGAACCCAGCAGGGAGTACTTGATTAAGAAGGTTAATTAAATGATTAGCAGGTCCTAAACTGGCATTGTCAGCTGATCTCCATGATTTCGCCTTAATTGCCTTAGTCCAATGTCTTACTAAAGACGACATTATGTGCTCTAGAGTAATTATATATTTGGGAGAAGGGGACTTGTAGTCTTTTCGTAGGTAGAAATGAGGTTCCTAATTATATACTACCTCATGACGTTCCTCCTTTCGGTACCCTGTGGACGAAATCGTTTCCGAGATTCCGTTTACGAATACTCCTTATAGCCAGTCCTTTATCAAGTGTTACAGTACGTTAAAGAAGACACGACCCTAGACTCTGCAAGTTTCCATTCTCCTGTGCGACATCGTAAGGCCTGTGTAATGCAAAAGGGTTCATTGTCACTTAACAACCACACTCAACTCACAGGGTGCAGTAGCAATGGACGGCAATAAGGGGGTTGCGCCGGGTAACGTTTAGGGAATAAATCTTAAAGTTGCGGGTAACCATTTGGCGATAAGTCGTGGGTATGCACAAAAGAGTAAGTGTAATGCTCATCGGAAATGTGTAGGATGAGATGTGACTGTTCGGGAGATATATATAACGACACTGAATATATATAGATCTTTAACTGTACCGTATTTAGGCATGGGCGTGGAAGATACAGGAAGGAGTACCAGCGAGCTCTTGAAATCCATAAAGAACAAGCATAGACGACAGAAATTGTATTCAGAGCTTAAACATGAAAAGAACAAGCAAAGACATAAAGAACGGTCAACAAGAGCTAAAGAGGAACGTGAAAATCCTGAGCTTCGCGAAAAGAGAGTAACTGAAAATGTTCCAGACACTATAGATTCCAAAAGAGTATTTGACGAAACCATTGCTGCTGAAGTTGAAGGAGAAGATGAATTTGCACAGTATTTTGAGCAAGCTGGAGAAAGAGATCCTAAAATTTTACTTACAACCAACATTGGAGCTAAGAAACAAGCATATCAATTTGCAGATATTCTTTTAGACTTTCTTCCTAATGTGACGTTTGTTAAACGGAAGGCAGAATATTCTATAGCTGATATGGCCAACTTTTGCACCAAAAGAGATTATACTTGTCTTATAATTATCAATGAGGATAAGAAAGTAGTTAGTGGGCTCACGTTTGTACATTTACCTGAGGGACCTACGTTTTATTTTTCGGTCAAATCACTTGTTGAAACCAAAGATATTCAAGGACACGGAAGGGCCACAGATCATACCCCTGAACTTGTACTTAATAACTTTCAAACTCGATTAGGTAAGATGGTTGGAAGGTTATTCCAATCGCTTTGGCCTCAACAACCAGAATTCAAAGGTCGTCAGGTGATCACCTTGCACAATCAACGTGATTATATATTTTTCAGAAGACATCGGTATGTTTTCCGTAATGAAGAAAAGGTTGGGTTGCAAGAGCTTGGACCACAATTTACTCTTAAGTTGCGTAGAATTCAGAAGGGTGTTAGAGGTGATACGATTTGGGAATATCGTCCAGATATGGAGAGAGACAAGAAGAAGTTCTACTTGTGATGAAGTCTACCATATTTATATAGCTACATACATTGCATAAGACTCCTCATTACATAAGACAAGCACACACCGACCCTATTAGTACACTATTACCTTACAAAATCTACCTTATATATCCCCTACGATAGCCTGCATACAATCTGAAATTAAACCGAAAAACAAAAGCTGACGTTGAACATTTCGATGATCAAAGTTACTGTTAGCCTTCTACTATTGAAGCCCATTAAGGAATTGAACAAGTCTAAAGTGCTCCAGCACGGCTACGTAAACTTGATAGTAACATCAACGATTGTGTGCATTTTTTGCTGTGCTATTCTGTGTACATCCATTGCTGCGTTATTCTGTGTGCCACGAGGTATAAATAATAATTAAGACGTGACATAAACAACAACTACAATAAATAAGGATGGATCCCAATGGTATGATTCAGATTGAACAGGCGTTGGATGTGATCTATGGAGCCAAGTCCAGCAACGAGCAACGTAGAGAAGCACAAGCGTTCTTGGAATCCATAAAGAGTAATGATCAGAGTCCCTATTGGGGTTATCAACTAGCTCTGAGGGTTAACAGTGGAGATAATAATATTGTTAGACATTTTGGGTTATCATTATTGCAACATTCTATAAACAAGCGATGGTATTTGTTTGATCTGAGCAAAGCCCTTGCGATTCGACAATGGATAGTTGAATTATCTCTTCAAATGACACCTCTGGATCCTCATTATTTAAAGGAAAAGTTGGCATTTTTATGGGTAGCTGTAGCTAAGAGATCTTGGGGAAGTTATTTGACTAAGAGACTGCTGATTGAAGGTGATGACAATAATAATAATAATAACAATAATAATAGTAGCACCAATACTAATTCCAATAATAATAGTAGCACCAATACTAATTCCAATAGCACTATTAATACGAGTACCAATACCAATAATGCATCTAATGGTACTTTGACCAATGGAAGCTCAAGTTCAAATGATTCCAGTTCAATCCACCCGGCTGGAAATAACTCAAAACAAAATACAACTAATTCCAACTCAATTCAAGATGATGATACTTCAAACGGGAAAGATTCCGTTAAACAAGATATACTTGATGGTTGGGGATCAATGGATGCTGATTTGTGGAAATTGTGGAATGAAAATATTGTATGTCGTGAAGTATCTCTTATTATAGTCAGAACGTTATTTGAAGACATTTATTTGTTGGATGATCCAATCGCCTCCAAGAGAACAGCCATTCTCAACCAATTATGCATTCAAATAGTCACATCAGATGAAGTCTTGAACTCCATTTATGAAAGCATCAGTCCCCAGTTACGTTCTTCCAAAGCTTCCCTGATTGGCTGGTTCATTACCTGGTCACGATTTCTCATTGAAGTCTTACAAAATAATGACATTGATTCACATACTTGCCAGACCTTCGTTCCCAAAATTCTTGGGACTTTCAAAACTTGTTTGCATTGGGTTCAACCGAAAATAATACGTGATGAAAACATCCTTTTAACTCTTTTCCAAATATTAAAAGTCCCCGATGTTAAATTGAAAACTTTAGCCATTGATTGTCTTCATATATTGTTTACCAGAACATATCATTCAGATGAAGACTTTGAATTCTTTATTGGTTCTATATTTTCATCCGATGGGGTCTTACAATTACGTCAATTCTATCAATCACTTGAAATAGATGCCGATGATATTGACGAATTGGTTTACGCCTTATTGAAAAAAACTGTGGAAATGATTGTTTCTTTGAGTGAATACCTTAATATATCCTCAAAGTGTAGAGTTAGTTGGGAAAGATCTGACGTGGACAACTATCTTCAGTTAGTGTTGGCTACAACTCAACATCCAAGTCTCATTATAAGTGGATTGAGTTTACAAATGTGGGTTACAGTTTTAAGATTTGATGAATTGAGTAGCAAGTCACCAATAGTCAACATCTTGATGGATCTTTTGGAAACAACAGCAAATCGAACAATTAATTACACCTACAATGATGAGAACATACTGAAGAAGTTTTTAGATATTGATTTTGACTCCACTCCAGATGCTTCTTCATTCTTGAGCAATTATAAGAAATTCAATGAGGATATCGTACGGATCACAGTTTGCAAGGAACCTGAAAAGGGGTTGAACTGGTTAGAAAATAGACTACAAGTGTTTTTCAGTTCTGACTTGGGAAATGTTTGTATAAACCAGTATAAATTGGATGAAAAATCAGATGCTTTGAACTATGGTACGGCACAGTTTAACATTATTGAAAATTGTATTCGGGGAATTAGTAGATGGAGAATATGGTATACTGGAGATGATTTTGATGTCATAAATGATAGACTAAATAAATTGGTGGAAAACTTGGGTGAAAGATTATTAGCAATGAACTTTGCCCTGCCTTTATTGATTCGGAAGAAGGTTCAAACGTTGGTTCAATTTGCTCCCCTTTTGAAGGATGTAAGTCCACTTATGTTTCAAGTGTTGGAGAATATTTTGACAACTGCCACGTTTGACCTTCCAGAAGATATACCTGATGAAGAGAAGGAAATTATACGTGATTTAAGGACTTGTTGTGGTACGGAATTGAATCGTTTGGCATACATTATGCCAGAATCTTTGAAGAAGATCTTCACTGAATTGGAAAATGTTATTGCAAATATCCTTCTGTCAAAGAAGGTATCTAATCATGAGAATGTTGCTTTCAAATCTTTCTTATTGGTGATAACTTCCCGTTCTTCGATTGAAGATAAAGATAAATTATTTGCGAAAATAGTTGATCCAGAGTTAAGTGCATGGTCATCCCCAGCATTAGAGAAGGGTTTACTTGATTTACATTGGTTTATGGAAAGAATTGGTATTGTTGAAATTGCTAAATATTTTCAAAAGCGTGGAATAACGGCTGAAACAGATTTGTTAAGGGCAGAAATGGATGACGAGGGCCGGGATTTAAAGAATAAGTTGAAGGATCATTGGTCCTCAATATTTCCAATCAGAGCTACCAGAATTTTCATACAATATAGTATAGAAAAGTTGAGTCATGATTCTCCAGAATATTTGAACTTGTTAAGATTATGGAAACCTCGAGTACAGCCAATTATCCCACACATTTTGCAATTGTTAACGCAAATTCAGGCCTACCACAACCCAGAAAATTGGAAGACTTTACCCTCTGAAGTTCAATCCTTTATCAAGTACAGTTGTATGGAAAGATTTTGGCAACAAGGTGTTCTGATTCAATCCAAGGAAACATTCATTGAAGAGAATGTTAAAGCTGCACTTACATTAAGAGATTTTGCAGATTCAGTAGGGCATTTGATAAGGTATACCCGTGAATATGCATTTCTTACAATTGGTTCTCTTTCTCAGCTTGAAGACACACTTTATGAGATGCCAAATATTGCAACTATGATATGGAAAGCCGTAGCAGGTGATCAAGTTGGTATCACATTGCATAGTTGGAAGCATATGATTAATAGTTGCCTTCGGAGTGTAGTGAGAAACTGTCCAGTGAAATATGTTGATGTTTTCATGAGTGAATTGTTACCACGAGTCTTCATTGATTTGGATAATTTGCTTGTTTCCCGTTGGAAAAAGGTCTACGAAGATGGATTACAATTACATGGCAATGAAGATGATGAAACCTTAAGTGAAGAAATGATGGAAGAGCATATGTTAAGGCAGTTGACTGCGACCACTGTGCGGTTGCTTATGGACATTGCAAGTCAATTGAACGCCAAATCGATTTCAGATACCCAGTTTGCCTGCAAGAGATTAATTATTGAAAGGAAGGAAGTCATGGCTACTTTTTTACAGATTTGCTGTCATATTATTATGTTCAAGGATACGAAATGCTCCTTTAATACCATTTTGATTATCCGAAACATCTTACCTGACATTATGCTTAAAGATGATGAAGTGGATAAGTATCTTTGCGATAACTTGATAAAAGCCACATTACATGTGCTTATGGATGATTATTTTGTTGAGACACATTCCGAAGCTGCTATTGCATTGACCACATTATATTGCGCATTAAGATCTAAAAGTGATTATCCTGCCAGAGTCATGATGCAAACATTACCTAACATAACCACCCATAGCATGAGTAACTTTGAATCTTTACTAGTTGCTTCCAAGTCACTTAAACATCAACGAAGTGCGTTACTTGAATTGGTACGCATTGCTAAGGAATATGAGGAAGAAGCTGCGGGTAGTGGTGTTGGCGGCCTAGTGGGACAAGATGAAGATATAGCTAAACGGAAAGAGCAACTTGAAGCAGCTCAAGCTCAACGCAAGAAAAAGGCTCAAGGAGTGGATTTAATGAATGATCCTTTCACCGAAAGTGGAGCTCTTAATAACCTTTTTGGGGATGATTAGAGACTCCTAATAGCTTGGAAGTTTTTGTCGAATAATTGGTATTCTAAATATAGGTTGCAGTATTACATGCGCGGGGATCAATTTGTTAAAGAATGTGCATATATCCTTCATACAGTTGCACCCTGTGATTTGGATCTAGATGTTAGGGGACGACGATCTTTTAAGAATGTTGATAATGGGTTTTATACAGAGTACACCCCTCTGGAGTGGCTTGTTCATTCTATTATTAGAGGACAGTCAATGGAATTGGTTAACCAGGCTTTTTATAGTTGTTCTGAACAGTTACCCAATGGAAGGGATTCTGTTGAATCTCAACGGAGAACTGGAAGTATGGTCGGTTATTTTGGACTTTCACAACAGGTGAAATTGTCCTGTCCTCTACATAAGAACAATCCTATATTGAAGGCACTTTTTATAGGATAACTTGGATTACATAGTTTGAGGACTCTTGGAGTATACGCATGTTGGTTGGACGGCCGCATGTACATGGAACAATATATCCTGTGTGGTAAATATTAAGAAGTAATATGTACACACTGCAGAACACGTCAGTTGGGTAACGGTTCCCTTAGTAATAATATTTGTTGGTTTGTACACTACCATATAATCTAGGTAATACTTACACTTATTTGTCTATCAGTACCATATATTATTTCGATGGGTTCAAACATGAATTTCAGTAGAAAGCCTCACAGCTGAAGGTTCTCGTAGATTGGAATTCTATGGCATGTTTTGTATATGTCTTCATTTTCACGAAAATTTCTCGTAATCTAACCAAATATTAGGTCGAAACTTAATGGCGGACTAATTGTAACTGTTTTAAGTATATTTGTAATCGAAATAATTGACACACATTGGATGAAGTTCCCCTTTGTGACTGAATGACGTATAATTTGGAAGCTTACTATTTGGCCGTAAACTCCGTCTAAGTTCAAACGGGAACAACAATAAGAAAAAGTTAAAAAAATCCTATCGTCTCGAAAACCTCCCAACATCGCCACAGCTGATTATTGTTTTGGGATGTAGTTTGTTTTTGATGCAAGGTTCGGATTCAGGTTTCAAATATAATCCGGCTGTCACATCGTTTGTCTGCGATATGCCAAAAACGCACATCTGTTGCTCCAGGACGATCTTTTTCTCTCCGTGAGTAGCGTCTGCTCAAATTATTGCTAAGATCATTTTTAATTTCTTTCATACATGATGTGAATAAAGTAGTACCATGTCCGTACATAGCAGTGAATGTGCTGCAACTTACTGTTCCTTTCTTTGAATTCCAAGCCGTCAAGTTGAAGTGTGCTATGAAAAAGTATGAATATGCTACCACTCATGCAAGTCTCGGCAACCTGATAAACTTCGGACCGAAAAGCGGGGCCAAATAATGTCCTATCAAGCGGTAACTGTAACGGCTTTAATTCAGGAACCATTTAACTATTACCGCCTTGGGAAGTTTTGCACCCTATGTTTGTGACACAAAACCGAACTCCGTCAATCACCAACTCCAACATTTGTAAGTTTCAACCATTGCAGTGGGCTCAAACGTCACACGAACTGTGTGCGTTGTGGGGAAGAGGGAATCTATATACCAAAGTAGATAAAAGTCTCCACTTTCACTGTAATGGCTTCAGTACATCGGCAGAGTTTGTATCAAGCTAAAGAACACGGGTACGCATTGCAACAACAACCACTTGCAAATGACAACGGGGAAGCTTCCGTTTTGAAAGAATTGTACACAATAAAATGTGAATTACAATACTTTAAAAAAGCAGGGGCAACGAAGTTGATTCTTCATGAAGTCTCTTTCCGGAAGAAGAAATGGTTGCAAATGCAAATAGACAGGAAGTAGTTGTCGTCGTAAATACACAACAATACCTCAATGTATTTAAAAACGGAAGTTTGTCTATGTTTGCACTTTTCTATTAAGGTCTACATGTGCTCCTAGTGGTTTTACAGTTACAAGGTTTACAATGGAGTTTTACTTAGTGATTCTATGCTTTATCGCGGCAGTTGTGCGCGCAGTCCCAGCCACCGTTAAGGTGACTAAACCGAGTCTTGATCCATTTTATTCTTGCCCTAACAACTTGACTGGCTACAAGAACGGTGAAATCATCGCTTACAAAGAAACTACTTTTCTTGATATGGCTGTGTACCCAGCAGCTATTGAAAAATCATGGTTACTCAAAATCAAAAGTGAAGACTCTATGGGGAATCAAACATGTTTCATGGCTACGTTATTGAAACCTCCAAATGCTAAAAAGAATAAGCTTGTGTCGTACCAAACTGCCGAGGATTCTGCTTCAGTAGATTGTGCTCCGCTGTATGCCTTCAAGGCTGGAAGTAGTGATGCAACGACTACTACTAGGATTGAAATTTTGCTTATCAATACGATGCTTTCAAAGGGATATTATGTCATTACTCCCGACTATGAAGGGTTAGATGCAGCTTTTGCAGCTGCAATCAGAGAAGGGAAACATACCTTGGATGGTGTGAGAGCCGCTTTAAAGTCCGGGAGCTTCTCAGGGCTTAGTAATAGCCCTGATACAGTTATGTGGGGATACAGTGGTGGATCTATTGCAACAGGATGGGCTGCTGCTCAACAACCAGAATATGCACCTGAATTAAAAACAGTTTTGCGTGGTGCATGCATGGGAGGAATGGTCACCAATTTGACCAGTTTGTTAATGCATCTTGATGGTTCTATTTATGCTGGACTTATGGTCTCAGGCTTAGGAGGGTTGAGTAGAGAGTATCCCTCAATTAATGCGACTATCCATGAAAAAATTAAACCTGACATGATAAAGCAAGCTTTTGGAAGTTATGATCATTGTATGGCTGCATCCATAATTCAATACTTTAAAGCTCCCGTATTTGTGGGAGACAACCACTGGATCAAGCACGAAGGATATGGTGTTCTTAATGACCCTAGAGTTTCCAAAATTATGAACAACTTAACTTATCAGAGTCACGAGAATTATCTTCCTCAGATTCCAGTGTTTGTATATCAAGGAATCAAGGATGATATTATCCCCATCAACGGTACCGAAGTCCTATATAAAGATTGGTGTGATAAGGGTATTAAATCGTTTGAGTTTGCTGTATCTGAATCTACAGGCCATATCAAAGAAGCTGTTTTTGGATCCCCAGCGGCTGTGAAATGGGTTGATAAAATGATCAATGGCGGTAAAGCAATTGACGGGTGCAAAAGAACTTTAAGGTATTCTAATTTTAATTATCCTTCTACCAATGTTTCTGCTTTTGCTCATGCTTATGATAGCTCCTTGCGGGCGATGTTTAATGCCATAGAAGGCTTTGTTTTCTAATTCTATCGTTAGCTTTTTTTCCTTTATTTATATCTCTTTCTTTCTTTGTTTTAGAAGTATGATTGCAATTATATTATGTATATCTCTATGTTCACGTGACACCAAAAGGTCCTGGCTCAAGCCGTGCTGTGCTTTCTTGAAACTTCAACTAATTACAAAGCAACAGACCACTTCTCTTCCTTCAGATAGTTTTAACTAGTATATTCAACACTTGGCACATCTAATTTTAGTCCCCATGCGCTTCTAGAACAGTGTTAGTTTCTACAATGAAGCTAGACAAAGTCAGACAATAGATGTGAATGGAACACTGGATCAAGAGTTCGCTAATAGATGTACTCGTGCATCTAATAGCAATAATAACAATAAATTCATAATATTAATAATAGTACATGTGTAAAAGCACCGAACAATAAGGGGCATAAACCTTACCTTTACATAATAGACCTTCCACGCCCCCCTGGCCCCCCCAACGGATCCATTTTACTAAGTGGCTTTATGTGTCGGATAGGGGTGCACGAACCATGCACTTTTATTCTCAACAGAAAATTTCAATTAGGCTGGGGATCAATAGAGATGAACACAAATTATGCTCGATAAGCAATATAGTGAAAACTTGCTCCCGTGCACCAGTAACATAAAAAAGAGTCGACGAGCCATTCAAAGGTAAGTTCAAGACATCACGTAACATCACGAAACATCAATGAGCTATTTTAAGACTATCTATCATAAAGGTGTACTGGCCTCTCATGTTAAATTATCATATGATCTCCGTTACGATTTAGGATTCCGAATTGCGTGCATCTGTGTATTCTTACAGTTTGCGAAAATGCAAAGAACTGGCACACATTCTGTCAATAGCACTTGTGTTTATTTTTAACTTTATGGCTTCTCAGATCATGTATGTACAATCGCCCCAAATCAATTGTTTAGAATTGATAGGATAATCCCCACTGTAGTCTCGGTTAAAAGGGGATATCACACATTCTATCTTCAGGACTCCTTCTCGACACTCGGCATTTTATTATCGAAGTTCCTGCTATACTTTGTTGTTACTTGTTGATTTACACTGACAAGGCTTCTTCATCGTTTACTCTGCCACTACATTTCGCCGTGTTAACTGAAAAATGGGGAAATTAGTTTATAAGTCTCTTATACCTACCTTTAAGGAAGGTGACTCAATCTCCTCGACCTAAAATGGCACCTATATTTTTAATCCCCACTTCCACGGAATGAAAGTTAATTTCAGATCTCTTCCCCAGTATTGAGAAGCTCCTTTAAATAATCTCCATTAGACTCGGGTTGATTTACGTGCACGAGCATATCTTTCCACTAAGTAACTCACGTTGAGATTAAGTAGAATTGCTTTAAAACTAAAACTGAATAAATTGGATTATTATTGTTGAGTTTGTTGGAGAACAAGGCCAAATAATTTTTCTCTTAATAAGAATGTACTAAACTATGTTGAAACAAATGATTCTTAGTTGGTATTCGTATGATACACCCTTGATACGTACATGCCATCGGATCAGCCAGCCACCCATCTACAAGGCTAATCAAATCTAAAACCACTTCAACGTTTGTTTTAAAGTTGTTTTAATTGATTCCTATTGACCAGCCCTGTTTGTGCCGTCTAATTCTAAAATACTGTGCAGGGATGCAAATTGTTATATTTAGGCGAGCTTCGTACTTCTCACCTAAATTACATGCGTCATGCAGGGTTTCCCTAATCACAACACTTAAAAGTCCTACATATAGTTATTATTTTCTGTAAGTTTAGTATGGGTGCGAAATGCACCGAAGGTTGACCTGCTGTAAGCCGAGACAACTTTCATACAAATTATTATGAGGATCAATAGCTGGAACTGCATGATCAAAGAATTTGACAGAATTAGGTAGGGTAATCAATTTTATTGTTGTGCACAAAGACTGTAGGAGATTTACATACAGTGAGTTGCGTAGGTGAATTACTATTTTTAATTTGCAACAGGGGTGGATCAAGATATACAGTTGGCCCACCAAGCCAGCCAACATTAACTGTTGTTAAGTGATGGAAGGAGGATTTCCGCTGATTGAAGAATAGAATATAAATAAGGCGCTTTCCCAAGGTCTAAGAGGTTTTTCATTCTTTAGTCATCAACAATTCTGAGAAGCTTGTTGACAACTGCTGAGAACAATATTTCAAGCAAGTCAAAATGAAGTTTTCAACTCTAGTTAGTTCTGCATTGGGGATAGTGAGTGTGGCTAACGCAACGAATTGTGCTATAAAACCCTATAATGCATGCCCCACAACTGTGTTTGATATGACTAAACCTCAACCTAAGTTTGGAGTTGAAGTTTCACAAGAGGGTGAATCTACATTCAAATATAAATTGAGTTTTTCAATTGACTCTGGTCTCCAAAAGGATTCACTTCAACTGTTACAACTCGTGGGAACTGGTCAAACAGTTACGTTATTTGACGAAGCAAGTAGAGTCGATGAAATATCAGATGCAAACTTCTGGCAGTATGAAATCACAGGACCTGCCGATATAAGTGGGGATTTATACTGTGTTCCTCCTATATCTGTGGTATACTTATGGCATTGTGGTAAGAATAAAAGAGGATACAAAGAAGGTGGTTATAATGCTACCGCTTGTGTCAATGCTGCTTACCCCATATCGTATAGTTATACCTTCTGCTGCACCGGTAGCAACGACGCCCAAGGTTACTGCTGGAAGAAACCTGATGGAAATTGCAATACAGAATCTCCATCTTCAACGCCTTCGAGTTCGGTACCTGAGTCGAGTTCTGCACCTGGATCGAGTACATTTCCTGCATCGAGTACAGAACCTTCTTATCTGACAACATGTTTGACTTGGACTGTTACAACTACATTAACAAACACTCAAGTGAAAACTCACTGCAGCAACGAATACTGTACCACTGTGACTGTCACAGAAACAACAGAAGTCTTATCTACTACCACTTCAACTTCTACTGGCAGTGATGTAGTCTCACAGACAACTGGTTCTCACACGTCCTCTACATCAATTGCAACTACTGAATCACCAACAAATATCAAATCAGATTCAACTCCTGCTTCGTCTTCATCTTATGGTTCATCTTCCTTAGCTAGTTCTGATTCAACCTTGGCATTGGGTTCCGGATCAGGCTCCAGTTCTACCTTTGTGACAAGTTCTACTACTACATTGACTATCACCAGTTGCGATGCTACGACGTGTATCACCACAACACTGGAGTCGACCTGTCTTACAACAATTACTCCTAGTGTTACTACTACTGCTGTATCGTCTTCTACTTTTGGTACAAGTTCTGGAGCTGTTCTGAGTTTTGCTTCCACATTAACAACTTCTACTGTAACAACTAGCTCAGTCTCAACAGCCACTATAACGAGCTGCAATGAAACAGGATGTCATGTGACTACTCTGGAATCTACATGTCTCACTACTTATACCACTACATGTGTTCCTTCTAGCCCAACAACTGATTCTACTAGTAATTCTGCTGCTTCCAGTGCACCATCTGTATCAGGTTCTTCCACTTCCACTTCTGGCTCGCCTTCAAGCAGTGCACCCTATGGCTCCGCTTCTTCTAGCAGTGCCCCACACAGCTCGCCTTCTAATAGTGCTCCATCTGGTTCGCTTTATAGCAGTGCACCTTCCGGTTCAGCTTCTTCTGGTTCATCTTCGGTTTCCACTAGTGAATTTTCTGGATCCTCTAGTGTGTCATCTCATGAGTCATTGAGTGTATCGTCGAGTTCACCAAGTGAATCACAATCGAGCTCCTCAAAGATAGATGTAACCTCAGGCTCAGAAACTACAAGTTGTTCCACTTTAACTACTAGCTCAACTACCCTTATTACTATCACCAGCTGTGACCATACAACATGCCATGTCACTACTCTGGAATCAACTTGTCTTACCACCTACACTACCACTTTGACCGGTTCAAAGTCCACCACTGTGCCATCTGGGTCAGCCTCTAGCAGTGCACCATTAGGATCAACTTCCTCCAGTGCACCATTAGGATCAACTTCCTCCAGTGCACCATCTGGTCCAATTTCTAGCAGTGTATCTTCTGGATCTTCAAGTTCGACCTCTGAAACAACAAGTTACTCCACTTATACTACCAGCTCAACTACTATTGTCACAATTACCAGCTGTGATCATACCAGCTGTCACATGACCACTCTGGAATCAACTTGCATTACAACTATCACTACTCCTTGTATCACTAGCTCCTCAAGTGTGGTTACCAGCACCACACCTGGGTCCAGCAAGCATTCAGAATCAACATCTGCCTCAAGTATGACTACGGGATCTACTTCTGAATCTAGCCAGTCTAGCGGAACAACTTCT